GTATCCCCAATACATCTTGGGGATACAATGTGGATACGCATATCGCGGCAATCGCAGTCAATATGTGTATCCCTTGGTAAAGCAAGCGCTTTTGTCTGTCCAGCAAATTACTAGCTAAGCTTATATATGGCTAGTAAGTGTATTATTGATTCCAAATTGACAGACGACAGCGAGTTAGTCAGGGGATACACATATCACTGCGATCGCCGTTCAGTGATATGTGTATCCCCAATACATCTTGGGGATACAATGTGGATACGCATATCGCGGCAATCGCTGTCAATATGTGTATCCCTTGGTAAAAAGCAAGCGCTTTTGTCTGTCCAGCAAATTACTACCTAAGCTTATATATGGCTAGTAAGTGTATTATTGATTCCAAATTGACAGACGACAGCGAGTTACTCGGGGATAGACATATCACTGCGATCGCCGTTCAGTGATATGTGTATCCCCATTATATCTTGTGGATACACTTTGGATACACATATCACGGCAATCGTAGTTAGTATTTGTATCCCCTTACTAAAGCAAGCGTTTTTATCTGTCCAGCAAAATACTGGCTAAGTATGGCTTGTAAGTGTATTATTGAGTCAAAATTAACAGAAGTGTGATCTAAAATCACTGCGATCGCTTTTCTGTGATACGTGTATCCCCTGATGTTTATTGATATATATCACTGGACGGTGATTCAGTAGTGATGTGTGTATCCTGGCCTCTCTAGCCCAGTGCAATTTCTAATCAATAAAATATTTCAAAATCGCACTCATAGGCACAGTGGGAAGCAAACGTTTGTGATATGTTGGGATACACATATCAGTGAACGTTGATCGCAGTAAAATTGGTATCCCTGGCCTGTAAGCGCTTTTGTTTGGCTAGACACTTTACCAAAAACAATTTCTAATCAATATTTCAATTCCGCACCCATGGGCGCATATTTATAGAACCAGGAACCCTTTCTTAAATACAACAAATTATTCCATTAGGCGTAGATGCTACGTTGATTTAACTGTTCTCACGCAACGCTTCTACCCACCGGAAATTCCTCTATTAAACAATGCCCAAATTAGGAAGTTGGACCTTGTATACTTATGACCTTTCTTTCGCGGGAAATTCGCATCTTACGAGAATTATTAAGATGGATGCCACAAAATATTCAAATCTGGTTCATTATTTGAGAGATAAAGAGTATCCAGAGGGCGCAAGCAAGCGTGAAAAAGGAGTGTTACGGAGACTTTCGAAACAGTTCACGTTTGATGTACAATCAGGCTCGCTTTTCTACGTCGACCGTGGTAACGATGGATTAACCTTTAACCGCATGGTCATTCAAGAGGAGGAAAAGACAAGAGTTTTCGACGAGTGTCACTCTTCACCTTTTGCGGGCCACGCTGGGCGGGACAACACCATACAAAAAATTAAGGAGCGCTACTACTGGCCCTCTTACTACAAGGATACTGTTGAATTGGTAAGTTTAATAAAATGTATAGACGTAGAGGCATTGGTGTTGAATAACATTTGATACCATCACGGTCTGTCACAATTCATGCATCTTAACACTAGCGTTTCAGTGGCAATTATTTAAAAAAAAGAGGCCTGAAAAGTCGCGGTTTTGCAAAAAGCGGGCTCAAGTAAAGAGCATGATTCTTTCAGCGAGATCAGCCATGTGAAATAGTCAGTCAAATTTGTGAATTCTGTAGTTCCCAGTACTTGTGAGACACAGCCATATAATAAAAGGCATTTAACAACAATAATGGTAAAATATTTATAAAACAATGAATTTTCTTTACTTCCAATAGATGTTGTAATAAAAGAATCATAGGCTTCTCTATGTTCTCTCAATGCTTCTCTAAGTGTGGCCTTCTCTTACACAAACAGATTCGAAATTGTGACCGGTGTCAACGTAATACCAGTGAAAGCAAAAGTTACGACGTGCTGCATCCCGTGAAGGTGGTTTCTAAAGTTTGGTACCTAGTCGGTATTGATTTAATAGATGCCGGCAAAGTTTCTGCCCAAGGAAACCGCTATCTTCTGACAATGACGGATTACTTTAGCAAGTATGTAGAGGCAATTCCTCTGCCAGACAAGAGTGCCGTAAGCGTAGCAAAGGGCCTTTACAAAGCATATTGTCGCCATGGAGCCCCTGCTCACATCATTTCAGACCAGGGTAGAGAATTCGTTAACCAGGTAGGTCAGCGTTTTATACAACGGAAACCTTTGACAGACATCTGTGTAGGGGCTTGCATGACGTTGCTTCATTGTCTCTGTTGCAGGTGTGCGAGCGCTTCATGACAACATTTGGTGTCCACCAGAGGATCGCGTCAGCATATCATCCGGAGTCTAATGGCCTAGATGAGAGATCAAACCAGTCAATAAAGAAGTGAGCGTTGCAATCATTTTCTGTCTAAAAATAACTCTTAACTCCTATCAGTGAGATGAAAGAGGGCATGACATGCTACCTAAAATATCATTAAGCTAAGCTAGTGCTTTCAAAGTTTATTTCCATTCGGTAATGGCTTGGGATTCCAGTGTTAAAACTACGGACTGAAGCGAATGCAAAGATGTTAAATATTACATATTATCAGAATTACAAGAGCAGGTAATACATCATCTAATTACTACCTACCTAATGTTCTTATTCCAGTTCGTATAAAATGGTTGGTGCCAATCATTTTCCACGAACTGGAATAAGAACATTCTACCGACAACAATCATTCACTTGACTCTGATGATGACTTCCGCACAGGTTGTCGAAACGTCAGTCACTACCAACGACAACAGTCCTTCTCAGGACCACACTCACCCGGACGATCAGCCTCCACTTTCACATGTTACCCCTGGGTTCAAGCCATTTACTGCACTTGTCACTTTTGTTTAGTACCCTTAGGAAGATTGCGGATGACCACGATCAGGATTGGGACGAGTACACGGATGGTGCTCTTTTGCAATTAACACCAACAGATCAAACACCACCAAGTTCAGCCCATTCTATTTAATGTATGGTAGGCATCCACGTTTGCCTCTTGAAGTCCAAAAGTATGTAAAGCACGTCGATAACGACCCCAGCGAAATTGAAAAACTGGCAAGGGAATTAAACTCAGAGGATGTCCTCCAGGAGCATGTGCAACAAATGACAGCCACAAGAGATGCACTTTTCCCAAGAGTGCAGGGAAACATAGAAGCTGCACAAGAAAAGCAAAAGAAGCAGTTCTTAAAAAGAAAAGGAGGCTTCGACTGCACATTGAAGAAGGGTGATGCTGTTCTACGCCGCAATATGCTCCAAAAGACAAAAAAAAGGGCAAAAATGGAAGACCAGTGGACTGGCCCATACACCATAGAAGAGGTTGACTTACAAAAGGAACCTGCAGGTTACGTGGAAAAGTGGCGAGAAACTAAGAAGGATAGTGAACATGAAAGACCTCAAAGCGTACAGGGTTCAATCCACAGCTCAGCAGACAGCACAACCACCATTGCAGCATCCTCACTGTTCTTCTCAGCATTCAGCGACAGCACTCCAACATCAACAACAGGCGCCATCGCAGCAGCCAGTACCATCTATGCAGCCTGCAACACCATTGCAGCAGCCAAAACAATCCCAGCAGCTATCGCCAACCAAAACGGCCACAATACAGCAGTTAATGTCATCCCAACAAGCACCATCCAAGCAGCCTACACCACACCAACAGCCAGCACCACACCACCGGCCAACACCAATGCCACGGACAAAGGTTCCCCAACCAAAAGTACCACCCAATCAGCCAACACCAATGCCGCGGTCGAAGTGCCCCAAACTTCAAGCACCTTCCAAGCAGCCAAAAGAACATCACCAGCCAGCACCTTCTAGCCAGCCAACACAACCAAATCAACCTACACCTTCCAGCCAGCCAACATCACCTAATCAGCTAGCACCTTCCAGCCAGCCAACATCACCTAATCAGCTAGCACCTTCCAGCCAGCCAACATCACCTAATCAGCCAGCACCTTCCAAACAGCAAACATCACCTCATCAGCCAGCACCTTTAAACCAGCAAAAATCACTTAATCAGCTAGCACCTTCCAACCAGCAAACATCACCTCATCAGCCAGCACCTTTAAACCAGCAAAATCACCTAATCAGCTAGCACCTTCCAGCCAGCCAACATCACTTAATCAGCCAGCACCTTCCAAACAGCAAACATCACTTAATCAGCTAGCACCTTCCAAACAGCAAACATCACTTGATCAGCCAGCACCTTCCAAACAGCAAACATCACTTAATCAGCCAGCACCTTCCAAACAACAAACATCACTTAATCAGCCAGCACCTTCCAAACAGCAAACATCACTTAATCAGCAAGCACCTTCCAGGCAGCCAAAACCACCTAATCTGCCAGGGGCTCAGCAACCGGCAAAATACCAGCCCTTTGAACCAAACAAAAAAAAATACAGAACATTTCAAAGAAGGACATTGCTTCCTGCTTTGACAAAGTAATCAAAGATCACCTTTCAGAAGTACTCAGTGGCACCAAGGAAAGCTGGCGACATGAAATTTTCCATGGAAGAATATTATCAGACAGGGATAAAGAGATGATCGAAAGGGTAGATCTCAAGTTCAATGTGCCATTTGGGGACTTTGAGGAAAATCAAACATATCACATGGTAACTCTAATAGCAAAGCACTTCCCAAAGGTCAGTCAAAAGTACTTAATGGAGGTACTTTTACCAGAGGCTCTAATTACCCTATGTTGTCAGCAATTACAAATTACACGCAACCAGGCTGAGGATCTCCTAGAAAGTGGTGGAAAGCATGAGGCAGATGCATTCCTGCAAAAAATAGAACAAAGAAGTAAAGGAAAGTTCTTGAAAAGAAAAAAGCCCCGAAAAGAAAAATGCAAGGAGCCAAGAAGCTGAAGACGAAGTTCAGTTTTTGAAACAGGCTAGGATGGACGAAGCATCTATTGCTAAAATGCAAAGGCCTACATTTAAACTGAATCAAGAAGATGTAGACATAATTGGCAAAAAATGCAATGCTTACAGATCTTCAAATACAAATGGCCCAAGAACTGTTGCATCGCCAATTTCCTTATATCGAGGGGCTGCTGTCTCCAACAATTGGGAAGGCAGAACAGTTTCCAGTGATGCGGAACAGCTTCATTCAAGTGCTACACACTGGTGGTAATCACTGGGTTTGTGTCAGTAATATTGGATGCAGCCACAACAACCAAGTGAAACTCTATGACAGTCTTTATAGTGGAATTGCGCCATTCACCAGAGAGCAGATTGGTGCCCTTCTTTTCAACCAAGACAGCAATGTTATTGAAATTTGTGTCCCTCCTGTTGACCAGCAAACAAATGGGACAGACTGTGGAGTTTTTGTGATTGCATTTGCCACAGCACTCTGCCATAATATGGACCCCACATCACTTAAGTTCAACAGGCGGGCAATAAGGGCACATCTCTTAGATTCCCTTAAAATTGATACATTGGTATATTCCCTTTGAGGAAAAATCAAGCATTGGTTATGAAGAGACTGTTGCCATGCCAGTGTACTGTGACTGCCGCCTCCCATACAATCCAACCAAAGACCAGATGGCAGAATGCACCAATTGCAAGAAGTGGTTCCATCAAGCTTGCCAAAAATTCCTGACAAAGTTTTCAAGTATAAAAGGTTTCAATGGAAGTGCAATAACTGCCAAATTGCTTAGATACAGACATCTATTTTTTTTTTTAAGGCAAATGGTTATTGAAAATATTAGGGACTGTCAATTTTTATGTGGTGGGGTGGTAGATAGTCACTATAATATGTGATGACTTCCCCTTTCATCAAAATTTTTCCCTGCCCCCACCCCTTGTTACCATAATTGTGTGACACTTAAGAGTAGTTATTTGGGTTAAACCCTTCCTCTCCAAACTGACCATTTTTATTTGGTTGGCTCCACTTTCAAACCAACTGTTCTGGCATGACCCCTCTGAAGACTATTAAACCCCCTACCTCATAAAACTGAAAAAGTCTCACCACTCAACAAAATGTCAGGCCAAAACACTTCAATGACAACTCAGGCTAAAGTACTAGCACAAGAAAAAGGAAAAGTAAATGATTTTGGCAATGGTAATTCAATGAAGCCATGGTGCTAATTGTCAACTACATAAAATACAAGAGTTTTACAGATGAAATCAATACCATGGAATAAATCATTAAAAAGTATCACAATTTGAAAAAGAAAAAAAAAATCACCATTTGTTAGTCATTGTTAACAAGCCTATCCATAAATGCCTTTTTCCAGAGGGTACTTCCCTTCTTGGAGTTTGTTGATATTTTTTTGCATTGTCTGATAGGTTTCACTTCTGTAACAAACCCAGTTTTAGAGTTTGCCCATTGATTTACAGGTGGCTTGTTCACAAATTCATCAGCATTATTAGGCTTTGAAACAATGTTAAGTTTTTTTTTTGTAGTGTTACTGCTATTTTACAAGAATATGTGACATTTATAAAGTAGAACAAAAGTTTGCTCTGAAATATTTATTGGATAGTACATATACATTTGAGGAACATGCTGAAACATTGCAAGTAGATATCGCTTACCATGCAGTGGATATCACTTTACTAGTAGATTAATATTATCAGTTAACAATCATTTTCATAATCTATACAACCATGTTGATTTATCAATAAAATTACCTGATCTTTCGCATGTAGTTCAAATTAGTTGGCCTGTTGTTTTTATGAGCACTTATTAGACACAACAAAAAAACAGTGCAGAAAAATATCCAGGCTGTCCATACTGGCAAATACTGGAAAACCAAGACTTCGGTTACCATGATAAGGACTTGGTTGTCCAGGGCCGTACAGATTTCAAAACAAAACAAACCAAAAAAATATCAACAACATAGAAGCCCCGTTTAAAAATGAATTCAAATGGTTTTGATGTATAGTGAGTGATTGATGTGAACTACGGAACGTGAACACGAAATAGTTTCCAAACGCGGTAAAGTTCTAGACCTTTATCCACCAAAACAACTTATTGCGCAAACACACTTTTAAGTTGTCGCAAACGACAGGACAAACGCTAGTTTCGAGCAGTGGCTCGAGCGAACTAATCGTTGGTACTTAAATTAAATGCTGGCGAAACGACTGAAATCCATGTAACTATTTTAAAGGTTTTGGAAATATAAAAACACCTCTTACCTTGTTATTCAGTTGCATTGTGATCTTCTTCCGTTTATATTTTGGATCGGAAACTTTAAAATATAAAACCACAAAATTTGTTCCTCGTAGCCACCATGTTTTCTTTGAAGCTCTAAAAGGCCCGGGTGCAAAGCTTCAGTGTTTTGTGTATCCCTACCAGGGGTACACATATCACTAGTGATATGTGTGCGGGGGTACACATATCACGGGGGTACACATATCACTGTGACAGCGCCAAAGGCGAGTGACGTGTCAGCAGCTGATTGGCTAAATTAACACACGTGGAAAAAATACCATCTTTTTTTCACATGCGTTGTAACGGCTTTTCTTAGGGCCGAAAATCCTTGTATAATACCGCAGTTTATGTGATAAAGTGTTTTATTTCAAACATACGAAAGAATTCCGCTATCGGCATTTCACTCGCAAAACTTTCTATCGGATGATTTGCCCTTGGCGGTGAACGAGAAATTCGAGAAGCTAGGAAAAGTGGCGTTTGAAGGAATCAAAGAAGGAAATCTGGTCCTTGGTGGAAACGAAGTACGAGGAATGGAAGACCGCGCTATTTTTCACCGCTTACCCGACCGTCAAAATGCCGCGTTGGAAGATGAGGAGCAATTCTGTTTCATTCATCTTACAATGCAAGAGTTTTTCGCTGCGAGGCACCTAGTAAACAACATGAATGAAACAGAATTAAGGAACTTTGTTTCCGAGAACCTCAAGAACGGCAAATGGCAACTGGTTTTCTAGTTTCTGGCTGGACAAATGGAGGATAAAGTTCACCTACCGAGCGCAATTATCACTGACCTTCTTCCTGTGAAAACTGAAGAGGAAAAAAGGGCAGGATTTAACGAACAGTGGACAGAGAATGAAGAGCCAAGGAAAGTGACTCTTGGCCGACCGAAGACAAACGAGATTTAGCAGTGACATTGTTTAAATGAATTAACGAAAGTAATGAGATGGAGCTGATAGCTCAGAGAAAACTTCAACAAATTAACTTTAATTTTGTAAATTTTAGTTCATGTCACCTCACAACCGTTGATTGCTCTCCGTTAGTAAATGTAATTAAGAATGTTCAACAAATTTCACATTTGGATTTGAATCACAATAACATTGATCCATTTGATTGTTTTGAGATTTGTAAATTGTTCAAATGTAAGGAATCTCAACTAAGCTGGTTAAACCTCAAAAACAATCAAGTGACAGATGAAGCAGCAAAGTATTTAATTGAAGCCATCAACAACAACAACTGTCAGCTACGCATGTTAAGCCTCATTTAATGACATCTCGAACACTGGAGCACAGCACTTAGTTAAGGCCATCAACAACAACAACTGTCAGCTATGCATATTAGACCTCACAGAAATAACATCACAGACATTAGAACACAGCACTTTGCGGAAGCCATCAACAGTGACAACTGTCAGCTACACACATTAATCCTCTCAGGGAACAAAATCCTCAGATATTGGAGCACAGCATTTGGCTGAAGCCATCAAGAACAACAACTGTCAGCTACACACGTTAGACCTCTCAGCAAATAAAATCACAGATAAGGGAGCACAGCACTTGGCTGAAGCCATCAACCACAACAACTGTCAGCTATGCTTGTAAGACCTCTCTCTCAATTAACACATCACAGAAGCAGGTAAGCAACACACTTGTACTTTAAAAAGTAAAGGTCAGTCTAAGTGTAAGCCAATTCTTTAGGCCTCAGCTTTTCCAATTAAAAACTGTAAAGAAATTGTTTGAACCACTAACTATTCAACCAAGGTAACCAGTGACAATTAGAGCGACAGTTACAACCCAATGACTCAAAACATGAATGAAAGCAAACTAAACCTGTGAAGTGCTCAGAGCAGCAAAATTACTTGAACTGGATCGAAGTGGAGAAAACTGAACCAATGAAGATGTTTATTGAGAACAAAGGATGTCAAACTTTTTTTTGTATTAAACAAACCAATAACATTGAAGAAAACATACAAAGTTTGCTGCAAAGAGAATGAACAAACTGTGGGCCTTTCAGGAACTTTGGCATTTTATGATTAGTTAGTTTTGATCCTAAATTTACTGCATGATTGGTTATGTTTTGATTGCTTATGTCTGTCATAAGGAACATTTTTTGTTGAAGTTCACTTAGAGAGTACAAGTGGATCAATTTAGTAAATGTAGTGCAGATTGCAGGGTACAACATATTTGTTTTATTGCTCATTTTTTCTTTCAATCAAATTCAAGTAGTTTCATACTTACTGCCTTTATTTGAACTCCTAACCAAGTTTAAAATATACAGATCTCGCTTAAAAAAGTTATTTTTGTAGGTTAATGGTGTGAGATTTATATTGTATGGATTGTAACACATTTATTTGAGGTTTCTGCAGTTGATGTCATATATAAGTGTATTCTTGTGTGATATGATTAAATTTCAATAAGTTGCACTGCAAAATCTGAGGAACAAACCTCAAGTTCCCTAAAGAACCTTTTGTCACCTCCACCTGCTCTTAAGGGCATACTACATAAAAATAGTTGGGACATGTAACCCCCTTCCTGAAACCCTCACCATATCTCAGATTAAATGATTTCCTTCCCAATAATGACACAAAATTCTTCTTCACCTCTCAAATCAATATTAATGTTGTGAGCCTAAGAAAGCTTGAAATGTAAATAATATGAAATGAATGTCACATGTTTGCTTGAATAATTTCCAGCCTTGCAACTTATTCAAATATTGGCCAAATAGGAGGACACCCCTTAAGCTTTTATTAATGCTATGTTTATAAAATCAGTGGAACTTGGGAGCCAAATAAAATAGTGATAAGACAAGAGAAATCAAATCTGAGAACAGAGATGAATTCTTCTCATACAGGAATGTGAGGAAAAGGCAAGGAAACTCCACATTGAATTCCAGCTGCAATTAAGTACAGCCTGCAGCTTAGAAAAAACCTAAAATCTTGAGATTTATTCTCAATTTTTTAAAGACTTTCAATCTAAATTTTGACACAAACATGTATCTATCCATTTCATTTCACTGCTTCAGTTTCTGATACCAGTTTCCTAGGTAGTCTAGAAAATGGCAGCATATAAAGACAAATCAGCAACAGCAGTAACTTTGCCAAGAGTTTAGATATAGAGCTATATTTTCATCTGAAAGAAACTGGAAATGCAAACAGTATTGAAATGAACTGAAAGATAATCCTAAGGAATTACTTGCATCAAAAACCTCCAACAAAATTAGTCTTGATCATGAGTTACACTTTTAACCCTTTAACTCCCAGATCAAATTATTAATTCTCCTTACTGTCAACCACACAATTCTTATAATGTTCAGAGAATTTAGTATTAGATCAACTTATCTCCAAATTGATATCTTTCTTTATTCTCATCACTTATCTGGTTGATATTGTATTGATATTGTAAGGAGAAACTCTGCCTTGGTCACCCATGGGAGTAAAAAGGTTAAGTTTAATCCAATCAGTGTAATCTTCCATGGAATTTTTGCTGAAGTGGAAAACACCAAATTCAGGTTTCATTTCTGTTGTTGCAGCATAGAAAAACATACCATTTGAGACTGCTTCTCATTCTTTTCAACACTTTTGATCTCAATTTTTTCATGATAATTTCAGGGCTAAAAAATATTTAATTTTTTTAATTTCCACAATTTTTGAAGAGTGGATAACCTGCTACAAACCCCCTTCTGAAAAACTAGGTAATAAGAATTCCTGCCTCCAAACACCTTTATTCAACAAATCTATTAATCTCTAGTTATTGATATGCACGTCACAGAATGAAAATGACTGTGGATATTAAGGATAAAGCTTCAGCATATCATTTTCCCTCAACAATATTAACCCTTGCACTCCCAGAAGTGATCAATAAGTAATTTATCCTTACAAAACAGTAACAAGCATAAAGGTAATGAGAAGGAAATTTATCAATTAAAGTATACTGCTCAGGACTTGTTTGACGAAAAACCAAATTCTTCAAGCTAAAATTTAAAGAAATGTATGGGAGACAATGAGGATATATTGATAATTACATCTAAGGGGTAAAAGAGTTCACTGAAAAAAATCTGAATGACTTCTTACCGACAGTATGAAAGTGACACTGAGGTCAAAACATAAAATTCTTACAACTAAGCTAAATTTATATCATAAAAAGTATGATGTATGAGACAAGTCTTATAAACAGATAGAATTATCAAGTGAAATGCTGAAGGATCAATATATGTGTATGAAATGACTTCTCATAACTTTTTCTCATAACTTCGCCGCCAGTTTGTGAGAATTATATACCGTATACCTAGCCGTAATAAAGAAGTTGCTATATGCAAATGAATTTCGGTGAGCGCTAAGCGCAGGCAAACTCATATGAATAAACTTCTGACCTACAGAACTGAAAATGAATGTATTTGTATAATGTCATTAAGGTATCGAATGTCATTTCGAGGATGAAAATAAATGCTTGCAAATTATTCAGGACAATTTCCAGCCTGGTAGTGGCAAGATCTCGGTGCTCATCGACCCAATTATATGCAGCCAAGTTTCTAAACCGCGTACTGCCATAATTGTTAAACAAGCAGGAACAATCATCAATCGTTTCTATTTTCTGTGACTGACCCAAAAAGAGATTTTGAAGACAAATATTCGTTACTGTTCTTTACCTTTATGGATAAAACTATATGATTGATAGAAAGGTTATCTTAATGCTATTTTTGACGACCATAGTCAATTTTTTTTCTTAATACTTTTGATTGTTTTCTGGTTATTTCCCTTTTTTTTCGTTTTTGGCATTTGCATTTGATTTGTTTGTTTTGTCTCTTTGTCTAAATGTTTTCCAGTATGTTTTAGTCCAGCTCGGCTTTTTTAACAATGTTTTGCAAGATTCAATCCCTGGGGAATCGATATGATTGATAATCGAAGACAAGGAGGTATAGGACTTTTTGGTTTTTGTTCTGATTTGTGTTTGAAAGCGTTGAGAAACCGAAGTTAACATGCGCTACAGAAGAGATTCTGACTAAATTGTTCTCTAAAGAGTCTACATTTTGAAAGAACTATTACGTTAAGAGGAATTAACATTACGGCTAAAGCAATTGTGCCTTTTTCATTCACGAATTGTATCACTCTATGAATGATCGTAGGAGCCTTCAGCTGGAGTGAGCTTTCATAGTATGCTAAAATGGAAAATTTGGCGGGCTAAAATATACGGGTCCTGTTCAACAGGGATTACCTTCAATGATGGTGCGTGCGGTTGGAGGAGGTATATTGATTTTTCTACTGCATTAAAGAGCGGTGCTGAATGCTAATTGTGAGACTAATTTACAAACTTGTAAAGAAGCTTTCCAAATCTCATTGTTTATACTGTTATTTCGTCACCAATTCAAGATGCTAAAACTGTATTTGCTATCCTCTTTCTCTCTAATGCCCCTGACAGTTAGAAACTGTGCTGAGCTGCACAAATCTGGACAAAGAGTCAGCGGCGTTTATACAATGATGAGTGAGGTGCCTTCGATGTTTATTGTAACCAGACAACATCCTGTGGGGGGTGGACACTGTTTCGGAGAAGACTGCACACACCTGGGCTGACTCAGTACAAACATGGCTTTGGTGACCTAATTGGTGAGTTTTGGCAAGGACTGGACAAGATCCGCCGCTTGACGGGCAGTAAGACAGAAAATAGGCTTCGAGTAGAGCTGGATGTACCAAACAGCAAAAAAGTTTATGTTGAGTATGACTGGTTGGAATTGGAGAAGAGACAATGGAATACCGCCTGAACATTGGTGGTATCAGTTAAATTAAACGTTTAAAGTACAAGTTAAGCGACCGTGGAAAGGATCTTGATAACCACCGCTGAAACCTTTTTAAAGAGCGCGGTATACATGAATCTGCTGCAAGAAAAGTTATTGACAAAAGGACCCAGACACGTTTTCTGACTGGCAGGTTTTGTTGAAAATGAGATGATAAGACTGTTTTATCGCCTTTTACTTTCAATAGTCCGTATTTTACTACTCCAGTCCACTGGAAAACAATCCCTGAAGTACCGAATGCTAATTTGACGTCTGTAGGCAATTGTGTGAAATTTAACGACATATTTTGATCGTTGGACTTTAAGGCTCGCAACTTGTCTTGAAATTTGTGCTAATTTTATTTCCAAGGAAATGCAACTGTTCCTAAGGATTCTTTAGGTCCCCATAAGGGCTGCTCGTTTGGCGCGTGGGACGAAGATCCTTCAGGTATTTGCTCTGCAAAGATAGGGGGAGGCTGGTGGTACAGTGCTCAGACAGAATGTGATGTTTGTTCAAATTTCAGTGGTGTCTTTCCGAACTGTGAATACCCTCAACCCTTAGGTATGAAAAACTGGAAATATTTAGATTTTACCAGCCCTACAAACAGCAATCCCACATCTTCTTAAATGAAAATCAAACCAATGGAGAAGTGAGCATGGAGGATATGAGTAAAAAGGAAAATTCATTAAACCCACAAAAGCGTAAAAGTTAATGGGATTTCAATGTTTATGTTGTACAGTCCAAATTTTCCTATTGTGTTTGCCATTACTGTTCATTAAAATTAATTAAAATTTGTCTTTTAAAACTTTCTGATGTAATAATTTCCAGCCGTGTACGTCGCGGATCGTTTCGTTAGAGTTTCGTGCACTTTAAGTTTCCCTTGCTGTCAGATTGTTATCTTAACATCTCGTGCACTTTTATATCTGCTCAGTGTCAGATGGTTATGTTAGTATCTCGCACACTTTTAGTTTCTTTGGTACCTGATGTTTATATTTATCTCGTGCACTTTTAGTTTTCCTTGGTGTTCGATTTTTACGTTGGTATCTCGCGCACGCTTGGTTTTTTTTGGTGTTCCATTAGAACAATAACTTTCGCAATTTATCGTGTTTTAGTAAACAGCATGAGCAAGTTGAGCAGTCGATACAATGAAATCGATGCAACTTTTTTTTCAGTGGTTGTTGATGTTATTTTTACAGTGGACACAAGCAGCTCAGAAAGCCCTGGCTTAAAGAAAAAGTGAGGATGAAATTTAATGTCTTATAAATTAGTTTAAACCTTTTTCTAGAGTGCAATTTTGAACACGAAGAAATTAAAATATATCAAACAAAATGAAAATATAAAAGAATGCAAACTAGCCATGTGTTTTACCAGATGATACAGTATTTGATAATAGGAGTACTTTGGCAGAATATTTTGTTGTTTTAGCTAATCTTTAGTTGGAATGTTATATTTTATTATACAGCTTCCACATGTACAGTTCTCATCACAAAATCTTAAATATTTTTCTGATTTATTGTCAGGAAGATTATGTATGATTTTACACATTTGTGTGAGTCTGTTCTTCATCAGTCTTTTTGCTAATGTGACCCATCCTAGTTCTCTAATCATATCTGTTACACTGGCTATGTCAAGGTTAGACAAGAGGAGAGAGAGAGAGTGGTGGTGGAGATAAAGAAATGAGTGAAGCTGAAAAGCTGATGGAGGAGTTGGTGGAATTGGAGATGGAATCTGAGAAGACAAAAGAGCAGAAGGATGAGGCCAAGAAACTGGTAGAAGGGGAGAAAAAGAAGGCAATAGAGATGAGGGAGAGAGCAATGGAGAGGTTCAGTCAAACCGAAAAGTGACAAGAAGAAACAAAAGGATGAAGGGAAAAAGGAGAAAAAAAGAAGAAGATCAGGAGAGGCAATAGAGTAGTTGAGAGAAAAAGGAGAGAATATGCGAGAGATGAAGGAGCAAGAACTTCAAGAAAGAAGGGAAGAACGAGAAGCCCAAAGAACTCAAACTGAACAGTCTATGTCTCAAATGCAAGCTCAAAATGAGCAAATGAAATTATTTCAACAACTGCTGCAACAAATGCAGCAACAGCAACAACAGCACAGCCAACAACAACAACAATTTGCCATGTTGCACCATCAGATGATGCAAGTTTTGATGCATCAAACATGCATTTCAGCAACAGTTTAAGATAGATTAAGGAATTGGGTTTGATATACATCAGCATTGAATGCAATGTCATTATCTGAGTTTCGTATGTTATCTAATTTTTTTATATAAAACAAAATTTTTAATCAAATAGAGTATATTTTGTATTGTAAAGGCCAATTATCTTGATTATCTTTATTTATTAAATAAAAGTTTTGGGCAGCAGGCCATTTTACGAATAAAATAGAAAATTACAACTTTGATCATTAAAATACACTGTGTACAATCATAAAACAAATGTGTTTACCAGATAAAGTAATTGGTACACGTTAACCAGGGGCCAGGGGTAATACACTTTTGAGCTATGAAAATTTCCTTTACTTTTCAAGGAATTCCATGACCTAAGTTAGCAAGTGTACTAATTGATTAAATCCACAATGGCACAAAAATTTGCATAAATGTCACAAAAGTATTAAGTGCAAACAGAAATGTCCACACATGTAGATTGTGCTGATGTTTATTTCTACTGAAGAAAATATTTTTTCCACTTGTCAGCTTATTTTACAAATTTGGATCTACAATCCTTTGCACTCATAGAAAGCCTTAAAAAAAAGGTAAACAATGTACAAGTTCTTAAATTTTTTACCCTCCAACATCAGTATGTGTAACTCTTCTATTGGCCAAAGTACAAAATGAAACAAATTCAAATTATTGGAAGTAGTCCTGTAAAGAAGGCGGTTGAACTTCAAACTTTTCTGACACAATTTTACTATACAGACAGGTCAACGCATTTTCCATAGGGCACAGACAATGTAAAATTTCCCCACTGAACTCAAGTTAATTTGTAATTGGCTTTTAAAATCAATAAACTTAAAATAGTTTGTAATATTACCAAAAAAGCCACTCAACTGAAACTCTTACTTCACTCATGGCCGCATTGTACAAAACCATTTGTGGAGTGAGTTGAATGTTTTTAAAAGGGGCCTGAAGGTGAACACCCAACGGGTATGCAGGATCACCATAAAGACAAAGAGGATGCCCATTATGTAACGCCACCCTCCGAAGCTCATTGAGAATGCCTGTTTGTTGGAGCATTGTGCTGTCGCGTCTTTTAGCATCAAAGGGGCCATGAAGGTTTGCAATTAATCCGTTTGGGATGACAACAATGAAATTTATGGAATGTATTCTCTTGTGGCCATTGCACATAACCCTTTGGTTTTCTTGTGGCCTCGCTATTCCACGCACAGTACCATCAATAAATCCAAAACAATTGCGTAATGGAGCACCAAGACGTTTAGTCGATGCTTATGATTACCGTAGATAAAATCGATCATAGTGTTAAAGATTAAGTAAAGCTCGGTCGGATTCCTGCCAAAGCGGGGTACCATGTCTGTGTATCTACAAGGGTATGCCAACCCCTTCCATAAAATGCACAGGCCCTCCATCCCACCACATACTGTTCTTTGCACGCTAGTAATTTTTTCCGGAATTCCTAAACATTCACATCATTCAGGCAGATGTTTCTTCGCAAATCTAAGCTCGGTCTTGCACTCCACATCGCTCCACTCGTCTACACTCAATCTGGGGAATTTCCAGTATGGGAAAATAGGTTTTGACGAATATGCGTCATATAGAAGAACAAATTCGTCATCGTCAATAACATCAAAGAGGCTGGCTGTTAACAAAGCATCGCGGACGGAGCTTAAACCACCGCTTGCCATGATCTATGATATGGGAAGCCACCAAGGAGTCGCAATACAGAGATCACGAAAACAACTCGCATGAAAAGATGACGACAATTACACAAATTTCACAAAAACACATTTAATGGGCTAAATTCTACAGAAATTAAAATAAACTGCCCTCCCAAATTTTATTTAAATCAAAGTAGAATTTTAAAATTCACCTCATTTGGTATCCAAACCTAGTTCTAACGAATAACTCATGCCGTAGTCGTCCCCGTCGGTGTTTGACAGGTGGTATATAGTAACATTAATTTTGTTGCCCTAAATTGTAGCTGATTAACTTAAAATTTACGACGAGAATTTTAACGATAGTCAATTGATATTCTAGAACAAGAATTTGCAGCACGTTTCCCTTGCTAAATCACTTTTCAACACAACGCGACGGCGTTCTTGACCTAGTTTCTTATCGGCATTTTTGCTGCGCGCGCCGTTCTGAAATGACATTCCCGTCCTCTTGCTAAACCACTCTAGTATCTCGAGCACGCTTGGTTTTTCTTGGTGTTTTATCGTCAGGTTGGTATCTCGCGCACGCTTGGTTTTTCTTAGTGTTCCATTGTTACGTTAGTATCTCGCGCACGCTTGGTTTTTTTTGGTGTTCCATTGTTATGTTGGTATCACGCGCACGCTTGGTTTTTTTGGGTGTTCCATTGTTATGTTGGTATCTCGTGCATGCCTGGTTTTTCGTGGTGTTCCATTGTTACGTTGGTATCTCGCGCATGCTGGGTTTTTTTTGGTGTTCCATTGTTATGTTGGTATCTCGCGCACGCTTGGGTTTTCTTAGAGTTCCATTGTTACGTTGGTATCTTGCGCACGCTTGGTTTTTTTTGGTGTTCCATTGTCACGTTGGTATCACGCTTGGTTTTTCTTGGTGTTCCATTGTTATTTTGGTATCTCGCGCACGCTTGGCTTTTCTTAGTATTCCATTGTTATGTTAGTATCTCGAGAACGCTTGGTTTTTCTTGATGTTCCATTTTTACGTTGGTATCTCGCGCACGCTTGGTTTTTTTCGGTATTCCATTGTCATGTTGGTCTCTCGCGCACGCTTGGTTTTTCTTGTTGTGTTCCATTGTCACGTTGGTATCACGCTTGATTTTTCTTGGTGTTCCATTGTTATTTTGGTATCTCGCGCACGCTTGGCTTTTCTTAGTGTTCCATCGTCATGTTAGTATCTCGAGAACGCTTGGTTTTTCTTGATGTTCCATTTTTACGTTGGTATCTCGCGCACGCTTGGTTTTTTTCGGTGTTCCATTGTTATGTTGGTATCTCGCGCACGCTTGGTTTTTTTTGGTGTTTCATTGTCATGTTGGTCTCTCGCGCACGCTTGGTTTTTCTTGTTGTGTTCCATTGTCACGTTGGTATCACGCTTGATTTTTCTTGGTGTTCCATTGTTATTTTGGTATCTCGCGCACGCTTGGCTTTTCTCAGTGTTCCATCGTCATGTTAGTATCTCGAGCACGCTTGGTTTTTCTTGGTGTTCCATTGTTACGTTGGTATCTCTTGCACGCTTGGTTTGTTTTGGTGTTCCATTATTATGTTGGTATCTCTTGCACGCTTGGTTTTTTTTGTTGTTCCATTGTCACGTTGGTATCACGCTTGGTTTTTCTTGGTGTTCCATTGTTATGTTGGTATCTCGCGCATGCTTGGTTTTTTTTGTTGTTCCATTGTCACGTTGGTATCACGCTTGGTTTTTCTTGGTGTTCCATTGTTATGTTGGTATCTCGCGCATGCTTGGTTTCTTTTGGTGTTCATTGTCACGTTGGTATCACGCTTGGTTTTTCTTGGTGTTCCATTGTTATGTTGGTATCTCGCGCACGCTTGGTTTTTTTTTGGTGTTCCATTGTTACGTTGGTATCTCGCGCACGCTTGGTTTTTTTTTGGTGTTCCATTGTTATGTTGGTATCTCGCGCGCGCTTGGTTTTTATTTGGTTTTCCATTGTTATGTTTTATCTCGCGCACACTTGGTTTTTCTTAGTGTTCCATTGTTACGTTGCTATCTCGCGCACGCTTGGTTCATTTTGGTGTTCCATTGTTATGTTGGTATCTTGCGCACGCTTGGTTTTTCTTGGCGTTCTATTGTTATGTTGGTATCTTGCGCACGCTTGGTTTTTCTTGGTGTTTTACTGTTATGTTAGTATCTCGCGCACTGTCAGTTTCCTTGTTGCATGATTGACATGTCAGTATCTAACACACTCTTTATCTGATTTCTTTTTTATCGATTTTGCCGGTTTTAAGGTTAGTATCTTGTGCACTTTAAACTTAAATGGTATCCAATGCTTATAATTGCATTTCGTAGACTTTTGTTTTAATTTTTACTTTTGCCTGATTGTTAAGGTAGTGCCTAACACACTTTAAGTTTTTCTTGTTGTCCGATTGTTACAATAGTATCTCGTGCACTTCCTTGGTGTCGGGTTGTTAGATAAATATCTCGGGCACTTTTAGTTTACCTTGATGTGCCATTATTACTTCAGCATCTTGCACTCTTTTAGTTTTCTATGTTGTCCGTTTGTTACCTTAGAATCCCACGCTCTTTTAGTTTTTCTTGGTGTCTGACAATTACTTCAGTGTATCGTGCACTATAAGAATTCCTTGTTGTCCTATTGTCATGTTAGCATCTCGTGAATTCTCAGCTTTTCTTAGAGCTCGATTTTTATCACCCAGTTTTTAAATTTCATTGATGTCCGATTGTGAAGTTAGTATTTCGTGGTTTTGTTGGTTTTCCTTGGCTTCTCATGCACTTTTAGTTTTCCTTGTTTTCTTATGGTTACGATAGTATCTCAAGCATTGTTAGGTTTCCTTATTTTCTTATGGGTACGATAGTATCTCAAGCACTGTTAGGTTTCCTTGTTCTCCTATGATAGATATCTTAGAAAAGAAGAGCAATGCATGTACTCACATCATAAAAAAAAACAAAAGAAAAAAGTTTAATTTCGCTACCAAGTTCACTTTAACATTAATTCTTTTCCTTCCTCTGTTTTTCATACGGTGCTGTTTCCTGAATTCTTCTTTTTCTAAAGCAGCTCTCTAGCCATTTTGAACTGACAACCTTGACATCATCGTTTAATTCTTGAGAGGAGTGCTGAAAATGAAAATTAATAAAATAAGGAATACTCAACTTAAGTACCAAGAAAAAAAAATTGGACTTAAATGTTGGAAAGTCGTTAATTTTAATGGAATGATACGTGAGTCGCTGAGGACTAACGGTTTGCGCGCTAAACTTTGTCTGGAATTAAAAGTATCGTGTTTGGTTTTTAAGGTAAGGCAGTTCACACTAGGAGATCCTCTCTCCGCCCAGGTGTATAATATAGCCGGGAACAATAAACAATCGGGGAAACCCGACGAATTTCTGGAGGGTTCTCTACACTGAAGGAACTGGTTTCCGTTCTGCGGATTGGTAAACGTCCTCGTAATTCCTTGTCCCAAAGAGCTATCTTCGTATGTCTTGTTCATATTCAAGATCCAGATTTTATGTGTTTTGAAATCAAATAACAATAATACCAGGAAACGAAACAGAAGATTATGGTTTTCAGTCTTAGCTAAGAGCAGCTCTTATATTCCTTCAAAGTACATTTTCAAATATGCCTTTGGGCCTGTAAAATTACCGGGGTCTTTCGAGAAACGGGTTAAAGGAGTACAAAACAATAATGCTCTGCAGAACTGGTGACTTCAAGTCAGAAGCGGGATAAGCTCCGGCAGTACCTGGCTACTAGGCGCGTAAGAGTTAACCTGCTTTTGTTTACTGAAATGAAAATACGACTGCATGTTACTTACATATTGATCGCTGTCATCACAAGTTACCACATGAGTCACATCCCCGCACGCAATGTGTGATACATCGCCATTGTAAATAAACAAGTGTTAAAGATGAAATTTTCCAGTACGTTATACACGCCTAACTGTCTTGATCAATTTTATAGAAATAAATCACTTTACTTAGAAAGTTTTTAAGGAAAATGTTAAAATTTGTCACCGGCGTCGAGCAGCAACTTTAGCAGTTATTCTCCCTGGCTTTAAGCTAAATTCTGACTTTGTTTTCAAGGCTCTACATTAGGAAGAGCTTCAAAGACGTCTCCGGCATGAATTAACTATCAGACTCTCAAAATGCCTCTCTCCCCCAGGAATGAAAATGGGAACCGGTAAACCGCCATGAAAGACCTGACGAAATGCTGTGGGTAACCTAAAACCGATCAGTATCCCATCCAGGAGTAGACGGCATTCTAGGGGATATTTTTCCTTCAGATGAGTTTTTGGTGTTGTTTGCCATTTTGGGAAAGGGTCCATAATACATCACTGAGGTGACTGTTATGATCAAGTTATACCTTTCTTCGTAATAGGAAAGGAGAACATGCACTTTCGAAACAAATAAAAATGGAGATTAAAGGATATGCCACCAGATAGCGTGTCAATTGCTTCCTATGTGTCTCTTCAACATTATGAAACAAGACATTTACACCGTACATGAAGTCAGGTAGTGAATGCTTTGTACTCTTTGGATGTTCACCATGAGAGGATTCATCATCCTTGGATGTTTCCCGCTTGTCTTTCGCCTTGTAACTTCTTTTTTTCAGAGAATCTGCGTTTAATGATGTCAGCGTTTTTGAGTTATTTGTAGCTGATTGTCTATCAAAATAATATCTGCGATAGTGTCAAGATCTGTTAGTTCAGTTCTACTTATATAAAATAAAATATAGATATTGATCAGATTTCGTTATTTCACCCCGTTTCAAGACCGCCCTTTAAAAAGTTATTCCCTCAGTTCACCTTGAGAGACGCGACATGACTCCACACTGAACAATTCGGCGTTGGAAAAAATTTGTGGGTTATCAAATCCAAAAAATATATATATAAGAAAGGTTGTGATAAAAGAGAACCCGATCAATGCCACTTTTGCACAAAACACAATTTCTAACCTCATGGTATGATCCAATTATTTTATTGGATTCCGTAATGGTAAATCTACGTGTGTGGCTCTTCATTCACTGTTCACGGATCGAATTCGAATTTGAAGGGGTTGGTTTTTAAGAAAGAAAGAAACACGATGAAACTTGAGAAAAAACATCGGAGCAAGGATGAGATCCACAAACCAGCTAAACCAACACGTCAACCAGGTCCGAGAATCGAACCCATGCTACAGTACTGGAAGGTCAGTGCAGGCTGTCGCCATTACACGATCTCTGCGACCTATTACTTCGCAAAGGATACACTGATGTCTGAATTCCTTTGCAGACAAGGTGCTTCCGTAACAGTCTCTCCGTGCCATACCAGTTAAAACTAGGTGTGTTGTAACCAATTCGTGGAAGGTGAATAGTAGCTGGAGAGAAAAGACATTTTCTATTTTTAAAATAACACATTGTCGAAAAAAAGGGTAGAACTTAGGTAACAACATATACTCAAAACAATAAATAAAAAACAAGGGAGAATTCTGCCTACATTTCCTTTTTTCACCAAGGGGGATGGGGTACTCCTCTGAACCATCATTCTTTGTTGACGGCTGATTCTGAAAACAACTGTTTTCAATCTGAACTAAACTAGCCTACGTGTGGTGAGGTAACGTCTACGAACACCGGACACTACTCGCGTTCTGTGACGTCACTTTTGCAGGAAAATATAAAATAACTTTTTACTGGTTGACCCCTTTTGTCGATTTTTTCGTGAATTCTGATCGGCCACAGTTGGTAGTTTTCTTTCATACTAACGAACAAGATGGTGAACAGAATGCTTCATGGTCAACTTTTCAGACAAAAGTGATCTACGACGAGGTTTTAAGGCAAATTTATGCGACTTGTGGGATAGAGATATTTCGAAAAGAACATCAGAAAGCCATAGATATGTTTTTTGAAGGTAAAGATGTCTCCATTTCGTTACCAACTGGCTATGGAAAATCTTTCATATAACAAGCCGCGCCAGTGATTGATCGCTTCTCTTCTCTCGAAGAAACTGGTCTCTATCTTTATTGTGCCGCCCGTTAAAGCTCTGATAGAAGACCAGGTGCACCATCTAAATGGACTTGGGCCAAGAGGATTGTCCGCCTTCATCTTCCGTCTCGAAAAAATACGTAAAATTTTACCTGATCCCCCACGAGGCTCCATATTATCCTCATGATTCCCCTCCCCCCACCTCTTTTAGGCTGTTAACTGACATTCAATTTTCTATAGTCCTCTGCTTTATACTGTGTTGGCGCGAATTATCCCAACCCCCCCCCCCTTTCGTCCCCCCTAAAAACCATGTGATTTTCTAAGCGAGTGCAATCGACGCCAAAATCAGAATCACCCATGCGGAGTTTTAATTATCACTACTGGGAAAAACAAAGAACTGAGCCACCCATGATGATTCAAAGCTTAGGTAGTTCGAATGCTCTACCAACTGAGCTTCAAAGAATTATGGAAAGAATCAGTCTGTGGTCACTTTTTTCAAATGTTACCTTTCATTTTCTTTGCCGCCAATGCTATCCTCTTCAAGCCTAGACTTAATGACGTCAATTTTATCCCAGAGAGTCTGTTCTGCCTGTCACGTGACTGAGCCACAATCAAGGCCACCTTAGTAAAGAAAAAGTATCAGTGAAGATGAAAAGTCACTAAATACGACGCGCTTTGTCATTGAAGTTGCCTACAATCTATCAGAGTAAACAGACCAAGAGCTAACACTGTTAGCATTTTCTTTGGTTTGCCTAAAATGGCACCCAGGTTTGAATATTTTTCGAGAACATATGCCATTGAGAAAGTTTGGAATAGAAGCTGTTCTTTTGCAAGACAAAAAAGGAATTAGGTAGAAGTCTTAACTCTCCTAGATAGGACATTAGTTGTGCCCAGTTCTTGCTGAATTCCAGGTGGAGGGGTCTGGGTTCGAGCCCTTGTCAGGTTAGGTCAAGAGATTTCGGATAAGTTGCTTTACTTTCAATAATCCTTTCTTCATCAAGGAGTGTAACAGGAACTAGCAAGCTAGTCACCTACATTCTGATATCACAAGAAAATAAGAGAGGTGTCAACAAATCGATAGTTAAACTCTAACGGAGGTATTCCACGCTTACGTTGACTTCAGTGCAGGTATTCAGGGTCCAGAAAAAGGGCTGTTTTTAAATACATCGAATGGCGTTTCAAGAGTCAGTCGAAAACTTCAGCAGATGTCATCATCAAAGTCAACCGACCACTTAAACTTTTCAAATTATTTAACGTACATATTCATGACCATCCTTTGGGTTTCGTCGATCGTCAAGTGGGACAAGATGTGCATCTCCTAACTTCAGATCTGAAAAAAAAAAAAAAAAAAAAAAACAACAACAAAAAACGTTCAAGCTCAAGTTCAAGCTGCCTTTAGATTTCCACAAAAATATTTTCGAAACTGAAATTTTGGCGTTATTTTCGTCAAAAAAGAAAATACAAAGAAATGGAGTAGGGCGAGAAATAGTTAAACTAATTTTATGCTTTTCAAAGAAATTCAATTCATTTTAAGATAATGATATTAACAAGGAAAAAAAATTAAAAATTGATGTATGAGAGAAAAAAGTAAATACGTAGAATAATAAGAAGTTGTCTTAGCAATTATCAGTTCTGTGAAAAGACCGAAAGTTCTTTCTATCTATTTCTTAGTTGATAACAAAAAACACAATCATTACCTCTAGTGGAATACTACGAAAACGAGTAGAAATGATGTTACTCCCGTTCCTCCCTGTTTAACAAGAGGTATGTGCGAGTACAAAGGTGGTGATTTCGGGTTGGGATACCTGTACCTTAACACAAGGCTTGAAGCTTTCAGCCTATTTACTTGGTAATTGGTGGACCAACCACCGCTGGCTCAACAAAACTTCCAAAACACAATTAATCCCGCATATGGAAGCCTATTTTGATATAGCCATGGTACAAACAACAACAATACCTTTCATTCTACTGGCTAGCTCGTACTGAGTTTCTGGTCGAGTTGATCTTCGAGATGACGCGGAGAATAGTCCTCCCTGACCCCACCTCCCGGAGTCGTCTGTTGGTAATATCAATGTATCAGTACGCTGCGCACACTGAATTGGAAGCAATGACGAAATTTACAAATATTTTTAGATTCCACTCATAAAAATTGATGAAAAAGTTCAAAGACTAAAACAATTATGAAGTTTCTTGAACACTTTGTATGGCAATCGACGAGGAGATGAAGATTATGCATAAGGAAGGCTCTGAGAGAATCAACAAAAATTACTCGAGGGAAAGGATAACATGAACTCTGACGATGACAAGGCCACGTACAAAGATCAACAAAGAAATGTAATTAAAGACAAAGGAAGGCAAACATAAAAAACTGTAAAAATTGCCAAACTACGCAAATTCGAAGATTCTGCACAAGCTTTCATCTGAATTGCTGAAACCTTTGCTTTCACGTTACTGAATTGAAGTGATTCCAGGGTTTTTGATATCGCGCACTCACCAACACAGTGTATTATGATGGCATCGGAACCGCATGTTTTGATGGGATGCGTGACGTCACCACGTACGTATCGAATATCTTTTTGCTCACGTTCGTCTTCTTCGTCAAATGAATCTTTAGTTTCATCTTCGTCTTCTTCTTCACCATTCGCAATATTAAGGGTTGAGTAATCGGCGTCCTTCCATAGCTTTTCCCTTTAATAGGAAAATCAACATGGGAGATTAAAAATCAAGACGCGCTTGTTTCCTAATATTCTCGGTATATATTAAATCGGTGACAATCTCCATTTCTTAGTTATTCTTTCAGGAAGGTTATCATGGCTCGTTCAAGTCCAAACGCCACTCCCATGATGCTTCATATCGAACAAAGTTCGTCTTAGGAGCCACGTTAGAGCGATTGATAAGCCAGATTGAATATTACGTATGGGGCCAGGGTACGGGTATAATGGTTATGTGGCAACATGTTCGAATGGCGGAGGGGGAGATTATAAATTATCTTAATTCGTTCTTTATGTTCGGCACACGACGAGAAAGCAGTGAGAACCAATGGCTGCTTCAGTGCTGCATAAGCGACAGACCCTACTAACCTTATCATTGTTTGCTTTACTTAAAAATGCTGAACCAAACAGTTTCCGAAAAGCGAAAAGCCCAAGTTGGGAGTTACAATAAACGTATGTATGTATGTATTCTAATGCTTCTCTTCCTCCATACTTAAATGACAAGTTTGTCCCAAAGGGTTTGAAACACGCCTCAGAGAAAGGCATTAGAACATTGCCTCCTGAAACCTCTTGAAATGGTGAATAAAACTTGAATGAGATACTCACAATTTTGTTTGTCTGTCCCTTTCCTTCCTAGAATCCTCTTCCTCCTTTAGCTTTGCTCTTTTTGCAGCATTTTCTTCCCTCTGGAAAAACAACATGAATTTAGTCAAAGTGCTCTAACCTTTTGAACTTTTGACCGGTTAACCTTTTCACTCGAGCAATACACAAAGGTTAGGAAAGCGAGTTTTTATTTTCTTGAAAATTAACGGCGGGTAGCTTTCTCAACGATTTATAGCAAACGTACATAAATTTCACAGCAGAATTATTTCATTTATCCTACTGACAGCAGTGGTAAACTTAAACTTACTTATCTTAAAATTTCTCACTCTATCTGTTACCTGCAATAAAACTTAAGAATGCCTTAACAGGCCCATTGGTCCGAGGGGAACAAGTTTGCCTACGATCAGTAGAGTGTTTTAATGTAACTGGTATGACCGGTTACAGGTCTCACCGGTACGACTGGTTACAGGTTTCACCGGTATGACTGGTTATAGGTCTCACCGGTACGACTGATTACAACTGATAAAAGAAGATTACCTTTTTCTTTCGCTCCTCTAACTCCTCTGGCGAGAGAATTTTGCGCTTTCTCATGGGAAGGTCAACGAAATGGGCTACGGATCCCTGAAACCAAAACGGTAGAAAATAACTACGAAATAGTGTTATACCAAGATCAAGAGAAGACAATCTTCATCGTTACCCTAGAAATTACAATAGCTGAAGAGAGGGTTTCTATGGGGTGATGGCTGTTGCGACTAAAGTTTACCATTTGGGCCATCTTACGGCTAATGATTACTTTCTTTCCGTTAATCTTAACAGAAAATTTTTTATGGTTAGCTTTTTTTACGTCTATCGGTTAAAATTTGTCATTTTTTACGACTAACGGTTAAAAATTGTCATTTTTTACGACTAACGGCCTAACTTTTCAGTTTGCTATTTTACGGCTAACCCTCCGAATATAATGAACTAGTAACTGCCTAAGCTGAGAAATACAGTTCAGAAGTTGAAAAACGGGAGGTAATTAAACAACGTTTATTTGAGAGGAATTAAAAAAAACCTTTCTCTCGCTTCGGAGTAGTCGTTCTTCTGTTTGGGATTCCTCTAACATGTCTGCAAAATTAAATGCGAACTAAACTTTAGTCATTCTTAAAATTGTACTTTTACCAGCTAGAACATTTCATTGGTGACGTAAGTCATTACAGTTTCAAAAAGCGATATTTAACAACTCGTCCATGCTTGGCGTGCGTATATCGAGTTAAGGATGCACGCCGGAAGTTTGGAGAGCACGAGAAAAGCGTAAGAGTCGCTCAAGGCGCAGCCGAGAGCAACACTAGCTTCTTGGGTTGTTGGCATTGTTTATGCTTTGCATAGTTTTTGCACGAAAGTAAAAGTATTTTAATACTTTAGGATATGATGAAACGCTGAGCGTTAACTGTTCGGCAGTAAGTAACTTTTCATAATTACCAGCCATCATGTTGTCGAATGCCTCTTGATCTTTCACAGTTGTTTCTCTGTAGTCATGACCTTCATACACGTACATGTCACTTACTGCTTCGCAGGAAAAAAAAACCAACAGTTGATATCAATTAACTTTTCATTCCATAATTTTAAATTAGATTTAAATCAAATAGCGCACAAACACGGAAATATTGGCTCAAATGCAGCTGGCGCAAGGCTATGTGTTCAAAATAGAAAATCGAGAGAAATAAAATCACGTGAAGTGAAATTGATGAAAGGGAGATCAAGGGGATGACCATATTTGTCAACAAAGTAAGTGAGCTCTGCAAATGAAAGACGCCGGAAGCAGGGTTTCTTGATTGCGCGCAGTTATTTTTACCTAAAAGAACTGTTGTGCCGCAGGCAAGTCAATCACTAATTTGACCATAAAGTAGACGTTGATAAGGATACATAAACCACCCGAGAGAATATTAAGAAGCTGACGTTTAGGACGTGAGCCCCTTCTCGCGGGAAAAGTGGGGATCGTGGGGTTGTGAGCGTGTTCACCAGAGTATATTGCTGTCGATTCACTGCCAGCGGATTTCAAGGAGAGCCTAAAGATGCAGATTTTGAAATACTTCATTTTTGTCCCAACTCTTGAAAAGTTCAGCGTTGCCTTGAATTAAGTCCGCGAACAACAAAGTTTTCCTAAGTCCAAGAAGATTTTCTCTTGCTTAAGTTTAGAAACATGCTTAAAGGCATATTTGTCGTTGCTTTTAAGATCTCTTAATGTTCACTAAAGCCCCATTCCCAAGTTAAAGAATAGCATTTTGTACAATTCATGTAGCAGATTAAATGTTCTAGAGCAGTGCAATCAAAGTGGTTTGTACATGTCTTGTTGTTATTCACCTTTCTCACCATCATCTGTTTCCATACACGAAACTATGACGTCTTTATTCAAATTACTCTGGTTTCTCGTTTCTCCCACAGTCCACTCATTATTAAAACTTTCTCCTAGAATCCTAAAACGATCAGTTTATTCAGTCATATAGTTCATTTAATTCATTGTCTTACTTCAATACAAATAGGGGACAAATTCAGTACAATCTTCAAGCATATTCTGTAGTTACAACTTACTTTTCCATCAATTAGTTCGTTACAAAAGCGATTTTACCAACCTATAGTCTTAAGTGTTACGACACTAAATCATACTAAAAACGCGCAAGACCCTCAGAAAATAAGCTTCATTGACAAAAAAAAGCGAACAAAAACAACAATAAAAGAATACCTCCTGTTCTTCTGTTCTTCCCCCCCCCCACCCCTCCTAATTATGAAATGATCAGAGAATTTTGCCGAGATGGAATAAGTTTCGATAATCAAACAGATTTAAACTTACTTTTCCAAGTCTTCCTCTGTAAGGGTCCTATAAAACGACACAAATTGTGAGACTAAATAAACTTAAGCAATTGCCATAACAGCATGGACATAAAAGGTTTACAAGTAAAATCAAGATAAATCAGTAAGCTTATGTTACAACCCTTATTGTAGATGGTTCACAAATATCTTACTGAAACATAAGAAAGCTGTGAAATACGTTACCTCTCATCTGAGTCAAATAACTTGTCCAAGCCGTACTTGAGTAAGTCTGCCAGCTACAAATACACAGTGCAGAAGCTCAAAAACAGAAAGATCAGAAAAAAATCTCAAGGGTGTCTACCAAGTAGTTAGAATATACAGTTACTGTGTTTGTTACCTGTGTTGGAGTCTCGGCAATTTGGTTTAAAGCTGAGGCGTTACCTGAAAACTGAAAGATATGTAAACAATAATTATTTGGTTAACCCTTTAACCTCAATAATATCAAAACAGTGTGTAGCAATCAGGTGGAGAAAGTAGACCAAATTTATGACCTGGAAGGTGTTATCTTGGATAGCACCTAGAAGGAGAGTTACTTTCATATCCTGTGAAATTAAATAGTCAAATCCTCGTACATGGAGTGAAAATGAGGGCGAACGAACTAATCGACCAACGAACTTATGAAAGAAAGAATGAAAAACAGGCTGACAGACCAGACAAACGAACAAGAACAAAAACAAAAACAAATCCACAGAAACAGAACCGTTCAATACTGTTCTAAGGAATACAGTTATACCTTTCCCCCTTCAATAACTGAATTTGTTAGCTTTAGCTTGTCGTCTGCCCTTTTCAACACGATTTCTTCTACTGTACTTCTCGCAACAAGTCGAATAACTTTTACAGGCCTAGTGATATAAAGAAAAGCATGGCACCAAAACAGTCTTCGCTCTTCGCACACCAGCCCCCCAAAGTAATCTTTCGTTTAACACTGAACCGCAGTTATACAGGTAAACGTAATTCCCTAAATGAGCCATGTATTTCAGAATTCCGTGGTCATCCCAGCTTTCATGGCTATAAATTAATAGTAGTAGAGCTCCCTCCCCTAAATAGGATGCCCCTCATAGGTTCCCCGTCTTGTCAAGTTTCCCCGATGCCCCTCCACACCCCGTCACCCTTTTCTACCCCTCAGTGGAGAGAAGTAAGATACCTGCTCGAGAACACAAGGCAATGACCCAGCTCCAAATGAACAGACTTCATAAGAAAAGGAGTAAAAGGATGGTTTACAACAACAGTTACACCATTTACTGCCTGCTTGTCATCATACCTTGTTTGCCCAATACGGTGCGCTCTTGCCGCCGCTTGCAAATCATTCTGGGGATTGAAGTCACTGTCTACAAATATCACAGTGTCTGCAGACATCAGATTCAAGCCTTGGCCACCTTGATGGAAAATAAGAGATTAATCTGTAAGCACCCTTACGATGAAACACAGCTGTTCTTATTCTCACTCGATTCCGCCTATATTCTATGCAAAAAACGCTAAGCCAGTCTATTATGCATCAATTTCAAAACTTCAAAAGTAAGTATGTTATTTTAGCAACGTCTTAACGGTGTTCAATTCCGATCGGAATCCCAACCGCAGGAAGGTGTCTCAATTCTTCGGTTAGCCACAATGCACAAATCTCAATATTAGTCGCCTTACCCGCTCTCGTGCTCAAAAGAAATATAAAAGTGTCTTCTGTTTCGTTAAAGTTTTGAATGGCAAGATAGCGTTCCTCTCCACGGACAGAACCATCCAGTCGTTCATAGGAATATCCTATGGACATAAGGGATCTTACTTGTTGTTGAAACAATTAAGACAATATATTATTACACTGTCTATTTTGATTTGTTGACTGACAAAACTACCTCAAATTAGTTGAAACCAAAACTGAAATACTGTTTTGGCTAGAAAGAAAAATAAAGAACGATGTAATTACCCAAAAAGAATTGTCAGAATGAAGAGGAATTGGAAAGGGGAAGCAATTCTTCGTCCTAAAAAAGTTAGAATAATTTTTCGATCCGTAATGTGACTATAGCCTCCTAAAGAAGTATTCTTGTTGGGATTGCGATGCCTGTGATTGAGTACTATTGTTTTGTAGAATCTTCGAATGATCGATTCGTTGAGGCAGAATGAGGGTTTTAACGGACGGAAGACATCCTACGTCCACCTAAACAAGAATCAGTTGATAGGGTTTGCTTACCTCTGTAACCAAGGTAGTCCTGAATGATGTCTAACATTCTTGTCATTTGTGAGAACATTAAAACTTTGTGTCCCCTGTGGAGCGAATAGGGACATTAGGCATAAAATGACGAGATGAAACGAATGGAAGCGTAGCACAACACAAAAATCGGAATGGAAAAAATCACGCAAAGTGACATCGCAAAAAAACGTAACCAAACGTAATCTCGGAGTGTCATAAAGCACACCACTGTCGATTGGCAAACCCCTATTTTTAATTTTGTGTTTACTTCGTTTCGTTGACGTGCAGTTTGGCTTTGAACTGACCTTGCTTTAAGGAAAATTAACAACTGGTCAATAATTCGAAGTTTCCCTGAAAATTGACCAACACAAATAAATAGTATTATTATACATTAGACTTACAATGAAAACTCTGATTGGTCTAAAGCATTCGGTCAATATACAATAGCGTGTAAAGTTGATATTTTAACCCAATATCTGCAGCAGATTTTGGGTTATCACGTCGAGTTAAAAGTGTGCCTAGTTTCCCGGCCCCTTGTCCGCGCAGTGTTCTCAAACTTTTGCTAACTCAGTGAGAAGTGTCTTCTTTGGCAGATTGTTTAAAAAATGTATAATGAAACAATTATTGAATTCGGTTTTCGAGGATATCGTGAATTATCAAACCTCGTGTCTGTGTTATCTGCCTCAGCTTTAGGCGGATATCTCAGACCTCGCCTTTGATAATTCATCCAATGATTGCTTATTAACTGATCACTCATAAAAACCGTGAGCAAAGGGCTTTCTTCGCAGAAAATTTCTCTAGAGATTCCACCATAAGATATGTTTTTTCAACCATTTTCCTCTAATTCCGTAACGAAAATTTAACATGAGTATCACGTGGGCAAAGACATACCTGGACCTCGCCACCTTCCCCGATTATACAAATCTTAACTCACCGCTTGCATCAACAAGGTGTTCCCCAAGTTCAAATGGCTCAGGTTCCACTCCTTGGAAACAAAATTAAAAACCAGTACATTAAATGACAAACTTCCAAAAAGCTTTGATTTAATATATGAATAAAGATTCTGCCAGTTTGAAAAATAGAAAATAAGTATATATATATATATATATATATATATATATATATCTATATCTTTAGCAGCCGTACTTTTGGGGTGTCACGCGACACTTTCCCTCAAAAGAAAGAAGCGTTACATGACATCCCGAACGCACGCCTTCGACGGTGACCAAGACCTGATGATCTGAACTGCAGTTAGTCTAGATTTGGAATCACAGGTGCCTTTAAAAGAAGCCGACAAAGAAAACACTGAATATAATTAGTTTTTGAAAGATTAAATCTAAATGAAGAGAACTTTCAACTTCTCAGAAGCATTACCATCAAATAAATATGGATGATTGATACATTTTCTGAGCTGTATTAGAATATTCATAAGTCTTGTCTTCATGAAACCACTTGCAGAATTGAAGGCATCTGGAGAAACAATAAAACATAGGTTGGTAAATAGATCATACTAAAGTTTGCATGACATACAGCAGAAAGCTAGTACTCTCTATGTAACACAGTATTTTAAGAGCCTCATTTTTATTAGTTTTACGCAAAACGGTAGCTTGTTGTGAAGAAAACCTAGCCATTCCTTCAAGGATTCTCTCTGGTGTTTCTTTAAAAATAAAATGTTTGCCTGTGGCTACGCCATCAAAAAGATTGTGAAGTACAGTAGCAGCCCAATTTTGTATTTCATTGCAAAGTAAAATGTTGTAGCGTTTGTTTAGTTGTGTTATTACTCTCCTCATTGATTCTTTCTCCGAGGTTTTGACTCTAAAAATGCCAACACTTGCATGCGGAAAAACCATATTTTTCTATTAAAATACCATAGATATGAAATAATTTATGCCTCAATAATTACACCTCTCCTATTCAAATGCCCTAAATATAAAACACAATTTCAATAATAATCTACAAGATATACTGAAAGAATTTTATTAAGTACCAAACAATTAATTCTTAAATTTTAAAAGTTTTCACCACTAATGCATGCAAGCAACAAGCAATTAGATTTGCTTAACTCAGTATTGAAACTCCTTACCCAAATCTTTCAGAAGTATTGCCTTGTAATATCTTTTCTGTAAATCGGTCATACCAGTGTAAAGGAGGACCTACTCAATCAGAATTACTGTTCATCACTTAGATCTACAGAGTCTTACAGCCTTAATAATTGGAAATTCACAACATTACTTGATTATGACATCCACAAATCATGAGGTAAAACATGACTATCCCACTTCAGTGTGAAAAATCCTATCATCCAGCTTTTGACTGAACAAGTTAACTCAGTAAAAGCATAATATGAATATGGCCAAATGATTAACCCAAAGATTTTCAGTTTTCTGAGAACAAAGCCGGTAATCCTGAACAGTCCTGAACCTGCTTGTGTAGCCAATCAGAATGATAATGACAAAGATAATTATTCAGCACCATTACCCTAATGTTTAAAGGCATTTTACAATATCAAAAATCATCCCAAAAAAATGGTAAATATAATGTTATGAAAAGCATCCTTCAAAAGAAATATCTTGATCTCACCCACTTGCAAAACAAAACAAAAATTTTTTCTAGTACTGACATCTTTCATTAAAAAAAAATTAAATTTGTAGAATGCACTTCTCACCTCAGTCTTTCTTGGTAAATGTGCCATCACCTTCAATGAGAAAAACACTGATAATGAAAATGTCATTTATCATCAAATTATGTGATTATCTTACATTTTTTTACAGACATATAACCATTAGTAATAGAATTTCATCTCAATTTTGAACTAGAAAATTCACATCACAGTATGTTCAAGGAAATTAAGTCCAACAAGAAGTTATAAAGTAGACATAACTTCATGAAATTATTTGGCATAAACTATTTTTGCTTTCTTTGGTTGAAACTTAAAAAGTGTCAGAGGTTATTCATTCATAAATATCTAAAATGGAGTATTTTTACCTTCAAGTGAATGTCACTCACCTCGGACTTAACTCGACGTAACAAAAATGGAGATAAAATATTCTGTAACTCTGTACTTGTGTCTGAAATCATGAGTAGTACTACCATAATCAACTTAAAATGTCATTTTAAAACATTATTTTTGTTTTTTGGCAGTATATAATGATGATAAGTAAGGCAATGGTAGCAGGACTGACAAAAATGCAGCACAAAGATAAGTCACCATAACTTAATAATAATAATAACAACAACAACAACACCAGCAGCAGCAGCAGCAGCAACAGCAACAGCAACAGCAACAGCAACAGCAACAGCAACAGCAACAACAATAACAATAACAATTATAATAATATTATTATTATTATTAATGGGAATTTAGTAGTGGACTAAACATGGGAATGGGAATTTAGCAGTGGACATTCCACAAGGTGGCTCTTTTTGTTCATTCTTTCTAGGCCTGGAAGTTGAATTTGGATTATTGATTTTTTCAGAGAGCGGCAAACCAAGGTCAAACCCACATAAAGACATTCAGAGCAAGGAAGAGAACCAGAAACAAACTCAATCCACAGTAAAAGGAAACTTGACACTAGTATTATTTGGGTGAGTCTCCAACTTAACTCTAATATTTAACAACATTTCCACCAATTGGTAAAGGTTACCAAATAAACATATCCCCAGTATAGTACCTGAGTTGTCAACATCTGTAAACTGCTCCACAAATTCCTCTACAGCATCAAGGGTGAAGATGTCAGGGCTCACAAATGAGAGCAAGGAATACAGCTAACAGATAAAACAAACCACATGTAATTAGAGCATTGTCATATGAAAATGAATCTACCCACATATTAATTCGTCAGGAAAGTTTTTCTTATTAAGATAAAGCAAAAAGCATTTGCATCCAGTCAAAACTATTGCATAAAAATCAAAATCAATGCAATAACTGAGTAATATTATGATATAACTAAGGTTCAACTCAATTTCTGGGACACATTCAGTGAAAGTTAATGATCTAAATCTTAATAAATTGAAAATTAACTTGCTTCATTCAAGTTGTTCTGTACTGGTGTTCCTGTGAGCAAAACCACAAAGTCTTTTTCAAACTAAAAAAAAAAAGATTAAAAAGGAGCAGTTCAACCTTATATCCCATATAAAGATCAGTGTTACTATTATCACTGCAATTTAATTACACTGTTGAGGAGACCAGGAATGAGAATTATCAATCAAGAGATGTTACCTTGACAAAACATTCAGTACTAAGAAATGGCTACAGGTATGTGGTCTTCATAGGAAAGAATTAAGTATCAGATCATAGTTGGAGAATTAACCTTGAAATTGTAGAAGTGAAGGGGTGTTATCAGTCAGAGCATATGTGACTACAAACAAATTTTTCTCTAGTTTTGATTTCATTTGAAGCATTGATCATGGTGTCATTTGAATCAAAATATTTAAATTTCAGTCAGTATAATTTGATAAAATCAGACCCACTGATAGAAACTGTATGTGAATGCAGTGGATGCACAAAAATATTCAACTAGTATTCATCCTCAATCAACACAAACCTGAGACAATTCTTGATAAAGAGAAGACCTGGGATTCTTCAATCTATGAGCCTCATCCACTATCATTGCTTTCCAGTGGAATCTGTGGGGTATTACCACAGTTTACTACTAAAATTGTAACATGTTTTGAATTTGTTGGCAAATTCATGTAATCTTTAGAGTAGGAATATTTGCAATTAGTTCAATCAAACAAATTATTTTAAATATATAACAGTCTTACTTTGAAAGGAAAGTTGTTTCCCGCAAACACATCTGCCAGTAAAAGATAAACCAAAACACATATTATGGTACAATGTGTACAGTGTGGTTGATATTTTTCTTGGTTTGTCATTTTTCAACTTAGTTTGATCTCACTTTTCCTCTGTGTTATAATTATCATAACGACAAATGCAATACAAATCATGAAAAATCAAAGTTAGTGAAACACCATAAATACTTTACATTCACTCACATGTATATAAACTTTGGTACAAGTCACATATACATATCTCCATATTTTTATATTAAATGAAATCTATCAACTACCATTATTGATCATAATGATAATAATACTAAATAATTTTAAAACTTAATATAGTGCCCTTTTAACATTAAATGATCAAAAGCACTCAATATTTTATTTTAAGCACTACATATATTGATACATATTTCCTGTGCCAGATAATTATTAAGTAACAATGATATTATAACCTAATTAATTAATTAATTATCAGTATGTAACATACTTCATATGTGGTAAGAAGGACATGAAATGAAAGAGACTCATTTCTATGGACAGCATTCTGAAAGATAAAAATCCCACACAAAATAAATCATTAATATCACCAAATGACATTGTCAAGCCAATCAAAAGTACAGTAAATTCCCTAAGCCATACACTTACAAATTAGTCTTTAAATTAGAGTGAACACACACAACATGATCATCTCATTGGGAATTCATGACACTCATTCAAGATATGACCTGGACCAGAGGGGTTGGAGGATATTACTCTCAGTACATTTAATACCTCCTCATCTCTATAAAATGCTGCCTTATAGGCTTTGAAGAGTGTAAATTTTGTATATCATTGTCATCTAAACCTGAAAAGAAAATGGTTTTGGGGGAATTTGGTAGAAAATTAGAAGTTTTAATTAATTTTCTAGAAAATTTAATAGAATCACATCAATCCTATTTTTAAAAGTACTGAATGATTACAATACCTGAGATTTGACCCCAATTCTGACTGAATTCTTTATTTCTTCTCGCTCATCTTTATCACCAATGAAGCTCAGCACAACTTGATGCCTAGAAAATCTGCATTTGAAAAGCACTGCCTTACATGACTTTTATAAACAGCAAGCACCATCATTACTAGACATGACAACAGTTAAGAAAAACAAACAACAAAATGCACACACCTTATTTCCTGAAATAACTGCCTGTGCACTTATTTAAAATTTTGGCTGAAAGGGGGTTGAGGAAGCACTTATTGGAAGGAGGATGCTTATCGGAGAGGGGTACTTATTTCGTTGGCACAGCAAGAGGCAGGGATGTAGATAATAGCTAGAAGCCAGGAAAATTACCCGGCTGTGAACGCGATTTTTCCGGCTGTGAAGCACTACTTCTTTCTCCAAAATGTTTTTAAATGTTTTCAGAATATTGTTATTTATTTATTTATTTCATTTGTTTACACCTTCAAATCTAGATATAGCGTGCCAAAGGCACACTAGAGTGGGCCTAATTGGCCCAAATACCTGCCTATCATTGCAAGATTCCTACCTGTTAAAAACTTTAGCTACATTCCTGAATAGGACATTAAAATAAAATCACAGATAACACATATAGAGGAACTAAAAAAGCCCATGAGAAATAGAGACTACTGGGGTGGGAAAGAAACTGTTGTCCTATACTGATTCTACTTAAAAAGTTACAAATAAGATGGCAATAGAAACAAATTTTCCTTGTATCCTTCCTATTTAAGAAAGTGAGGGAGGAGGGGGGCTGTTTGAAATTATGGCCAAGGGGGTGAGTGGTTATTAGGAGAAATATACTATTGTTGCCTCAGATGGGACAGGAGAGAGGGCCATTAAAGATCATAGTTTTTTTCAAAGCAAAAATGCAAAACAATTTACTTCTCAAATGTTGTTATATTATTGCAAACATAGCCTGAAAAGAGGTGCTATAATTTTTGATATTCAGGCAAATGGAGAAGGTAAGGTAAGGTATGCACAGTAAGGTAAGGTGTGCACAGTAAGGTAAGGTGTGCACAGTAAGGTAAGGTGTGCACAGTAAGGTAAGGTGTGCACAGTAAGGTAAGGTGTGCACAGTAAGGTAAGGTGTGCACAGTAAGGTAAGGTGTGCACAGTAAGGTAAGGTGTGCACAGTAAGGTAAGGTGTGCACAGTAAGGTAAGGTGTGCACAGTAAGGTAAGGTGTGCACAGTAAGGTAAGGTGTGCACAGTAAGGTAAGGTGTGCACAGTAAGGTAAGGTGTGCACAGTAAGGTAAGGTGTGCACAGTAAGGTAAGGTGTGCACAGTAAGGTAAGGTGTGCACAGTAAGGTAAGGTGTGCACAGTAAGGTAAGGTGTGCACAGTAAGGTAAGGTGTGCATAGTAAGGTAAGGTGTGTATAGTAAGGTAAGGTGTGCACAGTAAGGTAAGGTGTGCACAGTAAGGTAAGGTGTGCACAGTAAGGTAAGGTGTGCACAGTAAGGTAAGGTGTGCACAGTAAGGTAAGGTGTGCATAGTAAGGTAAGGTGTGTATAGTAAGGTAAGGTGTGTATAGTAAGGTAAGGTGTGTATAGTAAGGTAAGGTGTGCATAGTAAGGTAAGGTGTGTATAGTAAGGTAAGGTATGCACAGTAAGGTAAGGTGTGCATAGTAAGGTAAGGTGTGTATAGTAAGGTAAGGTGTGCACAGTAAGGTAAGGTGTGCATAGTAAGGTAAGGTGTGCATAGTAAGGTAAGGTGTGCATAGTAAGGTAAGGTGTGCATGGTAAAGTAAGGTTTGCATGGTAAGGTAAGGTGAGCATAGTAAGGTAAGGTGTGCATAGTAAGGTAAGGTGTGCATAGTAAGGTAAGGTGTGCATAGTAAGGTAAGGTGTGCATAGTAAGGTAAGGTGTGCATAGTAAGGTAAGGTGTGCATAGTAAGGTAAGGTGTGCATAGTAAGGTAAGGTGTGCATAATAAGGTAAGGTGTGCATAGTAAGGTAAGGTGTGCATAATAGGGTAAGGTATGCATAATAAGGTAAGGTGTGCGTAGTAAAGTAGGGTGAACATAAAAAGGTAAGTTAAGCATAGTAAGGTAAGGTGAACATAGTTAGGTAAGGTATGCATAATAAGGTAAGGTATGCATAGTAAGGTAAGGAGTGCATAGCAAGGTAGGGTGAGCATAGTAAGGTAAGGTGAACATAGTTAGGTTAGGTATGCATAGTAATGTAAGACGTGCATAGTAAGGTAAGGTGTGCATACCAAGGTAAGGTATACATAGTAAGGTAAGGTGTGCATAGTAAGGTAAGGTATGCATGGTAAAGTTAGGTTTGCATAGTAAGGTAACATGTACATAGTTAGGTAAGGTGTGCATAGTAAGGTAAGGTGTGCATGGTAAAGTTAGGTTTGCATCGTAAGGTAAGGTGAGCACAGTAAGGTAAGGTGTGCACAGTAAGGTAAGGTGTGCACAGTAAGGTAAGGTGTGCACAGTACGGTAAGGTGTGCACAGTACGGTAAGGTGTGCACAGTACGGTAAGGTGTGCACAGTACGGTAAGGTGTGCACAGTAAGGTAAGGTGTGCACAGTAAGGTAAGGTGTGCACAGTAAGGTAAAAGTGCACAGTAAGGTAAGGTGTGCACAGTAAGGTAAGGTGTGCACAGTAAGGTAAGGTGTGCATAGTAAGGTAAGGTGTGCACAGTAAGGTAAGGTGTGCACAGTAAGGTAAGGTGTGCATAGTAAGGTAAGGTGTGCACAGTAAGGTAAGGTGTGCACAGTAAGGTAAGGTGTGCACAGTAAGGTAAGGTGTGCACAGTAAGGTAAGGTGTGCATAGTAAGGTAAGGTGTGCATAGTAAGGTAAGGTGTGCATAGTAAGGTAAGGTGTGCATAGTAAGGTAAGGTGTGCATAGTAAGGTAAGGTGTGCATAGTAAGGTAAGGTGTGCACAGTAAGGTAAGGTGTGCATAGTAAGGTAAGGTGTGCATAGTAAGGTAAGGTGTGCATAGTAAGGTAAGGTATGCACAGTAAGGTAAGGTGTGCATAGTAAGGTAAGGTGTGCATAATAAGGTAAGGTGTGCATAGTAAGGTAAGGTGTGCATAATAGGGTAAGGTATGCATAATAAGGTAAGGTGTGCATAGTAAGGTAGGGTGAACATAATAAGGTAAGTTAAGCATAGTAAGGTAAGGTGAACATAGTTAGGTAAGGTATGCATAATAAGGTAAGGTATGCATAGTAAGGTAAGGAGTGCATAGTAAGGTAGGGTGAGCATAGTAAGGTAAGGTGAACATAGTTAGGTTAGGTATGCATAGTAATGTAAGATGTGCATAGTAAGGTAAGGTGTGCATACCGAGGTAAGGTATACATAGTAAGGTAAGGTGTGCATAGTAAGGTAAGGTATGCATGGTAAAGTTAGGTTTGCATAGTAAGGTAACATGTACATAGTTAGGTAAGGTGTGCATAGTAAGGTAAGGTGTGCATGGTAAAGTTAGGTTTGCATAGTAAGGTAAGGTGAGCATAGTAAGGTAAGGTGTGCATAGTAAGGTAAGGTGTGCATAGTAAGGTAAGGTGTGCAGAGTAAAGTAAAGTGTGCATTGTAAGGTAATGTGTGCATAGTAAGGTAAGGTGTGCATAGTAAAGTAAGGTGTGCATTGTAAGGTAATGTGTGCATAGTAAGGTAGGGTGAGCATAGTAAGGTAAGGTGTGCATAGTAAGGTAAGGTGAGCATAGTAAGGTAAGTTGTGCATAATAGGGTAAGGTATGCATAATAAGGTAAGGTGTGCATAGTAAGGTTAAGTGTGCATAGTAAGGTAAGGTGTGCATGGTAAAGTTAGGTTTGCATAGTAAGGTAAGGTGAGCATAGTAAGGTAAGGTGTGCATAGTAAGGTTAAGTGTGCATAGTAAGGTAAGGTGTGCATGGTAAAGTTAGGTTTGCATAGTAAGGTAAGGTGAGCATAGTAAGGTAAGGTGTGCATAGTAAGGTAAGGTGTGCATAGTAAAGTAAGGTGTGCATTGTAAGGTAATGTGTGCATAGTAAGGTAGGGTGAGCATAGCAAGGTAAGGTGTGCATAGTTAGGTAAGGTGTGCATAGTAAGGTAAGGTGTGCATAATAGGGTAAGGTATGCATAATAAGGTAAGGTGTGCATAGTAAGGTAAGGTGAGCATAGTAAGGTAAGGTGTGCATAGTAAGGTAAGGTGTGCATAGTAAAGTAAGGTGTGCATTGTAAGGTAATGTGTGCATAGTAAGCAGAATGCATAAGTCAGTACAGAGGGGAAGAGCATTACTTGACTTGCGCCTACCTCTACTCCCCTGAAAATGAAAAATCGGCCCATTTGAATAACATAGCCATATCTGAGTTAATTGCAATGTTGCTGAGCAACTGCACAATTCCAAGTTGTTTTAAATTCTTAACCAAAAAAAATTTTAGGTTGGGAAACCATTCTCTCTTGATAAACTGATAGTCTTTATAAATAAAATCCAAAATCATAAACTACCACCAAAATTAATACAAGTTGTCTTCACTGACCTTGAGAATTCATTTTGCCAGTTTTGCAAAACAGATAATGGACACACTATGAGAAATGGCCCTGGGCAATTGTTTACCCCTTGGAGATAGATCAAAAGAGCAATAGTCTAAAAACCAAAGAAAGTAGACAAGAGTTTTCTTTTTTTTAATGCAGAAGGTAACTTGTTTTAGTCTAAAACCCAAAAAACATAAGGATGTGCTTGCACTGCCCCTGCAATTTTACCATAAAAGATACCATGGTAAGGATAGCATTTAAAAATTTTTTATCACGTATTTCGAAGTGTCCTTCGCTGATATTGGTAAAGGAGCTTGTACTTGGGCCAACTCACCAATGAACACCTTGAGGCTCTCTTGCTGACTCAAGAACAAAACTGATGTCTTCAAAATTTTATGTAAGGACTCGAATTTCTTCTTTTTTCCACGCTTGTAACCAAATTTTTACCAGCATTCTTCAATGACAAAATAACGGTAAGTTTTCCGCACATCCCCATAATGCAATTAATTATGCCTACAATTCTTGAATAAAGATAACCATAGCGAAAACAATTATAGATTACCTTTGGGACCAGGGCCTTGTTTAAGAATTCTATGGTGCTTTACGAAAATTTTTTCAAGTAGGTTGATAGTATGGATTATTTCAAACCTGTATAGTTTTGCCAAGACCCATTTCATCTGCAAGAATGCATCCTTGTCCATTTTCCAAAGAACGCTTCATCCATCGCACTCCCTCCAGTTGATAACTGCGCAGTTGTATTCCCTGAAGACCATTTTCCTCTAAATCACCCTGGGAGAGACTGCTGCTTACACCTTCACCTGTAAGATTTTGAAGTTTCCCTAACTTGCTCCTTACTTTGTGCATGACAATCTACGGGGTCTCCGTAAAAGTGGGCCTAGTAAACGATGAGGCCAAATGTAAAGATATCACCAGGTGTTACCAAAGAAAACGTGAGGGACTAGGGCTAGTGTAAAGTGCGGGGCCCCACTAACCTTTGCGATCACCTAATTTACGGAAGATGGGGGAGCAGATGTGAAATTCGAGTGTCGTTGTGAGTGGGCGCAATATTAATAGTTGTCCTTCTAAATTTCACCGATTTCGCGATCGCCGCCTTTTACGGTCTTCCTCTGTATTTTTATGGTTAACCTACTGAAAGACGAATTGACGACCTGATCCTTGAATCATCAATTACAAATAACAACGTTTGTACGGCCGCTTCATCGCCTCAGGAAGTTGTTGTTTTTTTCTGTCAAATCGTTTAATTACTGTTTGGTAGCTGCTTCCTTATGGTTCAGCTGACGTTAGTCGAGGAGGCACAACTGACGTAAACTGTTACCCATTTGCTGAAACACTTTCAAATAAGACGCTTAAGTAACAGTTTGAAATCTTTGAAAGGTTTTCTTCGTCTGTAATTATTAAGAAAACCTTTCTAAACTCTGAAGGCGCGACTGGAACAAATTTGTTGTCAAGGAGAAGAATACGCCGAAAGAAGAATTGAAGATAATGGCGATATATAGGAGAGTTCTGGCTTTGATAGTTCTACTGTCGCTGAACGTTCTCGAAACACGACAAAATGGATTTGTCGATTTTACTCACCACGACTACGAACAAATGACGAGTATTCTAAACGACTTACATGCGGCTTATCCCTCTATAACTCGACTTTTCTCGTTGGGAAAATCAACAAACAACAGAGAACTGTGGGTTCTCCAAATATCAGACAAACCTGAAATTCACGAGCCTGGCGAGCCAGAATTTAAATACATTGGAAATATGCACGGAAACGAAGTAGTGAGTCGAGAAATTCTTCTCCACTTCATCGAACACTTGCTTCAGGGATACAACAAGGATGATGAAATCACAAATCTAATTGACACCACAAGGATAAGTATCATGCCTTCCATGAATCCCGATGGCTATGAGAAAGCGAAAACCGACCGTAGCAATCGATGTAGTGGAATAGTTGGAAGAAGAAATGCGCAAGATGTTGATTTGAATCGGTAAGTACGAGCTTGATTAATTCATTTTAATTTTCAGAATTGACGCGCTCGAATCGAAGGTATTTTGGTTTAATATCTTTGACTCAAGTCGATTTGTTTTTGCTTTTAATGTAGTTTAGGATTTTCGAATGAATATTTGTACATTTATCCAAAGAATTTGACCAAACAGATAGTCTTCAGCCTTAATGCGAAAAACTCTATGTAAATTCTAACTAAAAACATGAATACTTAACTCAAATAAATTGCCAACATTTCGAAGGTGCTCGCCCGTTGTCCAATAATTTTCTCCCTGAAGTTATCTGGTATATTGATCGCTTTTTAGGCTTTAGTATCTGAATGAGTATTATCGTTTTGATTTAAGCGGTTTCTCAAATTTACAGGGGCCCTTTTCCTTGTGGTTGACATATTTAAGGATTCTTACTCTTTCTTGGAGTTTGTCTTGAGTTATGGTCAGCAAGCGTTTAGAACTACATTTGTATGTTTGTTTAATAGTCATCAAATTTTCTCAGTTAGCTTCTAGTCATAACTTTTTATTATTATTATTATTATTATTTGGCTTGCTGTCACAGTCGTAATTTGGGAGATTTTTTAGCAAAAAAATTTGCTTTCAACCTAGGATAACAGCATAACCATAGAAACCTAGGATAAGGCAAGAAATGTATTTTTGAACCTCCGAGCTTTCAATGTACCTTTGAATGGACTTAAAAAAATTTAACGGATACAAACGCATTGTTGTAATTTAAATGAGGCTTGTTCAAGATATTAACCCAGTGCTCTAAGAAATTTCTCCAAATCTCCCAACTGGCTTGCATCTTCTTGTGGATGTTGATAAAATGGTACAAAGGTATTGTTGCAATATAAATGAAGCCTGTTCAAGATAGACACTCATTGCTCTAAGCTCAAGGTTTTTTAAAGTCTCAAGAAATAAAATGTTAAGGGTCAGTGGCCAAGAATCATATTTGAAGGATTACAACTAAACACTTGCACATCTGTGGGGAGGTAACAACAAGGCCCAAATGTTTTTCACTAAGAATTAGAGAAGCAAACTGATTACTTGCAGGTATATGAATGGGATTATCATAAACACCCAGGCATGTGTAGCTTAATTGTCACTGTCATGTATGGTTCACAACCTTTCCATGCTTTTCACAGAAGACAAGGCAGATTTTTGTATGTGCATCTTACATAGATTTTAAAGTTTTGGTGTGAAATTATTAGACCTAAACAGGTTGATAAAAAATGGAGCTTCATGCTTTGAAAATACACTAACTGTTTAATTTTCTTTGTATGTCACCAGAAACTTTCCAGATCAGTTCTCTGGGGTTGGTAAAAGGGAACTAGCAACTGAAACTCGTCTTGTCAAGAGCTGGATTGATGAAATACCTTTTGTTCTGTCTGCTAATCTGCACGGTGGTTCTTTAGTGGCAAATTACCCTTATGACAACAGGCAAGATAAACGAAGTATATATAGTAGGACACCTGATGATGATGTCTTCCGATCTTTGGCCCTGACATATTCTTTGAACCATCCAAAGATGCATCTACCAAGTGCTGCTTGTGATGGGGATCATTTTGAAAAAGGTAAAGTTGCTCAGAGATCTAAATACAAATGCATTTTCAAAAATATTGTTCACTTCTCTCTATGGAAGGTGTTGTTACTTATTGTAAGCATGTAACTGGTCTAGTTTTAACTCTTTATGCCCTAACATCACTATGCATATTCTCCATACTTTCTCTATACATTTCTTAAGGTTCTGAAAAGGAGAATTGTTTAACAATTAAGAGCTTCTTTAGTTATTAATAATTTTCCTTATTCTCATAACCCTTAATGTTTCATTCAGGGGTGATCTTGTAAGGAGAAATTAGATGCCAGTCACTCTTAGGGGTTAAAGGGTTAAGCCATGGCTGGGTCACAGTATTGAGATCTGGTGCAAGACACTTCTTTTGCACAGTGCTCCATCAGCACCCATAAACAGACATGGACCCGTGAGACCTGATTAAATGCCAGGGGGGTGGGGGTGACTTCAAGATTGATTCAAATCCTGTCAATACTCTTACCCTGACTTATTGTTACCTGAAAAAGGATAAACTCAGCAGGGGTAAGTAAGAATTGACGTCCACTCTTCTAATCATGAACAGCCAGGTTGAAAATTCTCTGTATTTTGCCCTCCCTCCACTTGTATTTCCTGCTTTGAAAACTTTACTGAACGGCTAGTTTCATGCTCGCAATCAGGTATCACCAATGGCGCGGACTGGTACTCAGTATCTGGTGGAATGCAGGATTACAACTACGTCAACAGTAACAGCTTTGAGTTAACTATGGAGGTGAGCTGCTGTAAGTTTCCTGAAGCTAGTACCCTTCAAGGGTTTTGGGAAGATAACAAAAAGTCCTTGCTGGAGTTCCTGAAACGAGTTCATACTGGTTTGACTGGCTTTGTGAGGGACCAGAATGGACAAGGTAAGTTGTATTTAAGTCCACATGAAATGATATTAGTATTCGCTTAAGGTTATACGAGTTCCCATTTCAATTAGCCATGATGCCAAATTGTCAATGTCTTGAAGGAAAATGACAATTTTAGAGTCTGAAAGTTGTTCCAATTTTCTTTCATAAAATTTTGTTGAATTCTGTGGATAAAATGCTACGAGGCATGGCCTGATGACTTTTTGTTATGGACAGTGTTCTGATTACTTTTGTACCTGTGATATGAGCACTTAGCAACTTGTGCTCAGTTTTACTTACCATATTTAATACATTTATATATGTTTGCATTTCAAAGACTTTGTAATTTTAAGCATAGAAATCCACTTTGCTTTTAGGAATCAAAGGAGCTGACATAAATATTTACCCTCGCAATCATCCAGTGAGAAGTGCCAGAGATGGAGATTACTGGCGTCTGCTTCTTCCTGGTGTTTACAAGGTGACAGTTTCGAAGCGTGGCTATCATCCAGTGGAGAAGATTGTCGCAATTTCCAAAGGACCAGCAACAAAAGAAAACTTTGTTCTGGAAAGTAATGGCCAGGCTATGGATGAGGCAGGCACAACACTGGAGGAAGTTGTACCAGATGAGGAGAAGAAGAAGCATGTACCAGTTTCATTGGTTGTTGGGTTAACAGTTGTTTGCCTAATTTCATTGCTGTTAGCATTAGTTCTTGCTATCTTGATCACCAAGAAATATCGTCAGAAAGAGAATGTCCAAGGAGAATACTCTCAAGTCCACACTGATCCATGAAGAAGATTTAATGGTAAAGTAAACTGTAGAATCGAATGACAAGATTTGTTTCACATACTGTATTTTCACTTTTAAATGCCAACAGAGTATTGCATGTCATTTGTTATTTAGGCACAGCTGTGTCATGCTGTAATACCTCAACCTGGCTAAAATTTGTCAAACAGATTGTTTAGGAGTGTTTTTATAACATTACTGCAACTATTACTTTAAGACAGAGTGAATGTTGTCAAATGATGCATCTTAATTTTCAACTACTTTTTCTCCTATTTCAGTAAATTTTTCTTTTGAAACAAATGAAAAGCGTTGTTTGAGAATTCAAAAACCTTGAAAACATTTTTCCTATGTAATTTTTTTTCATTTGACATCTTGCAGTGTGATTGGTCACAACACTACAAACATTTGTGAAATTATTTTTTGGTGTTTAAAGTTTTCTGAGTCTCACAGTAAAAATAGTTACCTCAGTGGTTAATCATGTGTATGATAATTATTAATAGAAATGTTTGGCCAATCACAGCTGGTATATTTATACACAGTCTATACAGGACTTGAAGACACAGTATTTAATCAAGAAAATTTAGTTCAATCAAATTTCAAAAAAAGGCATCCAAATTTTTATTTTCTTAAGTCATTTTAATCATAAGTTACTCAGCTTCCTGTTTTATTGTAATTTTGAAATTGATTTTTAGTTTGAATTTACTGTTTTCTAACAGTCATATTATTCACAGAATTTATTTATCACAGGTGTTTGGACATTTGATTGGTTAGCCTAAAGCCTGAAAAGCAACTGAATTTAGTAAATGTTGGTTCAAAACACAAGTTCAAGGAAAGCTTTAGGAATATTTTTTTTCAACTACAGTATTTGAAGTTAGTTAGGAATTAGTTTTTCTTATGATTTACATCAGAATTCATAATTTAGTGAAGAAAGGCATGGATTGTATTTACTGAATAATTTTTTCTTGATATTGTTTATTTTTATGAATACCAAGAGTTTCGTGTGTAAGATAAAAGGACAGTGATTAACAGAGTATCTTTGCACCCCTCAGTTATGAAATTGGTGACAGTTTTTTACACCCTTTTGGTCTTAGTCTGGAAGTGTCAAGTTGGGATGAAATGAGAATAATTGTACTTCTTCTTCTGTGGATAGTAAACCTACATGAATATTACTCAGTTCATTGGCAGTCTATAAATCATTGTTCCTTCTCAGTTTTTTTTTTCTGCTCTTCAATACCAAGACCAAGAGGGAGTGTTTATGTCTTTTAAGTAGTATTCTAAGAGCTTCCATTTGACAGCATCTTTGTAGAAAAGGTGCATTGACTTTTTGTTTGGTTACTATTGGAAACTGATACTTGAGGATGGTAACTCATGATGGAAATCTTATCTAAATCTAAAAGAAGTGAATCTGAGGTATTCGCACATGTTGAAAAAAGTGTGTAACCAGAAGTAGAGATAGAATGAAGAAATGAAATAAAGTTGTAAACTGCATTCCTTTTTTTTCATGAGTAAAGTGTTGGGGTTGAGCGCCTTACCCACACAGTTCTGCGTCGGGGATACCTCCAAAAGTTGTTTCCAAACATCTTGGAGCAGTAAATTAAGAATTGAGGTATTTTGTTGCAAATTATTGCGTATTCTGATCAAAGAATACCTTTGGCCAACTTGTAGATAAAGTATTCTAGAGTAGAAACATGTTTGTGAACTTGCAAATAGAAGTCATGTTGCAAAACTTGCTTGTAAAATATTAAAGTGACTGAAAGAAATCCAAAAAGTTCTGGAGGTTTTTTCGGTCTCACTTCGTGACTTTGCTCAAAAGCTTCCAGGAGGTCACGCAGAAATCCAGAATGATGGTAACCATCCAAAATGATATCCTGCATTTATCGACTGAATTACGCACAGGAAGTTATTTTCTCCAGAGCCGCTAATGTTCACGATAAGTTAGTTCCGTGATTATGACGTCAGACTCGGGCGAGTTGGGGGCGAGTAATTACCTCAGTATCAGTCAACAGTGTCTACACCTTTTTGTGAGTGAGTGACTCACTTGCATATCGGAGCCCCCTTAAAAGCTTGTTTCTTCGCTTCGTGTATCCACATGTTAAAAAAGAGGACCCGGACAGCAGATCAATCACGTCTCTACCTCTGATATAAACAATGCTTTCCCATGGAATTATTCCATAGACGAAAGGAAGCTTCTTTTTAATCGTCCTGGCGTCAGCTCTCTATTTCCAATGTAACGAGAGAAAGACAGAACCAGCGAGTCTTTCGTGCAATAATATTTCGTTTTTTTGCAGAACTCCTGTCTTAGTGAGGTCTAAAGAAAGTCCTTTGTCTGGTGTCAAATAGCTTGATGAGGCACCCTAGCTTAGGCCCCAAAAAGACTGGGGCTGAATATCTGTCTTTGACAGGACAGTTCCTCACAAGATGGACACCAACGCGATACAGACATGTGGTCCAGGCTTCTCATGAGACATTTACAACGAATTTCCTGTAAGAAAACCCGGAAAGTTCACCTGACATGAGTTGCAATTACGAGACGTTTCAGTTTTTTAAAAACTAATTATTTAAAACGATTTGTTTATCAATGCGCACGAAACGAAACGCAAATAAAAGTCTCACTAAGGCTCGTAAACGCAAATCATATTTTTAAAAACCGTATTGCATAGTTACTGCTAGTCAGTGAAGATCCCCACCCTCCCGACCCTAAGGACAGGGCCAGGAAAATAACGGCGTCATGCCGAAGTTTAAACACGCAATTAATAGTGTGATGTTACAGGACTATGAAAAGTTTAACACTTCCGGTCAATGACGGGGCATTTCACGGGATTTAACCTTAATCCAATCTGGAAAAGCCTGTGTTTGACTCGAATTTGTCATTAAGGGGGCATTGGCAAGTAACTTCGACAGCTGCTACGGCTGATTAATACTGATCTGAAAGAGATCACGCTTTGATGTCATGAACATATTGTTTTAAACATATTAATAATAGAAATTACACTTTTTTCGATTGTAATTGGTTTAAAAAACTCCTATTATCCACTAATTCACTTGCAAAGTTGTCATCGGACAGTTGTGTATCGGATGATTTTTATTAGACAGTTCAATAAGCCAATCACATTCAAAATTTTAGTTTAAATCAACCAACCACAACCTTGGTTTCAATCACTATAGAAACCGTTTGTTATTGTTCTGCGCCATTTTGATTATAGATTGAGCCCTGGGAACTAAGTAAACCCCCCCTACGATTTCGTCATTTTACCAAAGACGATGACGTCAGAGAGGTCTTTTTATAAGCCGAAAAACTAAGATTTAATCATTTCGACCTTAAGAAAATTCAAGGTCCCAAGTTTCGCTGTCACTGAACCATGGAAATTCCTCAAATAGATATCTCGCCTCTGATTAGCGGTTATGGTAAGTGCATCGTCGTTTAGATAAACGCTTCAATGATTCGCAATTTTTTTTTCATTTGTGTGAAAATCCGTCGCTGACTTTTTATAACATACCGAACATACGAAGGCACAGCATTTATCAGAGTGATGATTTGGTTAAGTTGAAAAATCGTAGTTGATATTTGTGGCCTGCTGATGCCATTCTAGAAATGGTAAAATATCCTAATCTAGCATTTAAGACCCCTATCTGCGATACAATGACTGTGACAGGAATATTTACACTTGAAACAACAGATTTCATGTTCACCTTTTTTTTTTTTATATACCTCAAAGGAAATTACACCGACAATGATAAGATAATGTTTGCAACCACAGATAAAGCGCTGATCAAAGTTTCCATTGTAACCATGTTTTATTTGTCATCATGTTCATCCTTTCAATCTTTGTTAGTTTTTTTTTGCCTTCAAAAGCTTATCATCTCCTGTCGATCATAATCACAGGATTTGAAGGAAATCCATAGAATCCATAGAGTAGAACACATTTCGGTCATACATTAACTTAATAGCTTGGGCTCCTGTTATTTTTTACTGTTATTAACGCGCAATAATTACTTAATTAAAGCTAGCTTTTTCAAGTACTTTTCAGAATTAGTTTTCAATCAATAGGCCGCTAAAAGAAGTCGAAATTAACATATTATTGTAAAATCTAAATGAGTGTCGACTATAGCTTTTACAAAAGAGGCATATATCGTGCTGAAAAGTATCGTATTTTGAACCTCTAACAGATTTGATTCTCTACCCAGGAGTATCTGAGGACATACACGAAGTCATAGCTCAAATCAAGGGGGCCTGTGAGGATATTTCTTGTTTCTATATCACTGGTCACGGAGTGGACACATCCTTGATGGCTGATGTAATAAAATGCAGTAAAGAGTTTTTTAACCTGCCAATGGACGAGAAATTAAACATCAACTTGAAGAAAAGTCCTGCATATCGTGGATACATTCAACTAGGTACTTTAGTTGCATATTAAAAATGACAATAGAAATAGTATTAAATACCAGTGTGCTCGTAATTAGAAGTTTCAATAAGTCGCCACAGAATTACATCGACCTTCCCTGTGGAACAAACACTCGTAAGTGGATACTTCCCCTAATAGCGGAGCTTCGGAGTGGATTATCCATACTCAAGAAAGAAGGGTAATTCATCAAACAGAGAAAATTTGGTTCTCATTTGATGGACCTCAGTCGGTACAGCCATTTATGACTATTTGTCTTAAAACGAACGCAAGCCTGAGAATCAAAATGATACTTTTGAAACTCCTCTTTTCCTACGAAATAAACTGCAAGCGAGTCGCAAACATGCTTAGAATATCTTATTTACTGATTGGACCTGTTAAAAAAAACATCAGACGCTCCGCTTAATGGTTCGGATAAGTATTTATATCAGTCAATTTTCTCTCAATAGCTAAAATTTTTCCTTACCAATTCATCAGATATGACACTAATTCTGTATTTCCCACGGAGGGACTAAAATCTCTTGAAAAACACTGAAATTAGTCGTGACATAGCGTCTTGACTATGTGGTGCATCATGATACGCATATATCCTAACTCAAAGATGCCTGCGGGTCCTAGCCTAAATTTCGACCCTTTGATCCATCGGTCCAACGAACAATTTTTAATTAAATTTTCAATAAACAAAAACGTGGAAGGCAAAGAAAGATTCACATTCAAATACATTTACACCAGAATCAATGCCACATTTCCATTCATGGTACTTACTAAAAATTTCAGTCTGATCAGCCTTGAATTATAATTGTTACTGTTTTTACTTTATTGTAATCATAAATGTATTATTATTAAAAGGTTCTGAGAAGACAGCAAGCAAAATCGATATGAAGGAAGGAATTTATTTTGGCCCAGACCCTGGCTCGCATGACGCTGATACAACAGCCTTGGAACCTATGATGGGACCTAATCAATTCCCGGACAACAAACAATTACCAGGATTTGCCACAACTATCAATGATTACATGGACAAGATGTCCTCGGTAGGGTAAGTACGCTAGTTAGACTTATTCTCCATTTCTCCTTGAGGGCTGGTACTGGACAAATGATCTCTGTCTTACTCTGCTCGTGTGTCGACAAATTTATCAGTTAACTGACTTGTTAAAATTTTCCAACTTGCTCCAATAAACTAATCTTTTTTTTATTTCAACCTTACTTAGACATGCTTTGATGAAAGGTCTCGCTCTTTGTCTTGAACTAAATGATGATTACTTCCATGACAAATTCAACCCAGCTTTTCCAATGATGGCTCTATGGCATTACCCACCCGTCCCTGGAGACTCAGACTCATGGGGGGTTGGACCTCACACAGATTATGGAGTGCTCACTTTATTGATGCAGGATAGCGTAGGAGGTCTGCAAGTCAACACAAAATGTGGAGACTGGATTGATATTCCTCCCATTACAGGTAGATGAACCATTTATTTACTCGTGCACTTGCTTATTTGATGTTAATAGTGACATAGAAGACAAATTTCTCTCATATTGCCTCTCAGTAGAGATGCTGTTCTGCACCTACGCGTGAGACACAGGTAGAGTTGAAGATCAAACACGGCAATCAAGGATTCGAAAATTTATTTGCACGATATCCGATCTGGTCGAACATATATATATATGTATTTGTGTGTATGTGTATATATAGTCAACTGAAATTACAAAAATTATATGAAAAAATATTACAATAGTGTACGTTTGTGAACGCGAGGGCAAAACGATAATACGTAAAATTTGTATCCACCAGTCCTTCAGTTCCCGGTTAAATACAGTTCAAACTTCACTTCTTCAAACAATCGTAGTTCTGATCTCTCCCTCTACTCGTTATAATATTTTTCGCGTCCTTTCTATATAACGTTTACGCAATGGAGGCATGTATTTTCACGAAACTATGTAAAACATTCTGCGCGAAATGCCGATTGCATCCAATGGTATTCACAAATTTAATGTTTCGTGATAACGTTTCTGAGAATGCGGATGAATTAATTTTAAAATTATTCCGTTAATGTACCCTCAAAAGGATAAACCTAGTAATCGTAACACAATTACACGAAACTATGCAAATAGTCTGCGTGAAATGCAGATCAGATGCTTTATGCTGTATTGCTTTATGCTGCTAAGAACACGATAAGTTCTGGCAGAAAGAGCCACGGGTATAGCCTTATGGTGTTGAGGCTTGATTTTCCATATATATTTACCCATTCAGTCATTCATTGTTGTAGGAACATTTGTGGTCAACATTGGTGACGTTATAGAGGCCTGGACCAGGGGAAAATTCCGTGCTACAGTGCACCGGGTCAGAAATTCGACAAGAAATCATCGAATATCAGCACCTTTCTTTTTCCAACCGGGTCTTGACTGCATCATCGAGTCTCTTGATGACGTTTTGGCCTCAGATCGTTGCCCTGAAAACCCCGGTGGAACTGCCCAAACTGCGCTGTCGCTTCATGAGCCCTTTAAGTTTGGGGATTATGTGTTTAATAAGTTTCAGAAATCATATGGGAAGGAAGTTTAAGTCGTTAATTAATGTTATGCATGGCCTAAGTCTGGTCAAGTAAAGAAGAAAAATCGATAATTGCGCTGGTTTCGCATATCCTTTGCTTTGGGATTGACCCTTGACAAACAACACTGAATCAATGACGCCTCATCACTGATGTTTTGACGAGCTCGAGGCTGGTTTCCTAATCTCTTTTTTTCAATTCACAATAAGTTCGTGTCTTCATTAATTAATCAGCTTATTCCGATGGGCCGTCAACTGAAAACCAACTCAGTTGAAGAGCCCTGATTCATTTGTTAGTCTGTCGCTCATTTTACGGGTTATTTTATTGGTTTATTTTGACCAAAGGGAAACGCTTTTTCGTAAACAGGTCCGTTAACTGTGAGCGCGTTAACTTTTTACTTCGTTTGCGTGTGTCAGTTCCCTGCACTCTATTTAAGGTTCGCATTGGTTTTGTCTTCGTGCAGCTTAATGCCGATGATACATTTTCCGAGACAATCCCTGTTTTTTTCACCTTGACAATGCTCTTCGTACTTTTTAGTTTACCTTTCATTGTAGAGGAATTTTCAATTAAGTATTGAAAGTAATCCAGCTCTTGCTCAACTAAGCTCTATGATTATGGTCTGGAAAACTCACGCTACCCTCTCAACCAATCAGATGCAAAATTGATAGGTTAGGCAGTATGCTTGCTTTTACCATTGCGTTCCCATTGGCTCCTTGTAGATACTTTTTAATTTTTGATTGGTTATAATAAGTCTTCTTTTGGCTCGTGCTAACTCAGTTCAAACGTGCTTTTCATGACTCTATAATTGTTTGAGTAATTTTTCCTGACTTTGATTTTGATGACCTTGAGGGTAAAACCTAAAGGCCGCCTAATGAAGGCCCTTTAGAGGGAGATTGGTTACAGAAGGATCTGATTGCTTCTCTTCCTTCCTATACCTATATGTCAAATAATAAAAGTAAACGCTCTCTTAGCTTAGTGGTCATTTGTAATTTTAGATCCAGTAAACGCGTGGGGAACACGCTGGAATCTGGATCGGGAGATCTGGCTTCCAGCCCTAATTTGGTCTTTGTGTTGCGTTCTTGGACAAGACGCCTTTCTCTCTGAGTACCCCTCTTTACCATGCAAGAGTATCAGTACTCTTGGGTAATTCCAAACGGTTGTCAAGATTTGCGGATTTTGTGAAATCGGAATTCGATGTTGAACTCTCGCTCATTTCGCAAAGATTTGTGTTTTCGATGCCCTAGTCGAGATTAGGGGGCCAAAAATCACGGCTTCGCTGGGCGGCACATACCCGTGTAAGAATTACATAGGAGTAACACATGGCTCTTATCAAACTAATTATTCATGCTCAGGTTATATATTATTTTTCTCTTTTACATCATCTTTTACATACTTCATATATTTACAGCGATAAAGCTCATCAAACAATTTTTCAACAGGTAACCGTATTTAGAGATGCATATCGATGATGGTTGGGTAGCCTGCGGATAATATTATTTCTGTCTTCATTTATGCGCTGGACAGAGTAAGATGAAAGATTTGCGGACTTTTTTTCCAACAGTGTGCGGCGAAGAGCTTATTTCAATTGATAGTTCTTTATCTAAGGGATGCTTTGAAGATAATTATCTTCCAGAATGTTTTACAAAGCCTGACTGAGTCGCAGTCATAGTTGTTCTGAGCTACTTTGTATTGCTCTCAATAAGCTCCCAAACTAATGCACATCCAGTGTCATCGGCAGAAATAAAATTTCTTCCAGCGAAACAGCACGTTAAGATTGCACCGGTATGTTGATTGGAGCTGAAACGAAATCAAGAGCAATTTAAGTAAAACAATTATCAAGTTTCATGGGTGCAAAATTTTGAAGACAGCTAGAAAAATAACTACTTGGAGTTTACTTTGAGAGACACGATTTGTTGAATTCTTTCTGAATATATTGTGCTTATTTCCGGATTATTATCCAAAAGTTAATCCCGAGATGACACCAAGATGCGCTTATCCAAGACTGTACAAAGATCTACGTCTTCATGGCTGTGTGACATTTAAGATAACACTGGCTAATGAACGACATCTGACCATGTGCTGATGCCAATGGCTGAGATGGATAAAGAGGGCAAGAAATAGCGACAAAAATGAGCGTGGTCGAGATGAGAAAGACGAATGAAACAGAACCACATGGAACTGGTCTCTGTTAGGTTAATTGCTCTGGAAGAGTGAAAACGACTGTTTTCTAGCATAAAATGAAACACTAGCAAGCTCCGCTGGGAGAAAAAAAGCGGAAAGGAGGAGAAATAAGTTGGAAAGGATGAGCTGAAATGTGTCGTGGAAGGGGGCACAGCATAGAGAGTGATTATTGGAGAAAGTGATCTCCTAATGCGCCCACTGATGTGGTGAAAACAGACGGTGATGAGAAGATAAAATCAGGTGTGACAAGGTATAGACATCCCGAACAAACTAAGCAATACCGTACCTAGTATCCTTCCAACTGCTCCAAACGTGGTCCTCCACAGAGTCCCAGATGTTGATCGTAGTATCACTTGCCACGCCTACTATGTGCCTGCCGTCCGGAATAAAGGAAATTGCCTGAATAAAAGACAAACATAGAGGATGAAATGAAACGTTTTTCATAAGTGAATAAAACCTCTGCGACCCTTAACAGGAATGGAGCCTTAGACCTAAGTATCCGGAGTAGGCCAGTCAGCCGATCGGACAGGCCACCTTATCTTCTACTTCCTTATCTTTCCAGAGGGTAAGAGGGAACGAATTATCCATGGAAGATTCTTAAAATTACCGAAGGGATGCAACGCTTGCCGTAGGTGCATTTTCCCTCAGTGCCGCATAGCAGCTTTCTTTTATAACCCTAACAAACAAACCTTCAATTGTTTGCTGCCTCTGATGTCTGCACTGTTTTCAACATTATAGCTAGTCCCATGCATAGTCCATACTGTTGCACTGTTGCCAGCTAAGGAAGCAAACACGGGGTCGACCGGTGAAAATATTATACTCTTTACAGGTCCGGGTAATGTGCCTAGAGTAGTCACGCAGCTCCAGTCACTTTCCTGTCTCCATACGCGGATCGTCATGTCATCTGAGCCCGTGAGAGCCACAGCAGCATCCGGCGAAAACTGAATACAATTCACTGCGGCGGTATGCCCCACGAGTTGTTTAACCTCTCCACCAGGAACAAATTCCCCTGCACCTGGTTTTATCTTGTACAGGCGAGCGGTCCTATCGCGTGAAGCGGAGGCGAGAAGTTTTCCATCTTTCGAAAAGGTGCAGTGAAGGACGGCATCTGAGTGGAGCTCTGTAAAATAAAATAGTGGATCGTTACCTCTGAAGAGAACAGAGTGAAATTCAGCAGAATGTGGTAAAAACCATGGAAATAGCCACAACAGCCAAGGTAAAGAAAGAGAATATTACAAGGAACCAAAAACATTCAAGTAAGAACGAAGAAAGTGTCTGAAGAGCGTAAAAATGTCGGTGACGAAGTCACGACTCTTCTAAGGTGTGGATGAGAGGATAGTGTGAGTTTTGTGAACAGATCGACACGATCGATAGACAGCAAAACTACAGCAATCCCTCAACACTTGACAGAAAATAATATCACAGAACGATACGGTGTTAGAATGACATAAACTCTGTTTCGTTTGATCAACACTCGGATGTTAGTAAGTTTCATTGTATTTTTGTTTGTGTGGTCTTGTTCTTCGAGAATCAATTATAATGAAAAGGACCAAGAAAGTCCACGGTTGATTTTTTAAGGAATATTCGTTCAGGTGGAATTGTTTGTGTCAAACAGAATCTACTACAAAGTCTTTTTGCAAAGGAGGAAGTACTTGAAATCGTACTCATTTTTTTTTTTAACAGTCCAGATGGGTTAAGTAAAAACTAATATTCCACGGTAAGCTTTCATTTCCGATTATATGTTTTATCAAACCAGGAAAGATTGTGAATCAGAACAATGTCGATCGCTTCAACTATTTTGATCATTTTCTTAGATAATTTTCATATAACTTTTACGAGATATAGCTGATAAAAATTAAACCTTGCTGGCCTTTTTAAAAAATTACCTAGATAATTCCATTGGATCTGTGTAAAGGCAAGAGGCGATAATTACTTGGTACAGGTTAATTCAACCTTTATGTTTAGAACTTCCTCTTTCAACTAAGTCAATTAACTTGAAACATCTAAGGAGTAACCTTGCGCAAAAGTGCATTTTTTCGCTGATAGTAGATTTTTCATTCATTTTTTAAAGCGTTCTGTCTAAAGCAATGCTTTTTAGTAGAAAATGAAAGATACAAATCGGGGGAAATTGCGCAAAACAGACATAACTATATCTGGATTAACGAAAAAGAAAATCAGACTGTTAAAAAAGGATTGCCCAGGAAAAAAGTAAAACTGACAAAACATAATTCTCTGGTTCAATTGTGATGTAAATTTATACTACTTGTGACCAAACCTCGCGCGATAAATATTTGATTTTAAGCTGCGACAAACAGGTGCGCTTTGAACCGCCGCTTTCGAGTTAAATATTATCATCCGATTGCAAACCATGTTGTATTATGTTCAATGTTTTCCTCAAGCAAATTTAATTATTAAACCTCCTACATTTATTCGATTCCAACAGCTTCAGAAGGAAAAGACTATATTTAAACAAAGCTGGCTTTTTTAAGGCCAGGGTGTATTGACGCGGACAAGGAATTGCGGACTGCTGTACGACAGTATCGTTGTTGATTTCTTTTGCGGTGAAACACTTTCGCGGACATCAAATTGAAAAATCGACACTTTTTCTGATCAAATTGTCCTACTGAGAAAGAGTGCTTTTCCTACATTGCTAAATATTTTATCTCTGAAAATCGTCTTTTAATCGTTCAGTTTGTTATTATAGCTGACGAAAATCCTTTTGCCAATTGAAAATCTACTTGGTCAACACTAACAATTGAATACATAATGCACTTTGTCTATAGCGCATCTGGTTTTGAGTTAAATGATTCAAATAAGAACTCGTACTTTTTTTTTTCTTTTCAATGTTATATTCCAAAAATAAAAATGATATTTTAGAAAAAAAGGGATAACAGTTTTTACCTAAACGAGAAGCCCGTTTTCCAGTCTTGTAATGCCACAGAATGACTTTCTTGTCTCGAGACGAAGACGCCAAAATGTTTCCTATCGAAGAGAACGCACACGATGTAATTTCGTCCGTATGGCCGCCTGAAAGGGTTCTTAACTTCTGCCCGGTTGCAATTGTCCAAAGATTTATTTTTCCATCGGCAGAACACGTAGCGAGAGTCTCTTCTTTGGGATCTACAGCACAATACAGTACATCTTTGTGACCCTGTAGACAGTGGACAACTCGCAACTCATACTTTCCGCCGTTAATTCTTGAGGACATCTTTACCAGGTCAGCGCTCTCCACTGAAAAACAAGAATTTCCTTGGCTGTAAGAGGGCAGATATATGAAGTGTTGTTACTCCGGGAACATTTGAAATTTAAACTTAAGTGTTTAGTTTGGCGAGCCGGCCGAGTGAACCGGCGTTGTCGACAATAGGACGTTTCAAGTTGGCACTTTCAACAATTCTATGTAAATTTGATGTCGGATGTGGCTTAGTCGGTCATTATATTTTGTTCTACGCAAATGAACGAAACGCGCCCATCAATATTTTTAATGTCACGAAATAACTTGTGTATAACTACAGATACCGTTCGTGACAAAGAGTATCTCGGGTGTTTTTACTACAAGAAAAAAAAAACGTCAAAATACGTGTGTTTGTATAGTGTGTGGAATTTCCATATTCAATTTTTCCGAAATGAAAGAGCTCCTTTCGTTTCCTGAACCAGCTTCTCCTCCAAATGCTGTGGGGATTGTCTAAAGGTGTTCTTTTGTCGTAATCTAAAACTGAAATGTTATTTTGTCCACCGTCAGTAACACACGGAAAAGAGATCATTTCGTGGTGTCAGTCGCATGTAAGAATATCGCTCAATTTTACGTGTCAAAAGAACGCACACTTACGTCGTTTACCTCACTGGGCGAACGATACTCGTTTACAGGACCAACGGAGAAATAGTCCTTTAAGTAAAGCTAAAAGTCGACACCATGTAATCATTTGAAGTACAATGAAAATTTCAGTGGTGCTCGGTCAACGAAATAGCTCTGGTTTGGTAACCCATCGTCAAAGAGTCTCTCATAAAAACTTACCCGTTAAACTAAAAACAGAGAAGAATTGCTACCTCCGGTCGCCCCGTGAGCGAGCGATGTTTGTATTTGATGTATTTGGGTCGAGTGCAATCAGTCTTTGAACCAAGCCAGACGTCAGCCCAGTCATGCGCATTAATGCTCTTAAGATTTGCGGGTGATTATGCTAGAAAAGCCTATCATGTTCTGATTGCAGGTTGTTCAACGGAATATCGGTTTTGTGGGTTTGTTCGGGTCAATTGTATGACGTTTTCTCGATTAAGTCGTAGTCTGACTATAAAATATGCCACGTCAAGTGACTTTGGTGGCCAACACTTTACAAGTACACATGCACAGTTAAAGTTTGGCCTCTCGGCAAAACTTGTTCCAATTTCATGCAAAACAACAACAACCACATTGCTGGCATCGCATTTCATTCAGTTAGGGGTTCAACCGATTGTTTTGCAAATAGTGTAAATTTTGACAAAAGCCTTAAGGTGGCTATGTACCCAGTATGCGGAGTGTCTCACGTGACATCCTCATTCGTTATGGGTTCATGCCCTTTGCTTTAGCCTCGTTCATCCATTTTGACAGTATATGTCACTTAATCTGGTTAAGCATGGACGCCTTTGACTAATATCGAAATCCAATCATGAATAAATTTTTTGGACGGCCAGTTCCAACCAGCTGTCGAATTGTCCTATCTCAAATGGCGCCTGTTGAACGTGTGACTTTGATATTCAAATATATTTGACTTGTTGACAATTTCGACATTCCGTTGTAGCTTTGTCTTTGACTGATCTGCAATAGAAACTTTTTTTTTTACTATTCAATGTAAAGTTTTACAGCAAAGTTTCAAATTAAGTAACATGGGAATGAGTTCAGCAAAAACATGAACAAAGGTCAAGAGCGTGAGCCGGCCTCTCTAAGAAATAAGCGTCATTCTCTGAAGATAGTGTGTTAATTTAGTGTTATTCGATCTCATTAACTCGAAATATTGCGCATTGAATAACCTTGAGAGAACTTTGTATAAAACACATCAAGCCTATTTCAATATGGTTATTAGTATGGACGAAAAACAAATTTTGTGGAAATACTTTTCTAGGTACTGCAGTTACGAAACTTTCCTTAGGTAACCTTCACTTACATTTCAAAATAAAATATGTGAAAATTTGGAAATGAGCCTTGATTATTCCGGCAGATCGATATGATCATGATACTCCATTCACTCAACTCTCTACTGACAAAAAGTATCTTCTGCTCTTAATGCCAAAAACTTATACTTTTCATAACATAAACTTAGCCATGAGCGACTTACTGAATATCATATATCGGCTATCGAAAATCAATATCTTAAAACCTGTTTAATCGATAACCTTCTCTACTTTCTTGACACAGTTGTTTGGATTTTGCATTTACGAAGTCTACATCATTTTTCAGCTATAAGTCGCATAAGAAACTTTTCACGAAACTTGATCGAATATCTCAGCGTAATACAATGATGTTTCCGTTTGGTTTTTGGACTGTTAAGATCACATTTGCATCTATATAGACTCTAAGGTTATTCTGGAACGAGTTGTCTAAACCACTGAGACCGCAAAATAAATAACATATAACAAAATAAAAGGAAAGCAAGAATCTTAAATAGGTCTTGTACGAGAGTAAAAAATAGTAACAATATTTTACTTCACAAATCGGTTTTAAAATTAAATTTGCTTTACCATTACTACCTTACAAACGTATGTGGTCGTAATTTGACAGTTTTCATATTTTATCACACGCAATGTCAGGTGGAAAAGTCATTTTTATGAAAAAGAACTTTCCTCTCACCTTTCGATTTCGTTCCTTTCAGAGTCAATTCCCCCTGTTTTGACCAACAACATTTCATGGCAGCTTTACCTGATTGTTCAAACTTCTACAACTAATCGACGAACTTTTGGGGAATGGTAATTTTACATGGAATGCAACCACAACAGATGTCTCCTCCAAGGGTGAACTATCCTTGGAGCTTTCCAGAATCTTGAAAAACAATTCAAATTCCAATGTCAAATCAACAATATCAAAGCATGTCTACCATGTCTTCTCTTAGTAAAGCTCAAGATAAATATTATTGACTGGTTCGTGAGTGGGTGTTTCTGTCACGCCGTGTTCGTGGTTTTCGGGATGAAAACTTCTGAGGTTCGTGACTTTTTGTTTCACCTCTATTCCCAAGATGGTCGCCGTATTTAATTCTTAGCAGATAGAGGTGTGATTCAAAGGTAAGAACACGTGCAACCAAGGGAAAAGGGGTTAACACGATCAATTGTAGCATTAAAAGTTATCATGTTCTACATGGTCACGGCTTTCCTTAGTCACGGGACAAACTGCATCACAGGAGAGTCGGGGGGGGGGGAATGGGGCTGAAGAGGGAGAGTTAGGCTTCTTCAGGGAAGTCCTTTCCGATGCTACTGGTACTACGAATAACGGGATTTCTTCTAGCTGATATTTTAGAACGGCCAAGGAAAATTGATATTAGGTGAGTGACTGTAGCTTTATCGTTTATGTCTTCTTTTTTTTTTCTTCAGTTTTTCCAAAATTCCATTTAATGATACTTAAGAGATGTATTGTTTCACCGTTAGTAATGCGGGGTAGAAGTATGCACATGAAAAAGAGGAAACCAGTTTATAATGTATAAAATTTATCTTTTATTTTCTTGCCATCAGCGCCATTTTTGCAATTCATTTCGCTAAACAACTAGAGCGGCTCGTTCACTAGGCCGTTACCTGATGCACATTGCGAGCTTTGGCACAGCAAAGCCTCTTGCAAAAGCACATATATGTATATATATATATAAATATTGACTTCACTTAAGGAAATAAATAAATAAATGATAAAAAAAAAGGAAAAAGATAAATTCAAGTAGTCCCCTTACACATATCTGTAGTTTCCTTACAGACTCGACATACCCTAAGCTTTCCATAGATTAAAACGCGAAAATGGACAAAGAGCGGAATCAATAAAGACATCTGATTCATGTACAGTAAATGATAGCTTAATTAGCCACAGCATCTTAACTGCCCTTCCTTACTATAGGCCTCTATTTAAGAAGAAATAATTACGACTCGTCGAAGTCTGGAAGCAAGTGTTGCAGTTAGTGTTTGTATCAGGCTGGGTCCTTTCATTTCTAGAGTGACAACTACAGATCAATAGTACCAAATTTTTCAAGTAAATGAAAAATTAAATTCCACCCTTAGTTGGCTCATCATTTGCAATCGGAGTCCGCCTGTATCTTTTACATTAACGACTATTTGCGTTCACTTTCCGTTGTCATAATTTCAAAGGTAAATTTTGAAAACCTTTTTAACTGGAAAGGTGATCTTTCCCGTAAGAGCTACCAATCAGCGTCTTTGAGCGGCGGTAAAACGATAACAGGAATTCGAATTTACTTGGCACTCTTAGAAATGAAAGGATGACCATTCCAACCGGGCGAGGGGTATTAAAAAGTAATAAAAAAAGCAAATAAACAAATTGAAAACTATGAGAAAAAAAGTTTTCTAGTTATTTGTTACGTGAAAAAACACAGTTTTCCAATTTACAACAGATATCATTATAAAAATGGGAACTATGTGAAACTACTTCAAATAGAGATGGGAAAAAAGTAACATACTACGACCTGCACAACAAGCACATTATTATCACATTCAGACAGTGACAACAGTTACACAACTAGAACTTAATTGTTGATGAGAATCCTATTAGTCCACAAGTTATTAGGCAGACAATACAATGTCTCAGACTTAACTTCTCACAACCTTACAACAACGTGGAACATTCCATATTGTGATTTTCAGAATGTCTGCTAGGAAAGTTGTCTTGACTTTGAAGAATGACTACATTTATCTACTCTCCATGTAAATAGCTAAAAGGAAACTTTGAAAAATGATTCTTGCATAATGCAAATTTTGTACCAGTCAATATAAAGTGAGAGGAAAAAATTTTAGAGAATTTTCAGAAAGATTTGTTTTTAATGTTGTAAGGCTTTGAAGTAGTAAACTCACTACCTGAAAAAGCAGAATATTTCTGTTTTTTACTAACTTAATGCGGTGCTGAAATTGTGTACAGCTCTCCCAAACAATGGACCCAGAAATAAAAAAAAATTAAATTAAAGAGAAGTTGAAGAATCTTCAATTCTGAAAGAAGTTTCCAAACACAAAAATATTTACATAATGATATCATTAATAGTAATAATAACAATAATAATAATAATAATATTTCTAAACAGCAGCAGCAAAGAACTAGTTTATCTGATAAATGGTTAAAATAGGATAAACTTAATCCAACACAGTTTAGCAAGGTCCACTAAGAAAAATTTCCAAACAAATCCATAAAATTGTACCAGAGAAGTTCCTACAATCATTTATGATGAATTCATTTTTCTTTCAATTCAAGTCACATAACCTTTGACTGCTAACATCTGCCAGTTACTTGTTTGAAAATGTCTAATACTCAATTGCATCAGGACAATATAATGCAGCTGATAAATGTTATATCCTCTATTTAATGGTGTAAGAATTAATTGGAGGAAATTATACTTTGCTTACCCTTGATTCAAAGAGTTTTTAAACCCTGTAAAGTCTAGAACATTTTAAAACTCAACAGAAATCATTAAACAATAAAACTTAGCCCTCCATGTCAACTTCTCTAGTCTTAACTACAACATGAAGGCCCAGTGCAATAAAAGTTAATGGAAAATTGTTTCTCAGACAAAAATGGACTGTCCTTTTCATAAATCATTGATAATTTGGCCTATACAATTTGCTGAAGCGATGAATGTAGCTGCAAATATTGAATACATGATAATATCTTCCACCGTTCCTATAAAATTCTCATTACCTATATGCAAAGAAATGGAGTGGATCAAAAGAATTCCTGGAGAAGTCCCACACCACACTCTTAACAAATGGTCTTGATTTGGAAAATCTGCTTCCCTTCAAAACTAAGAAGCTTGATTCTTAAAATTTTTATGACTAGTTGATAAAAAGGATAGCCACTACCACAACTGGGGAGAACTCTGCTGTTCTGGCTGTGGAGCTACTCCAGAACTGTGAAATAAAAATTAAATAATCGAAGGTAATAAGTATTTGTAATGAACATTGCATAAGGAAAAATGTAAGTTTTCACCAGGATTTGAGCCCAAGACCTTCTAATTTTGAGGTCAGATTATCTACAAACTAAACTACTGATAACTGAAAGCAACAGTTATAGGCCAAATAACAGGTTTGTAAATACATGGTAAGTGGTTCATTGTTCAAGAAACAGTGTAAGAGAGCACAATTCCTTTTTATAGCTTGACTTTGAATAGAAATAAGGTCTTTTGTATTAAAAATTTAAGATGCGTTACTGAAATTGGTTTCCAAAAAGGTGGATGGATAAGTCATCTAAAATTCTGCTTGAATGGTGAAGTTTCTCTGGGATGAAACTGCTAATAGCATATTGAAACAAGTACAAATTTTACAAGAAAGGTTAACATGGCGAGGGGAATTTCAAGTTTAAAAGTCAGCTTTAAGTCAGCTTTAAGTCAGCTTTAAGTCAGCTTTAAGTCAGCTTTAAGTCAGCTTTAAGTCAGCTTTAAGTCAGCTTTAAGTCAGCTTTAAGTCAGCTTTAAGTCAGCTTTAAGTCAGCTTTAAGTCAGCTTTAAGTCAGCTTTAAGTCAGCTTTAAGTCAGCTTTAAGTCAGCTTTAAGTCAGCTTTAAGTCCACTCATTGCATCTTCAGTATTTCAACTGGGCCAAACACACCAGGATACTTTTCATTGAAAAAGAGGAAATGTGATATTACTAGTAAGAACAAATTGTTGAAAATTTAAAAATTGTCTTACCTTTGAAAACTTCTAAAAGAAGGAGAAGCTACATTGATACACAAAGGAATGGTGTTCTGATGACGATCTGTTATAAACTTGTAAAGAGACTCTGAAAAGAGGAAATCGAACCCAGTAAGAAATAAATCTTTTTTTCAAAATAGAATAGAAAATAGGAAAAAGAATGAAAAAAATCTGCACACAAACCTTTCACACGAGAAATGGTGTAGAGATTAGTTTCATAAGAATCATCAAAAGTTGTTTGGCATACAGGCTCAAAGTCTATGGAAGAGACAAGAAATAAGTTAGATTAATTTGTAATAACACATACAAAATCAAATGCCATAAAGAACGTATGAAATTGTCATTACAGTAAAAAAAAAAATCACACCTGAAACATACTGCCGCCCATCTGATGTTGTGTGACAGCAACTGCACATACATGTGTGAAATCTTAACCTTCCTTCATCAAGATAAGGGTGGGATAATGCATCTGTACAAGTTATACGCTGTGTCTAAGACAAAAAAAATACAATGCAAGTTGAAAAATGTGGTTTGGATTACCTGCATGGAGGAAAAACCAACTCAATATTGGGCTGGTTTTTAAAAACAGTACTTAACTTCAAAGAGCTACTTTTTAACCAAGAATGGATACTCAAGTGATTTTACCACACTTGACAACAATACATTGACCAGTGTAATTATCTACTGAGGGAGATATGTGTCTGTGGGGATAATTACAGTCTAAGTACAAGCCATGAAAATAATTTAAATAAATTCAAGCCAGTGAAACAAAACTTAAAACTTGGACAGCATATCCTCATGAGCAGACTCCTAGAGTAACAGCCCTTCATTTAAGGACTATTGCTCCTGTTCACCCTCACACAAAGGGCTGCAAGTCAAAACATCAGCTTTTCAAACCTTGCTACAGCTTTATAGTCATTTACCAACTTCTGATTGACAATAAACTTACTGTCCCTAAAAGGCTAGTACAGTAGTTCACTCTCTAAGCTCTGGACCAAATTCTTAGGGCTAACAACAATTGAATATTCTGCCAGAGTACAGCAGGGTTATATTTGTATATAATGATCTTAAAATATGTACTTACAGGGTCAAACACCAGCATTCTACAGAGCAAATGAACAGCTTCATGTGTTGCTTGATTAGAGAGATTGTATAAACTAGCTAAGGCAGGCTAGAACAAAAGATGACAGAAAATAGCATATTTGAGTTTAGTCTCAACACAATGGGAATTTTCTCATTTGAAACCTTACTAAAACTATACTGGAGAAATCAGTTTCAAATTTGTTAGTTTTGTGTAACTTACTGCCTTGTGCCCTTTCTGAAGAATGTATTTAGTAGCTCCTTCGCTGGCACCAGCTCGGCATAAGTCATCCAAACTTGGTGTTCCCAACAAATCAATGATAAGGTTAAGCTGAAATGATGGAAAGATACATCAGACACGTGTTATAAAGTTTGGAAGCAAGACAATGCAGCTTAAAACATCTGCAGGAAGTCTGATGATACAATCAAAATAAAGAAGCAATCAAGATCCACCTACCTGCTGAACAGGACTTTGTGCTTGGAAAAGGATATTTCGACTCAAGAGCTCAGCAAAAATGCACCCGACTGACCACACATCCACTGAAATGGGAAAAAAAGAAAAGTCATTCATCAAGTCAAAGTTCAAACATGCACAGGATAGTAAAATTTACAAGGCTTATTTCAGACTTCACATTGTTAACGAAAGTGTAAGTAAGAGCAGTAAGAGATTATTTCCATTTTACATCATCTTCTCCCAGTCTTAAAATTTCAACCAGAATATACTTCAAGCATGTTGGTGGAAAAGCTCAAACATACAAAGGATAACAAAATGTATGAGGCTTACTCTAGACTTCACATTGTTAATAAAAGTGTGAGCTAAGAGCAATGACAGGTTCTCTTCATTTTACATCATCTTCTTCCAGTCTTCCACTACAATATACTTTAAGCAAGTTGGTGGAAGGACTATGAGAAGCCAAGTGGTTTACCAAATACAATGTGTGATAGATGTACATGAAGGTCCAAAGTTTCAAGTGCCGTTCTGGAATTCTTTCAGGCTATTCTTCTCTTTTTAATATTTTTTTAATTACACACATTTGTACATAGTTTTATGGAGAATCAAGATCAATACTGTAACTGTTGTCTACCAACCTGCTTGACCATAGTTAGTAGCCCCAGCTAACAGTTCAGGTGCCCTGTAATACTGAGTAACAACCTGTCATAAAGATAAAGAAGAAATCTCACCTTGTCATGTTGTTTAGACTGTACAATAAAACAAAGTGAAAAGTGTAAACAGTATAAAGCAGGCATCCACAAGACCATTGCTAATGTCCATTTTAATCAGGATCTTTGCCTAGGACAGGTTCTAGCAAACTGTACAATTCTAACCCAGCTCAACGTTTGGTCTGTTACAGCATAAATGTCTTTCATTAATTGATTTTTTTATTCAACTGTTTTTAGCCCTTTATGCCCTCTCTGTTACAAACATTTGATTGCAAATTGAGTTGGAAATGAGGTACTTCTGTTTTTGTTTCTTTTTAGGGTTTGAGGTTCAGCATACTGTTGCTGCCTTCTTTAATTTAACACACATTTGTGCCAATAACTATCTCCATGGCTTCAATATAATGTAACTATATACTCCATAAAAATGACTAATACTTATAGGCACAAGATAGCTGATAAATCTGAATTGCTTAAATCACCAAGACTGCTGTAGGGGTCACACAAGTTACAAGGTATACACCGAAAATATCCCTACCTCTTGTGTCATGATTGCACTTTCATGAGGTTCTTCAAGACGAGCAAGACCAAAATCACATATCTGTTATCAAAGGCAGGAAATTTGAGTTTAAGAAGAGAAGAGGACTATAATAAAAAAGCAAAGTTTCATGCAATAAATGTTTTTACCAACAGAGTTGTAATTGAATGTTTTTATACCATCGGAGAGTTGGGTGCATACCCAAACTATTTACGCTTTGATGTCAAGAAATGAATACATTAGTGTAGAAAATGTCCACTTCCTTCCCATAGACCATATTTACTTAACTAAACACTGAGGTGTCTATTCAATTTTCTACCCCTAAAATGTAGCACCTATACCAGGGTATTTCAAGAATCTAGGATTCTTTATTTAAAATCCAAACTCAAAACTAGTTACCTACTGTAGGTTACTGAGAGAACAAAAGTCACGAGTTCAAGCATCTCACAGAATGTATTGTTTTGTCTTATCTTAATTTGATCTGTTGTTAACCTTAACATCATATGGAAAACACAGTGAAAGAAAAAACAAGAAACAAGTATATATACTTACTTTTAAAAGGCAATTGCCATTGACTAATAGATTTCCAGGTTTAATGTCTCTATGCAATATGCCAGCAGAGTGAAGATATTTAAGTCCTACATATAAAAAAGGGCAACTTTAACATCTAAACAGAATATTGAAACTTCTGTTACATCTTTGATGGTACTCACTGCTGGATGTACAATAATTCATAAAATGGACACAAATCTCTGCTGATGTTGAGTCCAGAATCTGAATGAAATCCCTGTGTTGGACACCATTGATATTCTCCCGAATATCAATTATGCTTAATTTTCTCATCATCCAAGTATAGTTTCCTAGATCTTGCAGATACAATCACTTTAGATTATTTTACTTTCTACAAAAGGGAAAACAACTTGAAAATAATATAATAACATAATTGGACTTTCTTTGTAAGAGCAAATACCCTTCTGTAATCTCTAAATGTGATTATCCCATTTACTGACTTCCCTTGGTAGGGACAGACTGCATATGACCCAATTGTCTTCATTTTGATTCGTAAAAAATGAGGCAAAACTTTCCTCTCATAATGTTTATTCCTAAATAATTACTTTCTTCATGCGACCAAGTTTTTACTTAACCAATTATTGGGTGAAAATATTTGAACAGACTTAATGTCAGACTACAATCATTCCCCTGGTTGGATAACAGTTGTTTGCAGCTCTGGACTGGGATAGAACAGTCAATCAACAGCCTTCCTTAACTTATTTGACACTAAAACAAATAGCCACTCACCTCTTAGAATCTGATATAGGAAAACTTTAACGTGATCTGAACTAAGTGGTTGTGGCGATACAATGATTTTGTGCAAATCTGATTGCATCAATTCTGAAACTATATGTCTGTTGAACAACAAGTCAAGGTATGCAACACAAGGATTGAATGATATATATTCTGACTGCACCCTCTGCTGACGATCAGTTTGCTTTTAACCTTTAATATGTTGGTGGCCATGTGACACATACATCCATTCACTTCCTTAATCCTTTAACTACCAGAAGTGATCAACATGACACTTCTCCCCGCAATATTCTCACATTATCCAATAAACAGGTAATGAGAATATTCAAACTTATCAGGTAGAAGTTGTTATCTTGATCTTGTACCAAATTATCACAACTAATTTACAACAATATGTTTAGTGGCTAGAGGGGAGAATTAACAATCAGATCTTGAGAGTTAAATGGTTAAATTTGACTTAGATTTGGGAAAGAATGAATTGCAGTAATGACATGTATGCTACTGAGCCAAAACAACTTAAACCCTCTGCCTCAGTTGCCTTAGATTTTTCTATTCGCAAGACTTAGACAAAGAGCAAACCTTAGGAGCCACCTTTTCCATTATTTGGATAAGCAGTTAAATGACCTGTATCTTCTTTAAGCCCAGCAAGGTGCCCCTTGTTGACTTTGAATCAATAATTCAGTTCATTATTCAAAAAAAAAAAATCCTAGCAAAAAGGGCAGAATATCCTACACCTGCTCTTAATAATTCCGAGATAGATCATCATTCAAAACTCCATTCTTAATTAGAGTCCACTCAGTATAGCAAATTATTCAACAACATAAACTTCTACATCAGAATAAACATTTATATGTTCAGTGTTTTGCCTACTTTTTTATTCATCAACAACAGGTTACAAACAGCTGTTTGCAAGCAATACATTACTGACTTAAACAGTCTTTTATTTTGAAATCAAAACTTCTTGTGACATTGTTTATGAGTACATCCTTTCTCCATAGAGATAACAATTATAGACATGAAATCGTCACACTCTCTCTGCATTAGTAAGAAGTCATGGTCAGTCTTTGTTAAGAAGCCAAACTATAATTCAGAATGGGTTATTGTAAATTCTAATATAAAAAGCCACAAACTAGAAATACCAAATTTCAGTATTAAGTTTGTATCACACTTGTTTTTGTTATACCCACTGGTATTCGAGAGGAGTAAAGAATTTTCATGATAATGGTTTGCACTCCATGAAAATCTGGGTGATTTCCATCACATTGACCAAAAGTCTTTTTTCTTTTCTTTTTTATTACTGACTAATGCAGGTGGACATTCAACCTTATGACTATGATTACCTAGGAAACAAAGGTGTAAGTTGCAAGAATTCTCATTGTCCTATCAAACAAAACAGGCAGTTATTCAGAGCTCTATATTGTGACTCTTTTGGTTGCTGTGGCAAGTGGAAAGAAAATTTGGTGCCTTAATCTACAGAGAAAGTAGTCAATTTGGTGACCTTTGAGCAACAGTCATGCAACAAGCAGAAATACCAGTATCACACAGAGTTTGTGGTCTGAAATTCAAGTTAAATTAACATATGCATACAGCACTCTAAATGTTTTGTTCTTTTCTTTTAAAGAGAATTTCCTTTAGACCCAAAATAAAACCTGGTTAACCTCCAAAAAATAACTGCCAGAAATATTCCTTATTAGAAAAACCAAGAGGCACTTTGATCATTACGGTCTGCTATGCAGTATTTTATAAATTACTCTGACATATATTCATTTCATTTGTTGTCAACTTAACTTGTGCTGCTGATGACCATCTCATCATTAAGGTTTTCCATATGATGACTTTTAAATAGAACTTTACTTGGAGCCCTACCATATTTCACAATGTTAATATGATTTGTGGTTACTCCAACATTAAACACAAAAGAGAGGGGAAGTGGCTAAATAATTCTCCACCTTCCCCATTACTGGTCATAATTTTTACCACACTTCTGTGCCAACAATATTTGGAATTTAAAAGACTTTGATCAGAGACAATGGATAAAACCGGTAGAGCTTCCTTAAACAGTTTCACTGAAACTGAAAAGTGCCCCATACCATTTGTTTCACTTGACTTTTTTTTTAACAAAAAACCTTTGGAGTTTTTGTGAATGCCAATGATTATTATACTAGAGCATGAATGAATAAGAATTAAGTCCTACCTGAAAAGAAGTGTTGATACCATAGCAACCATGACAGCTACCCTCTCTTGTAGCTGGCAGTTTATCTTGTATGTCATTGAAAATTTAAATTATGATAATTCCTACCAAAGACTAAACTTTTCCATTTGTCATGTACAGGAAGTTAGTCATCTAGTTAAATCTGGTGAAAATGAAAGCTTAGAAGAAGCATAGGTTGGTTTTTCTGAATTAAACACACCCAATACTCAAGATATGCTTATCTTATGTAGCTACTGAAATTACCACACATATGTAAAACAGGATAACTAGGATCTGAAATGAATCTTTGGTCCAAGAAACCGATAACACAAAAACACATGCCAGAAATACCATCAAAAGGCGAGATGTGACCATTTAATAATCTCGCTCGATAAATAACCAAAATGTAAGTAAAAATGATCTACCGCGTCCGATTTTTAAAGACGATCTTTACAAAAGGAAAGATATCAACACAAAGGAAGTTGTCCCTTTTGTTGTCATGGTTCGAATACAGATCGACCGACCATTGACCGGAACTGACGAATATTTCCCATCAAAGAACGCCCAACTTTCCAATGCAAGTGAGTAAAAAGACCGTAATCAACTTGTAAAATTCCACAAAGGAGAAATGTCGAGAGGTTTCGCCAAAAAAATTACAATGTGCTAAAACAACTGCAAGTCAACTATGTCGGCGTCATCAAACACAAAGCGAAATTTGAAATCAACAGGTGGGGAAGCGAATTGGGTTCGATCGTCGAGATTCTTTCAAAAGCTCAAACTCCTACAAAGAACCAAGTTCACATTGACGATATACAAAAAACCACAAATATTCGCCATTTCACTTCGAACGAAAACAGCTTTGCACAGTCGCTATGGGAGGCCGAGCACTTTCTTCAATTTATTTCTTTACAGGCGGCAGAGCGATATTTGTAGTTAAGCTTTGAATATATTTGAAGCGAAAGCGAACTTCAACATCTCAATCTTGATCAATTTCCGCACTACTCAACATAACTTTCCTATTTTGGATCTTTTTCAAACAATTAATTCTAACGACAGAAAGTCGAAGTAGAATAAGCCCCTCCTTGAGCCAAACCCGTGTCTGAAATTGATGTCGAATTATTGTTTTAGATTTCGTTCTGTCACGCTACAAAGGTAAATACATATGTATTTAACAAAGGATACATCTCTTGGAAGAAATCTATGTGACCAGGGTGAACTATGTCCAAAGCAGAGAGTACCTACGTGATGAAATAATAATCAGCTGATTATCAGTCGACAGATGAAATTTCCTTGTTCACAACTCACGCCAAAAGCGGCTAGTGCATGTTTGAATAATTATGTACTCCGTTCTAATATTAACTCGGCATTTCTATGTAATACCGGCATTTTAAATCCAGAACTTAGAAAAAAGTAAGACCTACGTTGTTATGTGTGAAGAAACACAACATCTTAAGTTCCCGGTAGGCTCTTTTCGATGAAGTGAGACTCTGAAAAACGTTCGGCATCTTCTTCAAAGCGACCCTCTTTCCATTTCTTGGATCCGTCACAGACCTGCGAGGACGAGGAACAATAGTTAAAAGAACGCTTCAAAATCCCACTTACCTCATACGATTATCTTCCGAAATACACACCACACTACGCCGAACGCTCCATAACCAATTGGTTTGTCCGGTTGTGTTTCTTGTTGGGCGAGCGGAGCGTAATGTGAATTGTGGCAGCTCGTCGACGGTTGTTGGGAATGCGTCGAGGGAAACGCCATCAAAGACCGGCTCTTGCACACAGCCATCAAAGACGCGATGCTTCAGCCACCCAAGTCATTCAAGGGCCATGTTGTTGACGCTCTAGGAGCATTGCATATTCAGCAGCTTGCTGAAAGGGAGAAAGAAAATCACTTATGAGAAATAGCGATTTTCTCTAACATCCCCTCGCCGCGATCGGTTGACGCAGCTCTTGGTGAGTCGAGTTGTACGCACTGAGTGAGAGACTGCTGGACTTTCGAACGCACATGTGGCGGTCTATCAATGCCATGTTCTGCGCACGCGTCACGCAACACCCTTTAGCGCAGAGCACTATGGGAGTAAGGCTATGACAACAAACGGTCACGAAAATTACCACATCACGCAAACTATCACAACGTCATAATTATTTCCCCTACGTAAATTCAAATACCAGCCGTTAAGATAACTTAACACACCATGTACATGAAAAGAGTGTCGTTTGATCACTAAATCCATACAATGTTTTCTTTTGTCCACCGTAATTTCAGCTTCAGAGTAGCTTGCATGTTAGCATTTGCCATGTTGTTCGTGATGCACGCGAAGACGCGTTTTGGAGTGTTCACGGACCGGTAATGATATTTGAGATGTCAAGTAAACCTGTGGCGTTTCAAATGGGTTTGGGCACTCAGGAGTAAACTAACACGCACGCGATCAGTAGACGCTATTAGCATCATAAACTTGACAAACCTAAACCTAATCTTAAAACTGTTTCATAATGAATGTCAGATAAAGATATTGGTTTTGCTGGGCCAAACATAAACTTCTTAAAGATTGCCTAAATGTGACTTGAATGACAGGTATAAATACAGTTATTGTGAATCAAAAGGAGAAAGAAAAACACAAGTTTGTGGCAACTATTGTGAGTTTTTTCTTTCATAACTTAATTCGTGAACAAGATGAAACTAGTTTAGAATTATACCATGAAACAGCTGAAACACGTTTTCAAGATAGGAGGGCTTTCGTTGAGGCCTGTCAGACTTCGTACTTGTTTGTGTAAAACTTATGGTTAATATGACAATATTTTTTAAAAAAATTGGGTCTGCTCTAAATAAGAGTTCATAAGTCAATGAATCATTAGTTCAGAGATGTAACTTTTGTTGTAATTGTTGCTGTTTTATTTTTTTGCTTTTTACGCCAAAATTTGTAAATGTTAACAATTTAAACAGAATGAGATAACAGTTCAAATGAGCGAAACGTTGCTAAATTCGCATTGAAAAACCTAAGTTCTTAAAGGAATATAGCCTCACCTTATTTATCTTTCGCTTTGCCCCAGTGTTTCAATTACTCGTTTTTCTTTTCTCCGTATTGATATACTGAGGTGATATCTGAATGAATTTACCGTACGCGCTGACTGTATTCACGTCCCAAAGGAGTCTTGATTTGACTGAGGCCTCAACTTACTGTTCATGTGGCTTATTTATAGTGACGTAACAATTTTGTTCAAAAGAGCCAGTTGTTCGTAGTTGACTGTACTTCCGTGGCACGAGAGAGGTCAGCTGTCAAACGGAAAGAGGTGTATACCATGGCCTCGGGGCGGTAAGGCAAGATAACACGAAAGTGACTTGCTTATTGGACATATGTTAGGGAAAGAGTAAAGATATTTCCATGTCAAAAGAACAGCAATAGTATCGAATATACAACGTATAGTTTGCCTTCTATAAAAATCCCGCTCAACCTATCTTTCGTTTTGGAGTTCAAATTGTTCAACAATTTCGTGATATCATATTTAAACAGTCTGCACGATCTACACGTGTTTATAGAAAACATGTAATATGTCGTGAGGTCACGCACAGCAGACCATAGAAGAAGGAAGCTGAAAAATCTTTTTTAAAAACAAGGTTTGCTTGATTGAAATTAGGCAGGTGCAAGGCTTCAAAGAGATCTAACAACGAATTTAAGGTGAGATTATGGGATACAATTTTCTGTGTCACTCTGAAAATGGCTTAAATCGAACTAGTAAATCTTATCCTCCGTTGTAGACACGGTTGTCTGGAAATTTATCCGTGATGTATAGTAGGCGGAATAACACTCAGAGCAGCCATTGAAGATTAAGAATCTACGCTGTGAATGATGAAAAGGTGCACTATAAACAGATCCGGCGCGCGTCCGTTGGAGCCAAACTGGCTAGTAGCGGTAAGGAGACACTTTCCGTGTCGGCATCAACCAGATCGTATTGGGCAAGTAAGTGATGCGTGATTTAGAATAACAAACTGATTAAGCAAAGAATCTACACTGACCTTCTTGACACCACTCTTACAAAATCGGTGACTTTTAGAGAGGCACAACTACATAGCTCCTTTAAAGCTCTTAAAGGAGTGTGGAACAAAAGATGAGTCCTTCAAGAAATTTATCTCACGCATGAAGACCAGTATTGTGAAGGAAAAAATCTCTTCATGAGTATTTGTTCATCGAGTCTTCAATGTTCAAGGGACGTATCAATTCTATTGACTACGACGTGTGAGTTTTGTGTCGTTTATTTTTTCCGAAACAGCCTTTGGTCCATATTAGCTGAGACAAGATAACGTCATTTAGACTCAAAATAGTATTGAGTTGATTAAGGATCCCTTATGCTATTTATGTCTAAATGTATTCGCTTCAAAGATATGCCAGATTTTCCACGCGAACGTGAAAGAATTTTGAGCACCAAGCAGTATATCTATCCGTTATGAACCGCTAGCCGATGACTCAGTGATTCACTCGCAACCCACTCAGCATAACAGTATCCTAAAGCGTGCATGAAGAAAAAAAAATGTTATCGGGGAATCCAGTTTTAGTCAAAGCGGACACGACACCAGTTACGCGATTCGTTGCTTTCGTCAAAATTGTTCTTTTTTCCTTCAGCTAGCCAGATTTAACCTTTTAGGAGCAGATATTCCCTTATCATTTAGTGTTAACAACTGAGTTTAAAACGTAAATTTGCCACCATAAAGGGTGAAAAAGCTGACGTTTCGAGCGTTAGCCCCCTCGTCAGAGCGATTGAGCTAACGCTCGAAACGTCAACTTTTTTACCCTTTACGGTGGCCAATTTACATTTTCAACTCAGTTGTTAACACTAAATTACCTACTATACTCTCCCACCGACGCAGCACCACAGTTTCTTTAGAAACTTACCCCCTTTAATCATTAGAGTCTAAAAAGAGGAAGGAAGAACAGGTCAGCTAAGTATTCGCACAGAGAAATTCACTCCTCATCTCCCTACTGTGCGCATGTCAAGTCTGCATTCGAGCTCTTTTTCTCGGCTGGAGATATCAGTAGTGTGGACGGCTAAAACTTTAGCACTTTGAAAAGAGAACTTTAAGTATGTCATCAATTGTATTCGCAATAGTGTAAGCAGCGCCCGAGTAAGTCCCCGTGTAAGATTCGCATTCAATCTAAATTAACTTTTTGGCAACTGAAGCAATAAAACAGAGCTTTAAGAATTCCGGAAATTTTTGAAAAAGTAATCTTTTACAAATCTCATACCTATTTTCCCATCGTTCTCGAGTACCTCCTTCATTCCACCTAGCGCGTAGCAAAGGTCTCTTTACGCGATATCCGTCCGAGTCACAGTAACTATGGATCAATATCAGTATGTGGGCAACTGCAACCCACCCCTCCCCTAACCCAACATTAACCCGAACTTGTTATTGGTCGACTGGTGTTGGGTTAGGTGCACAGTTGCACAAATACCGACAATCGTCCAGTCCTCTAACGGATCGAGTAGGTTATCTCATATCCCATACAACATAACAGGAGAACAAGTTTATTTGCATAATCCAATGCAATCAGTCATGGTACTCGTTGTACACAGCATGTACCTCCTGCAATTCCCTTTCTTGTTCCCAGCCTCTCTTTTACTTCCACGTGGTCCAGAAGGGCGAACCCAGAGTATAACTTCATTCCATAACATATCTGATTTGCTAACATTATAGCGACGATACGAAGGGAAAACGAAGCCTGCAGTAAATCATTTTGGATAATTCAGGTGGAGAATGTTGTCTAGACAATAACACAGGTTTCATAATCCATGATAACATATGCCTTGCATAATTTTACAAAATTTTACGACCAAATTGTACTGTCTTCTCGCTAACAATTGACATTTACCGAAATCGTGCAGCCCCACGTTTAGAATATTATGGAATGAGAACTACCGCTTTTGGCAATAATGCAAGACTGATTAATCATAGATGAAAAATAGATTGTTTTCACATGATGTCACGACAGCCATACCAGTACCAAATACATTAAATGGTGGCCACCGTGAGTTACCAACTAAGTCCTTTGTGAATTAAACCATTTTGTAATATAAACTTTCTTTTGTTCCAATAAATATACATAGCTGCTCGCCACATTTTATCAGCTTTTCCATTGAAGGACATTCACGCTCAGACGTAAATATTACTTTCGTAACTTGGACTGCGGTTGACTGGGATAAGCCTATGTCAATGGCCAAAGTTTATCGGAGCTTTAATCCTTGATAACAATTATGGCCTCGTTACGTTCTACAAAATCGAAATTGAACGAAGAATTATATCTTTGATGCGTGTTCACTTTTGACCGAGTTAAAGGACCCACTACATCATAGACTTTCACTAATGTCATTGCCATAGTTAGACCTATTCTCAACGAAGGCCACTGAAGTTATTTATACCTATACTCATGTCTTAATTAGAACCCAAAAGAATTGTAAGCTCAAAATAATTAGAAATTGTCCATTTATATATTTTTTGGGGATTTTCTTTATAAAGTAAGAATTCAGAAAGAAAATGATTTCACGGAAAAATTGGATCAACCTTCATCCGCAGAGGATACTCTAACATCGAGTTAGCGCAAACGTTCTTAAACGAAAACACTAGGAAAAAAGACACTAAATTGAGCAAATTATTTAAATACACAAATCCCTTAAATGAAGAACCCCAATCTCAACATTTTTCTTTTCAGTTCACGTGAAGCACAGTTGATTTCTATATACAGTGTACATTAATAAACCTAAAGAGTTGAACAAATAGCGTTTGTGGAAATGAAGCTCACTAGCACGAAAAAGCAGCAAACATGTGAAATTAGCAACGAACGGCTTTACAAATAAATAACTTTTTTTTTCTTAATTTAGAAGAGAAGAAGATGTAATCACACGGCCACAGATCTATAGTATCTAAAATATGAATACAGTCAGAAAGACCTCAGCGACAGCGTCAGTAAACTCACGCTCACCAATACAATAATTATGGAAGCATTCAATACCAAATTACCGCAAAAAAGCTTAAATTAATTCATGGCTGCGGTCTGCTGTCTCTCCAGTTCTTCTACTGACATGACTTTCCTTGAAAAGTCAGCAGTGGTATCCTTGTGCACTGGGGCGGCCTGTTGGAGAACATCTTCACTGAACCACTTCGACAAAATGTTGCCTGAGCCAGACCCACCCGGAGAATGGGATTGATGAGGATGGTTCGTAATAGGACTGGGAACTATAAAACAACAACAGTCTATATTCGTTTCACCCATGATTAAAACGTTTCAATCTACGTTCGTATTGTCGAAACAAGAGAGCGTAACAGATGACTCATGTGGGAAAAAATTCAAGTGCTGTCAAAAGAAAAGACGTCTTTGTGTCTAGTCGCCTTATTGTCTACCATCCTTTCGATAATTTCTTGTGTCGCCAAACTGGACGAAAAAGTTGTGTGAACGACTCTTCTCCCCATAGTAATGAAGCTAATGGAAACCCTAACATGGATCTATGTTTTCAGCTTGGAGAATATTTCTTTTGTGCTAAAATTTCGCAAGTGATCGACTTCTGACTAATGCTGTTTACATATCTTGTTGTGGATATGAATTAGTGTAGTGCTTATGGCACCCTATATTTTTCAAACTGCGAGCCATGCCATTGGAGTCATCTGCCAATTTGCAATCATGCTTCGTCTTTTAAGTGCTGATAACTCTGAGAGGAATACTAGTTCATCATTTCAAACACTTAGGTATTGGCCCGTCGAGGCCCATCAATCAAACCATAAGTAGAGCCGAGTTTCTGCGACTAACAGACAACATCGCATAGCCACTAAAACAAATACGGAAAAAAAAGATCAAAACACCTACCTCGTCTCCCCTGGACCTGCTGTAGACCAACGTGATGGGGCATGTGAGGGGAACGAGCTCCTATCATCGTTGCAGGGTTAACAGTTGGATATCCAGGTGACGGACGCCCCCCATACATCATAGCGGCAGCAGCTGCTGCTGCTGCTGCTGCAGGATTGTGTCCTGGCATTATAGGATACCTTCCCACCGAGTGTGGAATAGGCAACCTCATAGACATCGGGTTTATTCCGGGAGAGGGGATGCCGCCCATGGGAGTTCCACTTGAAGACATCATCCTTAGATAAGCTGCTTGCATGTGCGGTGGGATCATACCAGGATGCATTGCAGAACGGGGAGGCATCGGCATGCCTGGCATAGGTGAGTTAAAGGGAGTCCGACCAGGATGACCATGCATTGCTGGCATACTTGACGGTGACATGCGTCCATTTGGTACATGTGGACCAGGCCGTGGACCATGCGGTCCTGAAAACGATCTGGTCATGAAATGAGCCGGAGTGGGTCGCGAACCACTTCCGTGGATTCCTTGAGGATGATTTGGCGGCAGGTTCTCATATGATGTCGACATCTCGGTGCTGTTCATTCTTTGCATAGTTGGACCATGATGACTTTTTGACAAACTCTCACTTCTCTTCGTGTGAAACACGTCTTCAGGCATAGACACCTTCTCTGGTATACTATGCGGTTGCTGCTCGAACGAGTGCGTTAGGGGCCTGCCTTCATTGGCCGTGACAACACGCGTGATGCCACTGCGAATGCCTTTTCCCTGACTCTCCAAGGTAGTGACATGGCCAAATAATCCTTCCCCTGGCTTACTGTCTACTCTTGGCATCAAACCTTTGGACGCCAACTGCTGAGGCGACAGCAAAGTTGCTTTATCTGCCAATGGATGACGTTGAGGAGTACATGGTTCCGAGTGAGGCAGGGGCCTTGCAGGTCTCAGTGGTGATCCTGCGCTCTGATTAAAAGAATGCAGAGGAGATGCTGGTTCAGAGTGAATACCGCTACTCTTGAAACTAAGAAACGGTACTTGTGGAGAGCCAGGTAAAGGTCTAAAGGCCGTTGGCTTCTGCAAAATTGGCGAACCACTTTGGGGTGGTTGTGAATCATTTGACTTCATGGACCTTGGAGACAATAGATGGTCGTGTTTCTGAGCAGGTTTGTTTCCTTGAGCGTCGTTTTCAGTCGCATACTGTTGGAAGAGCGCCATCTTAACTAATTCACCTGTATCGCCTGACTGTGACCTAGCTTTCGCCTGGAAGGGATCTTGGTCAGCCGTGTGGTCTTTGTTATTGGCAATGGCTTCTTCAACTGCTATGGAAGTTCTTACTTTAGGCTGTTCGTCAGACTTTGGCATCTTTTGGTCTAACTGTTCCTTGCGTATCTTTCTCAACACAGATGTCGGCATGAAAGATCGATCAGGTATAAAAGGGGAACCCACCTGACCCTCTGAAGTTGGTTTTGAATGTGGCGCACACTGATTGCGCGGTTCCGGGGCGCCTCCTCGCGTGGTGTTCCTCCCTTGTGGCGTCCTTGAAGGTGGCTTCTGGTTGCCTTTCTGCTGCATGCCTGGATGATGTCCTGCGAGGTACAGCGACATGACGTGTGGGGGTACGTTATGCAAGTTGACGCCACCAAACCCAAGTGGAGGACTGTCTCTCTGCTGTGCAAGCATAGCATGAGGAGACGGTGTGTGCCGTAACAAAGGAGAAGCAAACACATCATGAGATGGGCTTACTAAAAAGGGAGAAACCACATTGTAAATTAAAAGAAGAAAAGATCCTAACCATTCAAAATTAAGCCTCACATGTGTGCCTAGGGAGATTGTTTTTGGAGAGGAAGGGGCACAAGGAAAAACAAAAGACACCCACACACAGAGACAAACGGGTTCAAGTGGCCGGTCATTCATCAACCTCATTTTTCACAGCGGTATATATATGAGAATTTCCAATCCGATAAATTACAGAAATTCCTCCACAAAGTAATCATCATTCTTATCTTTCTCTCAGCCCCTTGGTATTCAAGATACTTATCTTCTACACAAAAGAGGTGGCAGATCACATACCTATTGCACCGTACTTGTGGAACATCTCTAGAGGTGAGGGAGGTCTGTGCATCTGAGGCACCACCTGGGCTGGTGATGGGGGCCTGTCATCAGATACTGCTCCCTGCATAGTCATCCGTTTCAGCAGCTCAGCAGGTGAGGGTGAACGTCTTAGATCATGATAAGGAGAAGGTGTATTTCTTGGAGTTTTACGTTTAGGAGATGGTGGTCTTGGTAGTAAACGGGACGGTAATCCCGGAATCTTTGAGTAAATAATATCACACAGGAAGAAATGAATTATTTCGCCACCAACTTACAGACTTTACCTGTTCTACAGTTCAGTTATGGTAATCTTTCGTTGCGTTTCAACGAGTCAATGACAATATCTCCTGCCTCATTTTAATTCACAAATAAGAAGCCTTGACTGTATTCTGTTCTGTTGTAAAGCACGTAGGAAGCGGCTAGAGCACAAAAGAAGCAAAGGAGGAAACACGAGGCGTAGTACAAACTGTATAAATTGGAAGATGGCAAGACAGCTTTAGCTCCGCTCGGTATTTTGTACTGTGTTGGAACACTATCTTTCAACCAAGGACAGCACGCGTTATATCCAAACTTTATTATAAAATTAAACAGATCACGGATACGCGCTTGTACAGAACGTTCATAACCTACAAAGCTAACATATTTTAATTCTATTAGACAGCCACGAAGATAGGAACAAGACAGAAAAGAACTATTGCTAACAATGTGGCAACCTTATGGTTCCCCCTCTCTTTCTCTCCCCTATCCCCCCCCCCCGTGTTGCTCCGTAATACAGATTCAACTTAGAAAAATAATGCTGTAAAACATCTTACCGCAGGCTGAGGCTTCTCTGGCAATGTCCCTGAAGACTTCATCTTTTCAACAAGCATATTAAATGCCAACATTTCCTCCTTTGAGCTAGTTGTGTCACCCCTTTTGAGATTTTCTTTGTTTTGTTCTAAGTCACTAGTCTCTTTCTTTGCAAAGTCCACGCCATCTTTTGTGACCTCAGCCTCAATGTCCTCCAACCTGACTGATCCTTTAACTTTGCTTTCCTTTCCGACAGACATAACCTCATCCAGAAAAGGCTGCATGTTGATGCGGGTACTCTGTAGCATGTGCGCCAGGCCATGAGAGTCAACACCATCAACTACTGAAGGTGCAATTGGGGAGAATAAGTAGTTTGGTCCTGGTGACGGCGTCCGAGGTGTGTTTGTACCACCACTTGCAATACCTATTAAAAGCATTTGTTCAATTATTCGGTTATGCAACAGACCTTTCCCCAGGATAGTGAACGTGATAAAACAATGTTTAGATAAGAAATATGATTCTCAGGGGATGAAAGCAAGCGTTTCAAATGACAGGTATCAAAAACTTTAGCTTAGTGTTATTTCTACTGATGGAGATGGCGGTTAGAAATTGTTTGATTCAGGCTACGTTCCAAAAATACCAGGCAAATTTTCTTTCAGCTGAAACAAACGAGAAAAAAGCTTCGAAAATTAAGCCGCCCAGCCGTTCAAAAATGTGTGTACAAAAAGTGGAGTCAGATTTTGTTCCCAATAATGTGTGTATGCCTAGCTAAGAGTATGAATTAAACAACCAGCAATTCATTTCACCATTTTGAAAAAGAGGAACCATTCTTCAAAATGGCGGAAGAAACAGTTAAATCAAAGAGAGTACATTTTGTCAACGCTGTTTCCAGTACACCTACCTGGACTTCCACTTCTGCTGCTACTGTAGTTACTTCCAGGTTGACCAAAAAACTGACGAAACCGACTACTGGCTTGGTCCACCTGATCAAAACATAATGGATGAAACAATGTTATTGACTGTTTCATTTTTTCCCCAATTATTACGTTTGCAATGTAGAGGATTCCCAATAGGGCTCTCTAATGTTGTTTCTTTCAAGGAAAAGAAGCAATGTCTGGATTTTCAAAACGTTACCTTTCCCCCACTTTTGAGGAATAACAATTTTAGCTAATGTCTAGAGACATGTAGGATTATGGTTCTCATGAGAATTTGGGACATGGATTCTGGCAAAGGACTCAGAAGACACAGCCCCTGCTTTCTTTCAAATGCATCATCAGGCAGTGTACAGTGGACACTCTACTGAGTCACCAGGAAGAGAGGTTTTGAAACAACACAAGGAGAACCACATAGGAGGTCATTATTTTTCTTCTAACTGTCACCACACACACACACACAGTAAGCAATTCATTGCTAGAGAAACAAACTCTACCCTGCAATTAACAAAGCATCAGGAACCCAAAACACTTAATAAATGTTGCAGTGTGGAGTGGAGTAAATACAGTTTACATTAAGTACACAAATGGGTACAAGCACCAATAATCCATACTGCCCCATGAGTGCAATCCCACTGAAAACCATCATGAAAGCTGAAGTGTCTAGGGACAGACTGGTTGATGGTTGACATGAGCCTGTCCAGAAAAAGCCATCCCCCCCCAAGCACCCTGGGTTGAAACAAAATTTTCGACACTTAGTGGTCATTTGACAATATGCTTATTGACTGAGTCTAGTCAGGCAGGGCAGGAAAAATTACTCAATCAATAAGTACATAATAAGCCACTGTACTTTGCTGACTCTTTATACTTCTTGAAGGATGGAAGGCCTTGACTTGAGGAATATTTTAACTAATACAGGTAAAATCAGTTTTTTAACAATATAGTTATCTAGCACACAGGAAATGAGAATAGACAAACCAGACAGCTAGTTGGAGTTAACGCATCCCTTCTGGAAGGGAAGGTTGTGAGTCATATCTTGACACTTACATGTAAGAAGGGGTGAGGTCAGATGAACTTACCCCTCCTGAAATAGGCAGCAATGATTCACTCAGGAAAAAGTCGTTAATATCAAAAGGCTTGGCGTTTTGTTTATGGCTGTCATCAGCTGTACCATTTACATTTTCTTTAGCATCTTTAGTTTTTTTGTTCTTTTGGTCACCTGCACCATCTTGGGATGGACTACTGCCTGTTGTAGCTGAAGAACTCTTTACTTCACCATTCATGGGGGCTTTCTTACCAACTAAAATAAGTTCACACCTATTACAGTCTAGCTATAGTCTACAACAAATGGAAAAGACTTTCTGGGAACTATGTTGCATCCAAAAAAATGCAAGTTCTGAAGTTTAAGGCCTTGTGGTTACATTTCCTAATATCAAATCATTATTGTACTGGGCACCTAGAGGAACAAATGAAAAAAACGAATTCAAATCCTCCAATCACAATCTTAGAAGATGACTTTTAAATTCTTTGCAGTATTATTTTTTAATCATATCTTTGTGACATGACTGATGGCATTGCAAGGGTTAAAATATCCTCAAAATATCCTTAAAATATCAATTTATCACCAAGTAGACTGGCATATAGAAATAACAAATCTCTTAGCTTGAGGGTGTTAAGCTACCAAAACATCAAAATTTCTCAAATTCAGGGACTGTTCAACCATAAAAAGGGGTTATTCACATGTAAGATATCATGAGTTAAAGGGTGAACAGCATTTCCCACTTACAACTTGTCTTACAATTAATCATCAACATAAATATTATTGGCTATGGAATGATGACACAGCTCTCAATAATAATTGGTGAAAATTGAATTGTACCTGACAAAATTGCTTTGAGCTCATCAGATGCAGATTTACGCCTCTCTTGATCTAGAAAGGTAAGGGTAAAAATGCAATGTCAGTTTCTACTCTGGTGAATTACCTTAAGTATTTAATTTCATTTAAGTAGTAGTGACTAATCTTGCAGCGTGTTGCAAGTACAAGTATTGATAAGTAACAATTGTCCACATTACCTCTTTTTTCAAGCTCGTCATCATCAAATCCTTTAAGCTCCATGGTTTCAAACTGGCTTGATGGACCAAATGTAAACCATTCTGGTTCTTCATTTTGAATTTCTTTCACATGTTTTTTCCTGACTGTGAGCAGATCATTTACTATTAATATAAGATTTCTACATTTTAAAGGAAGGAGTTTCCTCTAATATTTTATCTTTTCCTAGAAGAATAATTTGTATAATGACAATCTGATTCTCAATTTTTCTAAAAAAAACTGTTACAAGGTTAAATCATTTCCCTGTGATTTTAACAAAATAAAGAAAAAGGAGCTCAAAGAAGATTTTGATCATGTTCAACTTTGCTAATATCTATACAAATATGCCACATGCAAACTATCAATTGAAAGTAAACTTCCTTCATGTTTCATAGGTCATTCATAAACTGAGTTAAAGATGTAACTTGGCCACCATAAAGAGTTTCTACCATTGATGTCTCAAGCATCAGCTCTTTGTCAGAGTGTAACATTTCAAAGGTGCAATTTGGTGACACAAAACCCTAGAGTGCAAAATTACCATTTCACTTTAACCATTTATACTAAATTATAGAACGATACTTAAAAGCTTACTACATGACATGCTGCTAAATGCCACTAAAGGTCACCAAATTGGTGATGTATACAGCAAATTTAGAAGCCCAAATTTTTTTGTTGTCATGGTGACCAAAACCCTTGCTGATCAATTGTTGAACCTAGTTTTTACTCAGAGTTGATTGGCAGACTTGCCTTCCCTTGTCTACATACCATGAATATTTCTCCCTCTACTATGTTCTTCTCTATTTCGGTTTTGATCTTGATCTCTCTCCCTGAATCCTCTATCTTTCTCCTTGCCATAACTTCCACCAGCTCTGTCTCGCTCACCTCTCTCTTCCTTTTCCCTTAAACCTGAATATTTCCCTGACGGTTCCTCTGGATCCTGAAAAGTTTTCAATACAGTATCAAATGCATTCCTAATATCAACACTTAGTACGATCTAACAGCTCAGTTGGTTTGCTCAACTGGGAGAATTTTAGACTGCTGTTCAGGAGGGCTTGGGCTTCACAAAAGATGATAACTCAGGGTCTTAAATAACAAGTGAAAATGAGCTGTCTTTGCAAAAAGCTCTTTCACAGAGTAGAACTTCTACTCTACTTGGATCAGAAATGTACTCCATAGGTCTTGTCTCCTGCATCTTGAGTGCTATACTTTTAGGTGGGAAAATTGAAGTATGCACATGCTCGGCACTTGAAAAAAGGTGCAGTGTTTTTGGTGTTGTGCTCTAGCCTTTGACACAACCAAGTGCACAAAGAGCCAAAGACAAATGTCTCAAAAGCTGGACATGGACATTTTTTTGCAAAAAAACTTTAAGGAGGCAAGCTCATTACATAACCTAGATGGTTTTTTTTAGAAAAGTGGAGCTTCTAAATTCAATGTTCAATGACAGATAAGTTTTTGCTTGTAAATTTCTCAAATGTCTCCAACCTGAATGCTATAAAATCAGCTTTGAGTAAGAACAAGAATTACCAGCAACAGTTCAAAAGCTTCACCTTGTTCCTTTCTTGTAGAGGTGTGCGTTCTTTATAGTCCAAGGCCCTTCCTCTACCCACCCTTCCAGTGAGTCTGCTCCTACCCTCCCTATCACGATCAGTTGTCCTGCTCAAACCTGTCTTCACTCTCTCCTGTTGGTTATTCCTTTCCGGTGCACTCTGAGGAATCTGACAGCCTTGTACAAAGCTTTGACGTTGAGGGCTCAACACTATACCATCCTCAATACTAAGATGAAAAAAAAATTCCAAGTTTATTTGGAACAAATAAAAGATTAATCTCGATATAGTTACTAAAAAAAAAAAAAAAAAACAAAAAGTTATGCTTCTTGATCACAAAGCAATATCAAAAAAAAGTGGACGAAATGAAATAATAGTGTCAGGTAGTGTCACACAAGCATGGCTAACCTCTGCAGGAAAACTAAAAGACATGCTCTCGAGGCATTTTAAAAATTCTGTCATTATTCAGGTCACTTACAATATTGTAAAATTGTCATTGATTTTTTAATTGTATTTTAAGGCAAGCTAGGCAATCCACCAAAATTAGAAATTTATTAGACAGAGGTTTTTTCCTTGAACAAACATTTAAAAGCCTAAAGAAACTTAAGGCAGAGGAAGAGTTCTGTTTAAATTAAAAAAAAAAATGATTAGCAATTAAACATCCCCCCAAAGAAAAAGAAGCCCTTATCATACAGATAAAAAAATAGAAAGGTGCATTCACTATGCGCAGAAAACAAAGAATTATTTATCAATAAACTTCAACAGACTTAATTGTGATAAATTTCATTTAATAATGAAGGTTGGGTTTGACAAATTGACTCACCTGGGTAATACACAAATTCACTAAGTGTGTTTATGGTTCTGGTGCAACTTCAATCAGACTATGTGATTATTCATTTGACAGGTTACAACATATAGTGCTCTGGTTGCACGTACTTAAATGCAAGTGACAAATTGCTTGATTGTATGCTCCCATTATATGGTCTGAACTGGATGGCACCATAGATGTAAACATTTCCACTGAATGGATCTACTAGTCAACCCTTTCACTCCCAAGATCTCATTTGTAATTCTCCCAACTGTCATTAATACAATTCTCATGATGCTAGCTTGGAGAATTTGGTATTGGATCTAATAATTATCCTTATCACTTGTCTGCATGATATTGAATTGGTATTTTAAGGAGAAATCATGTCTCAGTCACTCATGGGAGTCAGTTAAGAATGAAAGGGGCTTCCTTGTCTGGGATTAGGTTTTTTTAAAAGATAAAATAGCCAGAGTGTACCATGATTTTACTTACATGAGTTGTTTCTTGAGTTCCTCTCCTGGTGAGGTACATCTTTTTCCGCTTGAGTTAGATTGGTGCCAGATTTCAGGATCCCACACTCCCTGCCTTTTTTGATAAAAAACCAAAGACTAGTGTAACCAACATAAATACTTGACAATGTTACTGTCAAGAAACTTTGCAATAACTAAGGTGACAAATCACTGGATATCTGTCTCATGAACAATCATATTCTACCATATAAAAGCTAATATGCAGGACTTGAAAAACTAACAAATACATTTAAAAGATTTCTATGCTGAGCACACAACTTATGTTTTTCTTTTCTTGGTCACTTGTTCTTCATGGTGACAATCTATTTAGACTGAGCCACATTTTAATTCAATCTTATGTGGTGAGCATATTTTAAGCTGTATCCAGGACCTTAAGTGATGGTATCTGTGCCCCAAAGTGTATCAATAATTTAAAAAGATGATTTGCTTTTTCACTTGGTTCCGGTTGAAGTAGTGCATGTCATGTGGAGTTTATAATTCTAAGCAAAAACTCACTTGATTAAAATCGAACAACAGCCAAAAACAGACTGTCAAGTACAAAATTGATACCAATATAAAAATGGCTAAAATTGAGCAAGTCTATTTAGGTAAAATACATGTGTGTAAACAAATAAATTTTTATTTAGAACTTGTCTGCTTGATATTGTATTGATATTGAAGGGAGAAATTCTGTCTTGGACACTCATAGAAGTAAAATGGTCAAAACTTAGTATTTGGAATCTGAAGATATCCACAATGGGCAATTTATCGGAGATAAACGTATCTTGATCTTTAATATAAAAAAGTATCAATTTAATACTCAACTATTTATTTTTTTCTAATCAAAAGTATCAAACCTGATGTGTTCTTCTGAAAGAATAGATGGCCAGAGTTTTGATGCTGGAGACTCCCTCAAATTGAGTAACTCTTCCTAAAAAGTTAAACAACATACCAACATCACATAAACCACATATCTCGTTGTACTAAAACTTTGCACACAATCCCAACAAATCTGACATGCTCCGGTTATTTTATGAATAAAATAGTCTGTTTACTTATCCTCTCCAAGAAATTGAAAATTTCAAGGCGTATGACAGCTTAAAAAGTAGCGACACAAATTTTATTGTACAAATACAAAGTTGGCAGTTCCTAATTTGTCACCTTCGAGTACACAACACGTGGCGTGTTTTGCTCCGTTTCCCTCTCTCCTCTTTCAGCCGAGGCAACAAACTCTTCGCCTACTCGGGTAACTTTTTCTATGATAAGAAAAGCATTGATATAATTTAACATAACTTGATACGTACGGCTGCTATTTTTGGTTGTCTGACACAACGGTCGTCAACCGTGTCTAAAAAAAAATGTTTATTGATGTTCTGTAAGGTACGAAAAAAACTTATTCATTCCACCTTTTTTACCTTGACCCGTCCAATAGCTACTTTGAAATCTACTTCTCCAAATATGTAAAATAAACATAGATTTCAGGAGCTTGATCACAATCAAATACAAACTAACCTTGACTACACGGAGATGAAACCTCTTTTGTAACGACATCGCCTTCTGCTGACAATTCGCCAAACTCCATCTAAAAACTAAGCGTTTTCAGTTGTCGAAAACCACGCAGAAACTTTCTTGAGAAGAGGTTAATTTCTGTATGAAGTTAACCTCGCGGAATAGTCCTGTCATTACAAAAGCTTGTGAAGTAAATCCTTCGTGGTAGCTACCTCGTACCCAACAGTTTGTCAATGTCCATTTTGAACTACGAAAGGAAACCACACATGTTCGCGCTTGCGTATTTACTATGCCTCGCTTCAGAGTGTATTTCCGCTTCCTCAGGGGAGGGACACTCTGAGGAGATTCGGAGGAGTACTGGTAACAACGACTTACTCCATAACGGAAGTATATAGTGCCAGTTGGTGATTTCCTCTGGTGTGACAGTGACAAAATGAAGCAACGAGTTACAAACGGGGTTTTCCGTATCGATTCTTATTGATTGTCAAAATGGATTTTTTTTTACGCTAAAGGCGATCACCAAAAGAGAGAAAAAAAGATAGTTTCGAGTTATCGCGTTTGTAGGTTGACGCTCTTTGAATTTCGGAGGGGTGACATTGCGATGATCGAATCAAATCATGAAAAGAAAAAAGGAGTCAGGGAAGCAAACAGACATGCGGCAAGTGGTATGGGCCGTAGTGTGGGCATAGTCATATGCACATCACAGAGATGATTTGGATCTAGCAGTCTGTGCTGACTAGGTTTCCCTTCGCATTCTTTTTATTCGCCAACTGAAACCGTGGGGGTTCTTGAGATTTTAACATGTACAGTCCCTTTGGCGATCAGAGCAGAACACGTTTAAACTGTGACGATACTGATGGTAAGAAGAGAGAGAATATGTTTACATCGCAAGTGGTCAGTCAGGAATCGTGAAGAGTTTCAAAGTGAAAGTAAGTAGTAGCATGAGGGATACAACTAGAAGAAAATGCTGTGCTTGGCACCAAACTAGGCTTTTGAAAAAATCTCCAGAAATCAATAGCTGTCCTAGTGTTAACTAGTGAACAGTTCGTACTTCCTTTACCTTCGACACCCAACCGGATGTAAAAATTTCCGCTATTACCGAAAAGACCGATGCTGGCACGCTCACGCTCACGCTCCACATCAAGCATTTACTATGTGCATTTCTGTGGTTTCTTTGTTTCTAATTGCATATTAATTGGCTGCAGCAGAGGCTCAAAACAAATACGAAACAGAGAAGGCTAAAACTCGGACGACTTTGTTCAACGGCGGAAAAAAATCGTACCGTGTCTACCAATCTCTTCCTCTTGAAAAAGATACAGAAGCGCCTACGAGAAGCACTTTTCGGGCTTTTTGCATCTTAAAATATTTTCCGTCGTTTACAATCCGCGCCAATCAAATACATTCCATACCATCCTTGCTCTATTCATGGTTTACAATTCCTTCTCTTACGGTTATCCACCCTGGCAAACTATTACTCAAAGGTTTCCCATGCTCACTGTCGCAAAAACGACTTCAAGTAGCGTAGGAGAGTTTATTTCAGCTTGTTAGCATTAAACATGAAGCAAAAACTACTTGTACTAAAACAACTGTTTTAATTCACTTATATCCAGAACATTATCACACAGAGGTAGCGCATTCTTCCTGCATGTTGGAAAGTTGTAAGACACTATTAATGCAACAGGGAACGCGCAATATAATTTCCTGCCCAAACTCTTCGGTGCACCAAGAAGCGCAATCATTTTCCCAAAACGAATTCTTCGCCCTTCTTGATGTTCTTGGTCAGTTCTGGAATTACCTGCAACATATCATCGGAATCGTTAGCATTATTCAACGAACTCCACATTCAAGAGTGACAATAATTAGTCATAATAATAAAAAGAGGAAAAGAAGACTTCCTTTCGTTATGGCGAGGTGCCGAGGAATCGTATCGCATATTCAATTTAAAACTTACCTTACCTTTTGCCAGCTTTTTGCCTAGGCTTACCTTTTTCCAGCTTTTTGCCTGGGCTTACCTTGCCAATATTTTGGTTTCTAGAAACCGTTCTTACATATTTTTTGTTTGTTTCTTTTTTTAAAAAGGTGATAAGCCTAAGTAAGATCAAGGACAAACCCAAACACGACTACCGATGATGATCATCGTACGAGAATCAAGTCCTATTACAACGGACATGGACAAATCACTCAAAGGGTAAAAACAAATGTGTGGTCTTGCAGCACATAGCAAACCAAGGCTGACAAGACTCGCATAAGGATATCAAAATAATCTAACAGGTTTCAACGATTCCCAAATATTTAGCCAAAACATCCCTAATTTTAGTAGTTCCCACACACTTCGAATTTTAGTACTTCATAACAGAAGCGCCTTTCCGATATTCATCTTTGCCAACACTTTCCCTCCACAATCTCAATGGGCGCAGCAGCACTAGAGACAAAACCAACGGCGGTAAAACAAAAACAGTTTTGTAATTTTGAGGTGGATAGAGGTTTTGTACTTTTTTCTTTTTTTCCTTTCTTTTTTTTTTTTTTTTTTTTTCATTTTGCAGAATTATCGATCTTGATATGCTGACTGGAATTAAAAATGGAGGTCACAACTGGAGCTCGCTTTCAATTTGCAGGCTCCTAAAGGTAAAATTAAGAATTATATTAGGACGTTGTTGTGTCGCCACGGAAAAATGATCAATACATTTTGAGAAGTTGTTAGGAACATTTCATATCGTAGGAAAACACGAAAAAGTTGTATCGTTTTTTTCTAAAAAGTGATGAACAAAAAGAAACTTAAGGGCTCAACTGAAAAATAAATTCATAAAGAAAAATGTTTTATGAGCCACGAGATCTCAATGTTTAAGGTAACACAAGAGAAGCGAGAAACTGGCTGCAAGTAAAACCTTACTGGCTATGAAGAGGATTACGGGCATGCTGTGCATAGAAGAAATGATTCAAAACGTGACACCAACCTCCTCAAGCTTTTTCTTCTCATAATCTGAAAGCTCTCCGATTCCTAAGTTATCCTTCACACCATTTGGCTAGATGGAACGGGAAGACAGATAATGTGTAGTGGAGATGATTGGAATGAAAAAAAGGAGAAATATTAGTGGGAGAAGAATTCGTTTGAAAGGAGGAAAGTTACTTTCTCCAAAGTAAGTTCAACCAACAATCATTTGAAATGCAGAATAAACCATTGTCATAAGTTTTGATAACCTGCTACTGGTGTTTTCAAAGCAGTGCCAGAGCTGTCTTTTTTAAGGATAAACTTTCCCTGGAAAAACTTTTAAACTAGCGATGGTTTCAGGTCATTACCGAACAAAGGGCGCTTTCCAACCTGTGACACTGATATTTGACATATTTAGCTACGTCATAGGAGTAGTAAATGTTTTACACATTACTATTCTGAAACGGATGTTTTTACAAAGCTATGAAAACAAACTTCTGTATTTGGAAATGACACCAATAACTTTTGTTACACAGTCTCCGAGTAATTTTGAGATAAAGTAATATTAGAAAGCCCCATTTACGCCGTTGTTTTCCTTGTTCCATACTCAGGACAAAAGTTTAAGACCTTTCTTGAACCAAAGCCCGAAATTCCCCACCTTCCTCTCTCCATCAGGAAGTTAGGTGGCGGCCATTCTTTAAAAAGTGTGATAGTTTTGTAATCAGCTCAAACAAAGCCGTTAAAGAAGGACAAGACATTCCTTCGCCAATCATCTGAGGTTATATAATCACCTGAGAAAGTCTTACAATACATGACAAGCTAAACTGATCTTACCCCAAGCTCTACTGGTGAAGCAAAGTAGCCGGTGCCACAGATGTCTGACTTGATAAATGCACACTCCACTATCCCTGCTTTACCGTTGAGTGCATCAAGAACCTAACAGAATCATAATATGAGAATGAGTACTTCACACTTGTAACTACACATATAAATATCCATCTTTGCCAATTTTTGTCATAAATTCTCAAAAATTTAGTCTTGTACTTACAGACGCAGTAAACCTCGTTCCGGCATAAGCCATTGAAAGGGTAGCAGAACCCTAAAATAACAAACGCACATTTTATGTGATAACCAAAAACAAAAGTAAATCTGGAAAACAGTAGAGGTCTTGGCATAACTTCTGATGAGTTCTGTTGATGCTACTGACAAAGGAGCACTATGGAAGCTCAACTACTGGACACCCTCACGGTGCCAAAAAGGTGTCCTTTAACTGGAGCTAGCTTTTTTTCTGAAACCATTCTCCTAAGCTACCGCTTAAGACTCGAATAAGGGATAGTTGTTTCTATATGGGAGTTGGCACAGCTAGTAACTGATAAACGAAGGAAATACAAAATGCCACTGCATGAAATGGTTTTTGTGTTTCATTGCATCATGCAACACTCTAATAATAGAGCTAAGCGCATTTGAATGATTAACGTTGCATTGACAGCAATGCAATTCCAGTCACAAGCAAGTGGTGCCTCAAAAATTACACATATAGCGTATGATGAAAAAGTATCATGACAGAGAGACATGTGTAAGGCTCAGCGATAATAATAAATTCACAATTACAAGCAGTGGTGAGTGGTGAGTGGTGAGTGGTAAGACAGAATTAAGGCAAACTGGGGACTAGTCATATTCATTTCTCCAGGGTGTCAACTTACAAGCACTCAAAAAAAAGTCTTCTTAATTATAAACATAACAGTATTTGCAGCAGTCTCACACTCATAGACAGCTTCCTGCTTACAAGGATGCCAATTATCAGCAGAGCTATAATAACATCTACCAAAGTAACAAGTTTAACCACTTACTGATCCAGCCTTAGCGTTCACCACTTCTGTGCCTGCATTTTGGATGCGGTCAGTAAGTTTCTCTGTTTCGTCATTAGTAAATGAAACTTTGGGCGTGGTCTTGAAGAAACAATAGATTTGACAATACACTAAGAAATCTGAACTCAACATTCTTCATGATTGTTAGCTATTCTTCTTTCCTAAACTTTTAAAATTTTGGGGGCCACTGGGTTTCGATTGGATTAAAAAAATTAAACTAAGGCAGAATTTTTTAGTCTGACAATCTGGCTTTGTTCTCAACTTACCTTCACTTCTTTATCATATGCAATCTCAACTGACAACTTTTTACCAAAGTGGAGGTGGCTAGATGTGCATATTTATGAGCCAATGACACTGAAGTGAATAGTTGTTTTATTATATACTAAAACAGTGAGATAATATAACACAAAAAGATAATTTAAACTCATTTATTCCCACTATGAGAACAATATTTTCAGGTGCAAATTGGGCACAAGCTGCTTCAAGGTGAATAGCACAGCATATTCCAAGTTTGAGTGGCCAATGAAAGGACACCTTTGATGCCATCCACTGTTTTTAAGTATAATAAAACTGTATATTTTGTAATCAAATCAGCTGATGTTCTTTGGTTCAAACTTTAAATTCCCCTCCCACAGTAATGTATGTTGATAAGTTGAACTACAGGAAAATACAATTTGAGCAACGAGGAACATCATGTCAACATGTTCATTGATGTATGATAAATCTTTACATTTTAGGATGAGTACAAATACACAAAATTTCCCAGAAGTGAAATGATAGGCAACTAGGAACCAGAAAGATTTAGCCCCTATACAAAGATGAGAACTATTGTCACTGTAGAAGCTATATTACAGCAGTACTGTACACAATGTCACACCATTTCAGGATATCATAGGTCTTACAGATGGCATCCTTAATTGTTAAAAAAAATTACCTGTGATAAAAGAGGTAAGATTGTAACACCAGAATGGCCTCCTATCACAGGAACATTCACATCACCAACGTCCACACTCTAGAAAAGAATGAACAAACACAATTCATCTACTAAGGTTGTGCAAAAGGGTCAGTTTCATTAACAAATTCAAATAGTACATTTCCAGAGGGTATGAATGACAGGTCCAATTTTATACTCAACCACACGTAGCAGACTGGCCTAACGGCAAGAAGATCATTTTTAATAGTTGATACCACTAACCTCTACTGCAGGCATCATTGTTAATTTACCTTTGCCTCAGCTACAAATGTATTTGCTCTCACAATGTCCAGAGTGGTAACACCTAAAATTCTGAAAGATATTGGTCATAATGAAAAATAAAAGATTACAGCACCAGTTATACAAATTTGTACAGCCATTCTAAGAGTAAACTGAAGATTGTAGGCTAAAAATTACAAAACATTGTGAAACAATGCAATCCTAAGATGAGTATTTCCCAACTTGAGCTGAATTTTGGCTCATTGTCACTCTTGGCTTATAGAATGTTCGTTGTCCTAGTGGGCCATAGTGAATGCCACTAGACACCCCTGGCACCTTCTTACCAATCACAGGAGGCAGTGATAAAATCACATTTACAGCTTTAACCTAGCTCAATGGAATATACTGTACATGTAGTTATTGAGCTATAAGACACATTTGGTTATAATAATCTAATAATGATAATGATATATTAGCATATCATTGGAGGGGTGGCTCTTCTATGCAACAAACTAACTATACACTAGTTAAAAATCTATCATAATTACAAAATTGCTAATACTGCACACTACATTTTACATGTAAAGATTATCTAATGCTTCTATTTAAGGATTAACTTACATATTTAAAAGGTGACTATGACTGACTAATATAATTATATACAAATACTAGCTAAGGCATTCAATAGTGACAATCAGCTTTTAAACTAAATATGGCTGATTATTCTTGTAGGTGTGTTGCCGCTTTCGCTTGTGAAAAAAAAAATAGCATTTACATTCTTTCACAAACAAAGGTCACAAAGTCAAGTTCCCAACTGGAGAGTTTTGTGAAAATACTCGGTTATGATTGTCTAATAACCACATAACTACAGTACAATTTCTCTCACCTTCCTGGGTCATAAACTCCAGCTTTCTTAAATACTTCACTTGCAATTGGGACAGTGGAGTTTACCTTAACATTTTTTGAAAAAGAAAAGAAAAAAAGAACACATCACTAACAAATAATTTTTAAAGGCTATTTGACAATTATTTGAGTCATTGTTCAATATGGAAAATTGCCTTAGAGATAAGGAACCTCTGAAATGGAATTTATCATGGTAAACAATCATCAACAAGTCACAAAAAACGCCAAAAAATTAAGAAAGAGAGAGTGAACATTAATGGAAAATCATTACCTTGAAAAAGTTATTGATGTCATTGTGATGCATTGTTAAATTTCACAAATAATTCAAATTCCTGAATTTTTCAAAGGCCTTTCCTTTCGGAGCTTACATACTGAGGGACTACTCTGTATGCAGGTTGTGGTGTAGAATTTCAGGGCAAATGTATTTCAACCTAGTTTGCTTTGTAATTTTCTTTGTTTAGGTAATGTGGAAATGCAGCCGGAACAAAGAGAAAAAAAAAAATCTATGAATTCAAACGTTTTTCACCTGAAATTCATCAGCAACTACATTGTATATTATATATTTGGAGGGGCCTCTCATTGGTGAAATAATTTATATCAAAAATGGCTCACAACAAGGGGAGAATTTGTGTCAGAAAGTCTTCTGACTAATAACAAAATTGCGGTTTGAACACAAATTGTCACTGAGGATAGAATATACAGTAAACAGCAGCACAGCAACTAAAATACATAAGTATATACTAAAACAGCTGATAGCATTGACAGCATGCTCTGATCCGCTATTCAAATTCCAAACATCCTTTGCTATTCACCTCCAGTGGGATTTGCGTGAGAAAAAAATCATATTTTGTGCTATATTTTTTCACTGTTTTAGTAAACATTAACACAACTAAGCACCCCAATCAAGGTGGCTAGTAATAGATATTTACCTCACCCCTTCTTGGTTTGGTAAATTTCTATCACTAACAGCTTCCAATTTGGTGAATAGTTGTTCACTACATGCAGCAGCCACAAAGTAGATACCAGGTACTTAAATATGAGCTTGTCTCATTTAGTTTAGGTACTGCATCAGTAGTTTAGTTTCTTTATTTCATAGACAGGAGTGTTTTGCCAGGAACCAAAACACTCATAGAATCAATATGACCACTACATCCCCAAACTGAGTGGCTTATTTTTCATATACAATATGAGGGGTAATATTGAGGAAAGTCACAATTTCAGCCTTTTCTGACTTTGCTGAATAAATGCATGGTTTTCAATTTTTTAAACCAACTATACTAATTGTCCATGGAATAAAAAGAAAATTAAACATTAACTCAAAGATATTAATTTTACTCCCTCATAAAGTTCACATGTTCTAACCACTGTGTAATATCCTGTACATGTAATGGCAATTCTTTTTATAAACCCTAAGGAATTACCATGAGGCCTTTATTGGAGGGCTTCTATGTAGAGGAGCTTATCTTCAGAATTCTACAGAAATCTCTTTAACTTAATGATTCTAACTTCTAGTCACCATTTCTTATGATACTTACTGGATTAGAGATAATACAAATAATTGCCATGGGACAAAATCTATATCAAAGTAAACAAACCAAAGTATAAGCATTAAATTTTGTCACCTGCTGAAAAACTCTTGAAAGTTTAAAAACATTGTATACTGTTACTTCCCCATGATTTGAATTCTTCTAGCTCAACCTCTGCACTAGCTCAAACCAAATCAATTTACCCAGGATTACCCTCATTTATTTCCACTGTAATTTTACCCTTGCTAACTTGAAGCAGTTTTTTTCTCTTTGGGTCATTTTCTACTTTATCTTATTATTCAAATGCCAAAAGTAAACTTACTTTGCATTTTTTGGCACTAAATTAAAATGTATCAGACTAGTCAGCTTTCATTGATGGTAGATGCATCATATTTACAATACGCTTTGCTAATTACTGGTACTACCTTTCATCAATATGTTTCATTTTCTCTCTACTTCCCTACACTGTGATTGACTTTGCCTAGCTAAAATGTACTTTTTCAAGAAAGGAAAAACAGTGACCAACATTTTTCCCAATTTACAGTAATTTTTTTCTAGTTCTTTAAGACTCAAACTCTCACTAACTTGACCTTTCTCAATTCTCCAGAAGGTTAAAGTTCTTGCAAGTCTACTACAAAAGTAAGAAGTGCAAATTTTCCTTACTTGGCACAAGCCTCAGCGAGAGTCTGTACAATGGAAGCATTTGTATTGAAAAGGTCATCACGAGTCATTCCTACCCAGGACATAAAAAAAATTTATGAATAAGCAAACTCTGTCAGAGGGTAGGGAGAGTCAAGACCGATCAGAAGCCAAGTGGCTCATCCTTCTTGAGCTTAACTACTTCTCCTGATAGATACACCCCTTCTTCCCCCATATTTTCCAAGCATCTCCTTGGAGTTTGACCCAGCACAGGAAAAGTTTAATGGACACTCAACCTTACAGTCACTGCATCTCCCAGGAAATCTCCCTAATTATAATTACCATAAATCATGAAAATAAATTTAGGTAATGTTTCACAATGCTGCGAAAAAGATGAGTTTCTTAAAAAAAGCTTTGAAGAAAGTTAATGGTAAGAGCAAGTTAGTAAAGGATGTTCATGGCATGAGCTAAAAAGGAGCTCTGATGTTACCTCACTTAATAGTGCTTAATTCAATACATACAAAAGTTGCAAAAACAAAAAGATTCCAATCAAAGTTGAGGCAAATATTTAAATTCAGGTTTAAAATCTGTCGAAAGAGGGCAGAATATCACACTTTTGTAAGTAACTTCTTATTATCTCAGTTCTAATTGGTGATAATGCTTGTCACTCATATACAGATGTATTGTAGGTATACCTATAGCCAATTACATATTTGTGTTGTTGCAAAACCCCTGATTCTAACTTGCTGGGTCTGTCAGCAACCCCTCTTCCACCCACACTGATGGGCTGCTTAAGATATTTCTACTGCACATTTCTAGTCCCAATAGCTTACATGACAGATTCCACTAGGAAACTGGGACTGTTCATAAAAAACATAGCAAACAGTTTTCTCCCACATGTCCCATTCCTACTGATGACAATATTAGCATTTGGGTTACTGCATGCAAGTATCTCTATGGACACTAGCAAGCTTCTAATCTAGGCATCCCTCTCAATAAGCTGTTGGTAACAATTTGAATATAGAGTGATGAGCTGAAATGTCATATACACTAATAACAGATAATATGCTTTTACACGAAAATAAAAATGAAAGTTTCCGCTTATTGGCACACTTGTGATTAAAATGAAATTCAATTTAGGGCCTTTGGCCCTTGATTAGTAACACATTAAACATAAGTAAAACAAACAAAGGTTAGACTGAAACTCTTTACCTGGCTTTCTAGGGACTCCTGCAGGGATAACAACAGCTGCACAGCCTTCCAAGGCAGCCTGTAGATCATCTGGACCCTGATGACTGGTTACCTTTAAATAAAAACATTAAGAGAGGGGCTTTTAACATTCACTGACAACATCAAATAAGTTCAGTGTTGTTGTTGCTGCTCAGTGAAAGAGAACTGGTTCACACTTACTTTTGCAGGGGTATTAATGTGACTAATGTCTGCTACAACACCTTAAATGAACAAAGACAAAAGTGTACAAAGTTAACACTTATAAATGTTATCTGGCCTGATGTTCATGATTTTTCCATGCAACTCTCTTTACATGGACTGAATGTTGCAAATAAAAAAAAATGGTATACAACAGAGTTTACTTTCCAGCTGATTGCATCATGAGCACATCATGGACCCTGACTGTGTACAATATCATAATGCACTACGAACTGGCTTAATAGCATTTGGCTGACTGGAACTTTGGCTCATAGAAAGTGCTCTTTGAAATTCGCTACTAAGTTATTACTTGGGATTTTCAAGAAGGACTGGTGAAATGGTGACAACTGGTAAAACTTGCAGTGTAAAGGAATGTTGCTAAGTCTCCACTGCAATCAGGGTTAATTTTGGCCCATGACTGTCCAGTAGAACATGACTGTAGAAGGCACCAAGCCCGTTCCTTGAGGTGGCATCTTTGAGTCACCTCATTTGAAATTTCCGCGGGAAGCTTCACTTCTTTGTAGTTCTATCAATACTCATATCTACACGAGTATAACTGATGATGACCGAGAATCTTGATGTACTTTTGACTAACTAATTAACTATTTCTTGCTTATTAATTACATCGTCACACTTCAATATAACTTACCTGGTGTGTTTACAATATCGTACAAAGCCAAATGGCTTATAGCCGGATGCTGTTTCATCAACAGTGACATAGGCTGGCCAATCCCTCCAGCAGCACCAAGAACAGCTACCTTTTGCTGGTGCTACAAATCAAAGACGAGTTTTAAACGAGACAGATTTCCCCTTGAGGAGAGACCTTAAGAGCTCATGGGAGGAACACACAAACTTCATATAGGACTTGCACTATTTCTGATCGCAAACAACGCTTAAGTGCACTAGTTACCTGAGCAGCCACAGAAAAGTTTCTTATGGCCTTCCTGGCTCCTTTCATACGAAGTGCTGTTCTCGAGAACATCGCGAAGTGGTCACAGAATTGTGCTAATCTTCCCCGGCGTTATTTGTCGTATCCTGAGGAGCACAGAGGCGAGAATAATTTTTGCGCATGCCCTCGGTTGCAAGCCCCTCGCAAATTCAAAAGAATGCCACAGGCATCCCATAACTTTGTCACACTCTCGTGCGGCAGTAGTTATCTCCCGACACAAAGCGTTTGAGTCTCGACCACCGTTTATTGATCAGCCAGCTGGAGTCTTATGGAGTAGAGCTACTGTGTACATCATGAATGCGTATTCAGCTTGAAAGTCCTTGTCTAAAAGTTTCGGAGTCCCGCAAAGGTCTTCCAATGAATCTTGACTAACGTCTAATTCTAAAGTCTACTCGTGACACACTTGTGCATTGTCAGCTAGGAATCATTAGGGAATAGGTAACTCTATAACCTACGGACTAACTTTCGGTTTGAGTCACTGGTTATTGGCAAACAGTTTTAACATTCATACGCAAGGCGGGATGTTTCTGAAGCGTCAGCTCTTTGTCATAGCGAATATAGGTGTGTTGTGTGGTATACATACAGAGATGGAGGCTACACTATGTGTGGGGACATTATAACGTGAAGAACACTCACCACTGATCACTTTGCAACTTTGGGGTATATTTAAGAGTAAACTTTGCTGTTGTAAGACCCACAAGTTTGCAAAGCTCCCTCAAGGAAAAAAATTCAAGTGATGATAAACGTGAAGAGGAAAGAAAAACCTTACATCCAATTAAAAAAAAAAAATTCTAAAAACGCGCTTTAGCGAGCAAAAAGTATATACCAGAGAGGATGTAAAGAAATTGATGAACTCGTAAAGGGGGATGGGTTTGGGCACAAACAAAACGAAACAAAAATACTATTTCTTCCTCCACTCTTCACTGGCTTTTCAGCTCCACACTTGCCTCTATCTTACCAATCCAATTTGGCGGATACGATAATCGATTAGCACTTGAACGCCAAAAGAACAACTACTACGCAAGCCAAACCACCTAAAAATGGTTCAGGGGAACTTTCTAAATCTAATTTGAAGAGCATCTTATAACCAACGTGCGTTCATCGAATAGCTGAAGGGTAAGCGAGGAAGCGTTTTCGTAAATTTCTTCGATCAATGACAAGTCAAGAAGGAACAATTAAAGTACGAAAAATATTCGGTTAAGTTTGGCTCGCCTTATCAACCATCAACACATTATGTTTAGTGTTGGAACGTCATTTGGAGTGTCTGTTTTACATATTCTTATGATATCACAAGTTTGGGCCACGCTCATCGTAATGTCTTCACTAATGTGGAAACCGTAACACGTTCCAAAAGTATGAGTCACTTAGCTTGTGTGCAGACGACACCTTTTGGACAGTGAGACATTGCAAGATTTGTCCGCTCAGCAAGAGTTAAAATGTAATGTAAAAACACTCTCAAAACAAAAGTGTGACAAAATGGCTTGTCGGAGACTGGGCCCGGACGTCATGCATGTCGCTTTTGAGGAAGTCTTTTCTCCTTAGAAAGGAAAAGGTGTGACGGAATAAATAAACAGTTGTATTTATTGAAAGAAAAGCCTGTGATTGTGACTTCGGGATACTAAACTTCTATTGCCACGGAGGCATTCCCGAAAAGCTTAGACCTTCGCTAGAGGTCAGTACATTTGGGTGAACGATACCAGCCAATGAAACAAATACAAAATCGCACTGCAAACATTACAAACTGTCAAGACCATAAGCACCCAAGGGATAAAAGATTCAAATGGTCTCACATAGTTTTTTCTCTTCGGTTTTCTTTTTTTTTTTGTGACTAATATTCGGGTTCAGTAACGTCTGTGACTTTAGAACCAAACATCTTTTCTTCCCAACGAGACAGCTGTTCAATAAATCCTCGTGTTGGCTGCATATTTTCTCTGCATTTCTTCAGATGGTTGTAAGCATCCTAAAGGTAAAAATTAGAGTACATTTTTAGCTTGCTGATTACGTGAACAATAAATATAGTTCACCAAATTGGTGCACCTAACTCTGACAATGATGGCTTGTCATAGAAATAGCCTAATTTTTTTGTAAACTTATCTTGAACGCGTGGATTTCTACACGATATCTATTACAGCACTCAACTGCTTGTTATACATGGTCCAATGCTTCTGTTCGTGAGCGTATATAGACCTCTTTCATAATGGCAAGCATGATTAATTTTTTCAGTTTTTAGTGCACGCGGATTTGGCTTCCTGCCCTAAATGGGGCAGCTGACCGTTAATCTCCAGGTCGTTGAAAACTAACCCGAGACAAACCCTTTCTCGTCCCTGTCTCGCCCAAGCATCTTCACCATCCAACTCCTTCTTACCCATGGCTACTTCCGTGACAAGAGGAAAAACAGACTGCCTCCAGTCTAACCCTTTTTACGAAATACTGCAGACGAATGATGAACAATTGCGCTCATTTTTGCTTGTGTCTCCTTGTCACACCGCCCCTTTGGATGCGATCTCAGGTACCCTTAATGATACCTAATGACATGATAGCTGTGTTCTGGGTTCCTTCACTACTCACCTTTAAGGAAACTTTTTTATTCCACATGTAATAGGCTATTGCTACCGTGGCACTTCGACTTATGCCTAGGGTTGAAGTTAGTAGAACAGTTCTTCCGTCTTTGTTGTCATGGTCATCTAAACAAAATAACAAGATAGGGAGTACGTCCCTTATAGGGGGATAAGCATTGCCGCCGTATTCTACAAATTGGAATTACCCTTGAACTTTTGCAATGAATATGACATCCCGTTCTAGAGGTAAAAGTTATAGTGCAACTGTTTCAAATTTGCTGTTTGTAAAATGGCTTATTTCTTATTTCCTTGCTGTAACCGCAGCTGTTATTTCTAATGATATGTGCCATAACATTCCCGTTTTACTCCGTGATCATGTAGCGCTGAATAGCCATCTAACCCGTTCTACGAGACGTTCCTTGTCTCAAAATCACAATCCGCTGGGAGACACATAGCCAGACGGATATTTTACTGATACCCATAAGGGGATTGCGTATCCGGCAAGTTCAAAGCTGTGTTAAGTTACTTCCGACCATAAGTCAGTAACATGCTGTAAGAAATACTGTACTACAACCTATCTCAAGTTCTTACCAATGAAACTCACGACGTCTGTCAATTGGGAATAAATATCCTCTGTGCCACTGTCATTAACAGGTAAAGTAAGAATATGTTTGATCCTCTTCTCATCTTTGCCAAGTGTTGTTCTTTCAGGATCAAAACTACAGCCAAGAATGCCAGAAAAGAACAACGAAACAGATAAAGAAAACCGCAAATGTCAATTCTCAAAACTGTACCAAAAACAATTCGAATTTTGCCAACGATTTTTTTAATCTCAAGTTGAAACTTTGTTATGAAGGGCTTAAGGTAACGCTAAGTAATAGATGACCCACATCCCTTGATAATATTCATTGTCACTGTAGTGTCATTGAAATAAGATTTCTCATCAAGGTTGTTTTAGTGCTATTTCATGAAATCAGAAACTGAGCGAAAGTTATAGTAAGAATGGACTGTGACAATGACTTCCGCTATGGGGTGGGGTTGGGAAATATGCTACTTTAAGGAGAGAGGAGTAATTCTCGATAAAACATTGAATTAAGACAAATTTTCAAGACTGTATTTAAAGAGTAGCTTACTAATAAACTCTTGAAGGGAGATGGCCAGGAAATTTGACTTGCTTGAATAAATGTAATGGCGCATGAATAAGGTGGTGTAGTTCAGTGAGTTTTCGAATTATTGTTGTGTTGTAAGAGCTTGCAGTAATACCGAACAAGGTCTCCCCAATGGTAGGAGAGTTTTGGCAAGAATTCACGTGGTTGAACAAGTTCAATACCTTTTGGGTAAACAGTTTAATAAACTTACATGCGATAAAAGAGTGCTCAATTGAATATTTATTTCCGCAGTTTAAACACTCATTATCCGCTTTAATACCAAATCTGAACAGGTCTTTCTTAATTTCTATCGTTCTATGAGTGAACTTAAATTGAAAATCTTTCAGTTTAGTTTCCTAACAAACGTTTTTTTATTGATTTAAAGATCTTAGTCCATTTGTGTTTCTTCAACGAGAGTTTCCACTCCCACGTTTAGGGCCCGTTTGTTCCTCGGAGTGAATCTTGTCGTTAGGCAAATTACAGAAGTCCCTTGAATTAGCCTTGCAGAGGTTAATTTAGATCGATTCGTTCAGGGAAAAGATATTATCATCTTGGGTAAAGAATGATTTGTTGATGGTTTCGGAGCATCATTTAATACAAGCAGATACTCCTGCTTCTATGAAATGATGTTCAGTGATTTCTGCCAGATTCCCTTTCAGTTAGCCTGCAGATCGAGCGGAACTGAGCCTTTCATACTTTTCAAGGAGGAGGTACAAAACTTAAACAGTAGCAAGTTTTTTAATTGAATTAGCGATTGGGTGAAATTCAAACGATCTGTGACAGAACCAAGGCAAAGACAGTGTGTAGAGCTGCTAACAAACGGGTCTGGTGGTCCTCGTCGGTCAAAACTATTTTTAGTTGTCGTTGCAGAAAGATATATTTCACCCATAATAAAACCAGATACCGAATCCCTAGTGAATGTAGTTTATCATCTTACCCAGGATCCCAAATGTATTTATAATTCTGATGAATGCTTCAAATAAGGTCTGCTAATGATGATGTTTATGAATATCTTGAAAATTGTATTGCAATAGAGGCCAGCGTCGTTCAATTTTGGTGAATACTGTCCAATTAGGTTAAATGATAAGTCTTTGAATTACCACGATCATTTTTTCTCAACTCTAGCACTACATTTACATATATTTTGATTCCTATCATGCTCAATGAACATTCGTGTCTAAGCAGGAAGTGGCATCGGCTAGGGCTCTCAGTTCTAAAACGTCACGCCTAAACACATCCGTCAAAAATACTCTATCTTAATTAGAAAGAGCGCTGTAATTTGTTTCCAAGCTCGCCTCTGTCTATGAGTTTTTGTCCTCTTGCCTTTTTTACTTGGTTGCCACAACACATCCGTCAAAAATACTCTATCTTAATTAGAAAGAGCGCTGTAATTTGTTTGTAAGCTCGCTTGTGTCGGTGAGTTTTTGTCCTCTTGCCTTTTTTTCTGCGTTGCATTAAAATTGAAGCCGTGATCATTAGACGAACAAAAACGCCAGATAACACCCCGTCAATTTACTTAATTTGAAGTAATATATCAAACACGAGGAAGAGTGTTTCATCCGATATCTAAACACCGAGAAGTGGTTGAAAAAACGAGGCGCAGCCGAGTTTTTTTAACCAACTTCAAGGTGTTCAGATATCGGCTGAAACACCCTTTCGAATGTTTGATATAGCTTCTCCAACCATTAATAATTCTTGGAGAAAATCAAAGCAAAAGTTCCCCAATGTTTATGATAATTAAGATCACATATCCAAACCTCCCTCACGGTTGTAATTTCCTTTGTTTTCCCAGCATGAATTATTAGAGAGTTTGAGAATGGTAAATGGCAAATTATAGAAACTCCGGGCCTGTTATTTTTCTCTGACCTCGATGAATAAAGTTATCGAAATTCTTGATAAACTGTGTGTCTTCTCAACACAATTTTCGCGGACCTAAAAAAAGTAACTCACCACCGGCTGAAAGTCACACGCTGCCCATGATACTTGGATGATGCCCTGAAGTTCGTTTTTAACTAAGAACAGCGAAATTATGCCGAAGAAAAAAAATAAAATTCCCTGATTCTTTCTCTGTATTTTTTCCAGTCTTTTATGCGAAAAAATTGGTTAATTAGCATAAAAAATAACGGCCTTATAAACCATTGATACTGTGTGTTACCTCTACTGAAATGAGAATAGTATAAGTAGCGTTAGTTACAGAAAGACACTCGCGCTTCATTATTACTAAGAACAGCGTTAATAAACGTTTAAAGCAGAGCAATTTAACCAAATTCAAGAAGAAAGCTGGGGCGTTCTTGTTGCAACTATAAATTCGAAAAATCTAGACCATTATTTAAATTTGGATTCTTTTTGAAATTTTTTTCAACTTGTGTTAAATGACTCGTCAAGCTTTTTTAACATTGTGTACCGTCTGCAAAGCAAGTCGAGAATAATGACTGAAAACGGAGAGATATCATCTTGAAAACCGTATTGTAATGGAGGAGAGCAAACGATATCCATGATGAAAAACATAGACATACAAAACTTTGCTATCCATTAGTGTTGCTATTTTTCAAGGATTTTTCGAAAGTGTTAGGGTTGATGAGTGAGATAAAACTTAATATCTTCCCCAGAGTCTGCTCTAAAAGTCTTGATAACAATATTTTCGTCATCAAGATGAAAATGTTACTGCATTGATTCGTTCCTCAGTCTTGACCTCATGAAGGAAAACCTCGAGAGATAAGTGGCCACTTGAAATCGTACCAAGATTTGAAAATCATACGTATCAATTTTTTCTACTCATGCTAGTCTAAACGAGTCTTCATTTTTCGCCAGAGAAGTAGGAAACTGAAAAAATATCTACTTCTTTATTAGCTTGAACAGCTGGAACTGTTTTTATGAAAAATTAGAGGTGGACCATTTTGGAGGCGTATCCTAGTTTCCTATCACTTCATGCCCCCTGAGTGGTTTGACGCTCTCTCTTGATGGAAATCAAGGCTGCATCAAAACTAAAATGACCAATTCACAAAGGAAATGATTCCTTGATAACATGATCTATAGTAAGGCAACAAACAACAAACTAACGAGGTCTACTGGTGAGATGTGAGACGTTAAATCACACTGATATATTACGAAGCTTTTGAATTGGTGATGATTCATTGAGATCTCGAGTGAAATTTTGGTAATTAAGAGGACATAGTATTGAGTGGCTTTCTTTTAACGAGACAAGTGTCAAATTTTGCTCCTTTTCTCTTCATCACAGAATTTGACAGGATGCTGAGCTTCAAGTTACTCTGCTATATCAATGTTCTACAGATTTTGCTCATGAAAGCTTACAGTTGGTATTTTTTGCTCACATTATTTACATTTGTAGTTTGGTTGGCTTGATAGGATTATTCACACTAAAAGATATTCTCTGAAAACTGTTTTATCATTCAATGAACAAAAGTCATTTACATGTCACTGTTTTACTTTGCAGCCATCAGAAAGGTCATGAGCATGTACACTGTATTTCTACAAACGTAAAACATACGTTACATGGAACAATCCAGTCCATTTTAAGCACCTTTAAACAAACCAATCAAAATGATGAGGTGCTTAGCCTGCCCTATGTAAGTTAAAAAAAAAACCTCATAAATTTATAAGTAATAAATCATTTGGAGACTAAGCTAATTCCTCTTACTGTAGCTTTGGGATAATAATGCAGAGTTGATGAAAATAATGAGAGATTATTCTAAATCTGAATCACTTGTACAGCTCTCATTTAAAACCACATTAATTTTATGCTTGTCGTGGGCCATTGCATCATATGTATACTTACATTGTATCAGTTTCTTTTGCCACAATCACATTTGCCTTCACTTTGAGATCCTTGATAATTTTTTTGTCTTGGGATTGTTGGAATGTTGATAAATATAGAAAGCCTGGTATAACCTCCACTGGATATGTATCAATCACATCCAGTTCCTAAAAATAGTACAGAATATAGTGTTAGCAAGAAACTTCCTAAAATCCTTCCCACAAACTTTCCTACCCACATGCTCTTGATCTATAGTTCCATCATTACTTTCTAGCAAACCCAAAGTAACAATTACAATAATGATTGAATAGTCTGATCATCCAAATGATATCAGTCCTAAAAAGGATTTTTGGCAAAAGTGCCTAATGAGTCCCAACAAACTGAGTAGTGTGCATAGGCAGCTGTTTGCAAAGTGATTAGAGATGAAGCCTGCAAGTGGAGTAAACTGCCTATAATGAAATTATGGGGGATTTCTATTTCCCCTCTCAAACCCCTTATGCCTTTGCTTTCCACTTTCTGTCCATGACAATGTGGCTTACACTTTAAAGCTCACGCAAAACCAGCAGCTATACAAGCCGCTACTCCCTGTGTGTCTTGTTCAATTTGTTGAAATGATGACTATTAACTTAAGTTACTCAGTTTAAGCTTTAATCCATCAGGAACATTGGATCACTGGCGAATGATCAAGGCCAAAATCAATATGTGACATGTAAATTTTAAAGAAAGGTGAGCATGATTCATGACTTAATGAACCAGCATGAGTCCTGATTTGCCTCCCAAAGTATATGTTACCCATGAATTTTTTCTTCCATTTAGTGAAAACCTCAATATTTCCTTGAAACCTTATACACAAGAGGAGTGATTGAAGTTTTCCCTCTTAAATTCAGGACACCTGAAATGGTGTTTAAAGCATACCTGATGAGTGAATTTTTCTAAATATGTGCATGACTGGGATCAGGACTCCCCTTTGCTATATCCACATATGTAAAGAGAAAAATACTTTACTCTATTCTTCTGAAAACATTTGACACTTCTGGTTCAAATTCTCCACCCCAGCCAGGCAAAGTTCAAATTCCCCAACCCCCTACACAGATGCAGTCAAATGCCTGTGAGTTACCAAGGCGGCAGGGGGGGAGCAGATATTGAAGTTTCTACTTGATCAGCACATAATGTCATGAATGAGTGCTCTGTGAGGTGCCAATTCTGTTTAGAGAAGTCTGTTCTAAGTAAGTAAACCAGCTTTCCATGGTCAGTTCCTAGGAGTAGCTTGTTGCTTTGTGTTTAATCCAAACTTTTTAGTAGGTTAGTATTTGCTAAATTGAATGAAGGTGTTGTTGTAGTTGTCCTTGGAAAGTGACAGACAGGGCACTTCTACTATGCATAAACTCTCCTAATGCTGTGATACACTTGTCCATGAGTTCCAGTTTTCTATAATGTTAGGTTACCAAATGACTATATAAAGTAAAGAAGTACTAGATATGTAGCATTTTAGCAGTGACCCATCATCTACTATTTTATAGATCAAACTGTAACTTACAAAGCTGGAGAAAAACTCCTCAGGGCAACAAGAAGAAGCAACAGCAACTTCAACTCACATCTAACACTTATGGACAGAAATCTGTTGTGTTGATTGCAAATACCAATTGACCCCAAACTTTAAGTACTGATTATGTATTGTTAACTTGTGAAGAGTTTATTGTGATCACCTTTCATCACATAATGTTATGTAAGTAGCAGTATAAGTATATTCAGTTGTCCATGTTATCTAGGTTAGGTTAAGTTAAGTAGGTTAGTAGTTGCTTATTTAGTGATTAAAGTATTTTCACCTTCTTTTAAAATGTTGTTCTTTACTTAAACACAATAGAATCAAACCTAGGTCAGTGGGGAGAGAGCCCAGAATTTTCATCAGTTCGTACTACACCTTCACTGTCGCAGGATCAATTGATCCACACACACACAACCCCATTGAACTGCATAAGTATATTCTGATGTTAGAATTTAAGAGGGGTACTTCTTCTAGCCAAGGTAGATGGAAGAAATTGTTTCTTAAGTGGCTGTAAAGTCATTATTCAAACTTACCCTTGCCATGTATATGATCTTCTGTGTTCGTAAGAATGGGTACAGTGCTGAAAAGTCTTCATATCCACCTAAAGAAAATGTATGAAATAATTAAAGATTTATGGAAATGTTTGAAATCAGATTTTAATCAGTGTTCTATCATAATGATATTTGTCCTTACCGATAGCTTTTGGACAATTATATATGTGTAACACAGTATCTTGAATTTTTATAAAAGATGAAGAAGACTTTAAAATGAAGTAAATGGTACTCTGGCAATCAAACTTTGTTGAGAAAATATTCTTTACCCAGAAATGAATAATATATATTGTTATGTGAATAACAACATAAGTAAAATTATAACTATATACACTAACATAACAGATATCAGTGACAATTAAAACCATTATTCATATCCACCTATTCGATGGTTTAACGTATAATTAGCACAGATAGTTTGAAAGTTTCATGGTATTTTCCAAGCCCTGAAGAGGCAAGAGAAAAATAAGGGAAATGAGTGAAACATTGCGAAGTATTATACCTTAAACCATCAGATAAGGGATTTTTTCTTTCAATTTTTAGTGTTTTTAATTAATTAAAGTTTGCAAAATACATCCTACAGCCCTATTTGAGCATCAAATCAATTGTACGAGGAATATGCAAAAAGACAAAAAAACACAAGCGAAACCATTAAAGTGTTCATTGTGACCACTTTCGTTTCCTAAAAAAATAAAAAAAAATTCAAAGTTTGGATTGATCAGTGCTGCCATCTTCTTGCTCTATATTTCTTCTGTGTACTACAATGAAATACTGTAGCATATTTTTATGCATTGCTATGACTTTATTTGATAAAATGACGTAAGAATTAAATACAGCAAATTAATGACTACCTTTAATAACTTTGACAGGATTCTTGCTTCCCATATCCCACATTAGCTTGGCACATGACAGTGCTGTGCTGTCTGACACATAACATATAACACATACGATGAAAAACACTGATTCAAGATCAACAACTTGAATCTCAAGTAAAGTTAGACTTGCTTAATCTAAAAGGGATCAGAAAAGCTACTGACAAAAAGCCTTGCAAGTCAAATGAAAAACAATAAGGTCAAAAAACTCACTTTTGTCTTTGAGGGAACTGGTGTTACTGTCATAAATAACCACATGTTCCTTGGTCTGCAGTTCAGCCTCATGAGGAACTAGGAAAGCACCGATGTCATTCTAGATTGTGGTGAAAAGTACAGAGAATACACCTCACAGTAAAATAGTGATATGGATAAGCAAATGCTAAATGCATATTTTCATTTTTGTCCACCAGTTTATTGTTTTAAAACATATTTACAACTAAGCCTACTGTATGAGGAAATGAAAAATATGGTATTATAAAACTCAAAATGAAAACATTATATCATCATCTTACATGTAGGAAATAAATGTCCAGGACGAATGCTAGCAATCATGCATTTCCAACTGTAAACTGCCTCAATAATGTAGCAACCACCTACAGTAAGTTTAGTTCCTGTGGCTTTTGCAGTTTGACCTCAATCATTAGAAAGATTTTGAACAACCCTGCACCTTTCTAGCCTAATGTTCCTGTTTTCTCTCTCTTTGAAAACTGTGTGATATCTATATCAGAAACATTCACCAATCCAAATGAAACCATTGCACTGAAAAGATCCAAAACACAGTGGATGCCACCCCACCCCAACTCCATCCCCAAATTTGATACCCGGTTACAATAGTCCATTTCACAGTTGAGTGCTTGGTTGCCAAGCCTTTTTAACAGGAGTGAGGCTAAGGGTGACTTTGTTATTACAAACCTCATTGCTTTGCAAAAGTTAATTACCTTGTTATTATGTAAACCTGATACTGGTCTCTATCCCAACAAGGTCACCTTCAGCCTCACTCCAAATCAAAGGCTTGGCAACCAAGTACACAACTGTAAAATAGCCTATTGATTCAACCCATGTTTCTCTTTTGCAATTAACCATAAACCATGCACTCAAAACAAAATTATTGCATAAATTTAAAGATAATACCGCGGATATTTAATGCTAACCCTTGGTGCAAACTTTGCTGTTATGATATGGCTTTCACTGTAGTCATGCATTTGTCTGGTATCTGCAAAACATCATATGTACAACATTAGCCACTTAATGAAACACTGCATTGTCCTTCACTTTAAGTTTTGACTGATGATCTCTAAACAAGAATTTACAGGTAGATATGGAAGAAGTGCCTATTGTTCCAACTCCTGTATCCTGTATCAATGACCTACCAGGGTGAAAAAGTTGTACTTATCGTTAAAGAGCAGTGACTCTTAAGCTCTGTTATCATGTCCTTCCCAAAATACATTGTATGATGTGGTTTGACTTCAATATGCTTGTTAGGAATCTATAACAGTCAAAAACTGTTGGCATGTTTCATCCCAAATAGGTCTTGGACAAGATTTACTTGAGATTTTACTTCTTCATAACAAATTTCAAAGATGCAAAATTTCCCTGACTCAAAGTGAAATTCATGACTTTTTCCTACCCTGTGGCAACCATACAGAGCTCTCAAGTCTCCACTAAGTATGGGACTCAAGCAAATGAATTCATTTTTATGGTCTCCCTGAAATTATAATTTCTCCCCTTTTACAATTTCTGATTCTAATTGTTGATTTTGAGAAAGAAACTGTTGCTTTAGCCAATTCATCTAAAAAATCAATAATCTTTTTAGATACAATTTACTCCTTGGTTCCTTGTTGTTTTACTCCTTGTTGTTAAATACTCTGTCAATTTTCATCCCCCAAAAAAATTTTTCCTGGGGGGGGGCCTGGTGGCGCCTCCTACACCTCTGCTCCGCCACCTATGTGGTTTACAAAAGAAATAACATCAGTCCTCGTGCACTATTGAGTTATAGAAGCACTTGGGATCGTGTTCTTAAAAAGATCACTCATGTCTCTGTAACTCAACAATGCACACGGCACTTTTTTTTTTTATTTCGTTCATAGATCTATTGCTTAGCTTTCTTACCTAAAAGGAGTAAATAGTTCGGATCACTCAGCCTCGGGTACCTTCCTGCCTGAAATACAGTGACATCAAACCTTTACGCCCTAATTATGCCCTATAAAGTAATTAGCTTACTTTTTGAAACAAAGTGCGCCTGTTACTGCTTCGAGACTGAGAAGAATTCACATCCATACCTGGTTGAGAATATTATAGAACTCCGTGCACTCTAACAAAAGAGTCCCTGTCGACATATTTCTTGTGTCCAAAAAGTATCTTAATGGATATAAAAAGCTATATCTCTCGAGCAAACTTCCACAAGTTCCTCTCTGAAGTCCAACATGAATCCCGCCATGTTTGTTTTCGTTGCCATTGGTTTATACGCTGCTTGCTGTCTCGCTGGCTCAAACTTCCCAACGGATCATTCCCAGACCCCCCTTATCTGCACGGCGTGATCAGGCAATCGTTTTAGTTCACGTTTCTCCGAAAACCCGTCGCCTTCCTTTGCTCAAAGCCACAAGCCACGAGCCACGAGCCACGAGCCACGAGCCACGAGCCACGAGCCACGAGCCACGAGCCACGAGCCACGAGCCACGAGCCACAAGCCACGAGCCACGAGCCACGAGCCACGAGCCACGAGCCACGAGCCACGAGCCTGCTAAATGAATGATTTTCAGCTTTCCTGATTTTCCTCCGTTTTCTTATGAAGAATTGTTTCGTTCTCTTAGGTGTACTCGAGTTCTGGATGTACGCGGGAAGCTTGGAGAGCTCTCAAGAAGCTAGTATACGTTTCTCTCGTGATCTCCAAACTTCCCTCGTACATCCATAACTCGATATACGCACGCTAAGTATGAACCGATTCTAAAGTGTTTTTCAAGGAAAGCACAGTTTGCGTACAGTTGATGATTTTATCCAAAGAGCTAACACAACTCTTCTTCTCCATGTACGAAGGTCTTAATGGGTTTAACAGTTAGCTGTAAAACGGCCAAAAGTTTAGCCGCTAGGTGTAAAAGTAGACAAATTTTCACAGTTAGTCGTAAAAAAGTTAACCATAAAAAAAAATTCTGGTGACCACAATGGAAATATATTAACCGTTAGCCGCAAATTGGCCAAAATTGTAAACGTTAGCTGTAAAAGCCATCACTTCATTGAAACTCTCACATATCAAAGCCAAGAAATTATTAACTGGTCAAGAACCTCTTGTTGGAGCCAAATACTTCAGAATTTATGCTCCCTTCTACTTTACTTAGTTAACACTGTAGTTTTCTAAGCTTTTTCTAGATTTCCAATCTCTCAAGGTAAGCATTTTTTTCATATGGCATCCTGTGTTTTCTTAGCTTAGGAGGCTTGAGTTAGCTACTTATTCCAAGTTTTCACAGCGTGTTACGAACAGTGGTTGACAACGTAATTTCTGTGCTACAGAGGCAAACTAGAAGGTCTCCGTGGAGCTAACTATCAGGCGTCAAACGGTTACGAATATTTTTTCATTGTAAATGATCAAAAAGCAGCTCTAAAATCTCGACGGTGGAATCCTTAGAAGGGACTTACATTCGATTATAGAGATTCAGTCAACTGAGCAAGTGGAGCCTAGGATGTTTTTCTCCACACGTTTAATGACATCTTATTGTTTAATTTCAATCCTTTCGGAAAGGATGCTCACCTATTCATTCAGCTTTAAAAGTTTCCCCGTTTTGAAATTTTCATCCAATTCATTAAAATTGTTGGCTTGTGGATTTATGACTGTTAGGGCAGGTTTCTAGGTAAACTGACTTCGTTCCATGAAGAGTTGTAATAAAGCAACACACTGTAGCACTCGAAAATCATACTCGAAAAATATCACTGGCAGAAGAACAACTTCATTAATCCCAAACGCCCACAATACCAGGTGTTACACTGCGACCGAATTCAAGCCCGTAGGTAAAGTTAGTTTGAGAAGTAAGAACATTTTCAAACAATATAGACATTGCTGAGTGAAAAATCAAAAAACAAAAACAATTTGCACTGAATCACTTTATTAATTCTCTATGGCTATCAGTATATGAATAGGACTGAATATCATGTTTAGCAGAGACATTCCTCTAGTTCCAGTTACTTTGCTTTCATGTTCCTCAAACTGATCAAACGACATCTTACCAACAGATACGCCTGTAAAAAATGAAAACAAACAACTGAATGTCAACGCAAGGAATAGAACTAGCTATCTTAAAGACGCTTATCTCACCTTCCAGGAGTATAAATGAAGCCGACCGGAAAACTTCCAGGAGACCTTACAAATTTTTGGTAAAAATGCGATGCGAGCAGCAACATCCTAAGTCAAATAATGCCATGGAAAGTGAAATAAGTTTCTCAGGTTTGGAATATTTAGCTCGTGTTCAGCTCAGAAACTGTGGTGCTGCGTTGGTGGGAGAGTATAGCAGGTAATTTAGTGTTAAAAACTGAGTTGAAAACGTAAATTAGCCACCGTAAAGGGTAAAAAAGCTGACGTTTCGAGCGTTAGCCCTTCGTCAGAGCGATTAGACTTTGTTTCCCGCTAAAGGTCCTAAATAATTCTTTGAATGCATGTGACTCACAACGGTTTCTTGTTTTTTTATCCATCATTTCTTTGCTGGATCGATACTGCCATAATTTCTTATGCATGTACTTGCCCAAAAAACTTTCATCAAATTATTAAGAATCATTAAAAGTAAGGTTGCTTTGTGCTGTATAAACCATTTGTGCAAGTTTTGCAGAGAAGTGAATGTTGGCATGCTTACTGCAGGTCAGTAATTTAAAATGGGGTTACGGAACCCGTTTTTTTGAAGATAAAGCCAAAAGATAAGGGTGTTTAAGTAGAACAGTGAGATTACTGCTATGGTGACCTCTTATGTCAAAAAATGATAATAACTTCTTAAAAAATAATTTGGACTTCTTTTTTTGATACAAGTTGCAAAGGAACATGCGAGAGGGCATGGAAGTATCGATCCGCTTATGTTGACGTTTAGAGAAGCGAAACCATTTCGAGTTACGTTAGGATGTTTTCTGCGCACCTCACTCAGTTCCTCGTGATGAGTTTTTCATTTTGTTTACATCTGACTTTAACACAGAAGCTTTCCTAGATAGCAGCATTAAACTCACCAGGTTTTATCGAGTTCCATGTTACAGCTATTTGGTTAAAATGTAGACATAGTTTGCGCTCTTTACTCCAACTGCGTAATCTCCGTCCGCTTTGCACCCTTTGGGTGATGCACCATGCACCTTGTAATCAGCATTGCCTTTGGTTGTCACACACTTGTATCTCCCACGAATCCCAAAAATCTCCAGTTTTTTGTCCTCAGCTGCTTTCATACAAGCCTCGACCGCACCTTGGATATTGTTCTTGTACTTTTTGAATTTTGCAAATGTGGTTCTCATGGCCTTTTTACTTTTCTTTTTCACCTCCTTAAAACATCCCTGCTTTTCCCATTCTTAATAAAACAAATTGAACATTATCAGCGAAGTTAGAAGAGACACAATTTCCTTGGAGGCCAAGTAATATGTGTTTAGGTCATATAAGTTATGAAGTCCAGCTTCTAACCTTGAAGTATTTAATTTACTTTAGATTTCGGTAGACGAGGTAAAGAATTACTGAGGAGGAAAAAAACCCGGTAAAATTTATGAATTCGCATCCAATGTATGTCAGTTATTAAAACGACACAATCATTAGATTTTGACTTAAAGTGATGACAAGTGGTAACTATTTCTTCACTGGTCTGTTGAAGTTACCGAATCAATGAATCCTAGCTAACAATTGCTCTTTTTACTGTGCGATAAATTAGGCTCTTCCGTAGAACTGGCTCGGGGTCAGGGTAAACTTTTACAGCACATTTAAAAGGTACCAAGCGTCATCTTAAATCTTTTCCCCATGGAACTTCTCACAATATCCTGTTTTTCTGTTTTCCTTCGAAACAAGCTTAAGTATCTTGAAAATGTCTGGCCGACGTTTTCAAGTTTGTCCGCAATAGTTGCTATAAATCATTCTAATCACCATGATGGCTTATTTTTAAAGATTCCATTCTTGTGTCTTTGACGCAGAATTTTTGTTTTTCGTTTTTTAAAGTTTTTGGTTTACTATATTTAACTCGTGTACCTAACTTTTATGTATAATAGGGCTACTGTCTTCTCACCGCAATATTTTCCAACGTATCCATCCGCACAGTCGCACTTGTAGCTGTTGATTCCGTCGATACATATTCCTCCATTAGCACACGGCACCTTCGCATCCAAACATTCGTCGATATCTGTTAGATTTCAGTGACCCAATCTGTTAGTATTCTTGATTGCCGTTAACTTTACTCAATTACTGCTGTGAGTGTTTTTTAGATTGCAAAATATTTATGTTTCTTTTAGAATTACGCGAAATGTCGCATCAGTTAGCGAAGGGATCGACGGAGGACATTTAAAAGCTTCCAATGCTTCAGAATATTATTACAATCATAAAAGATATTTTGAAAGTATAGAGGCGACACTGCGGCAATGCAGCAAGTAAATTTTAAAACCTTTACGTGGGATGCCAAAATGGTAACCTGGAGAATGACGTCGTTGCGCCTTATCTAGACTACATTATGTGGTCTGCAGGCCACGCATCCTTACGTCACAATAACTTTGCAAGGTTCTTCAGAGTTTTGCACTCACAGACTTGCGTGTCACGAGTTAAAAATTAGAAGTTAAAACAGACATAAGTGGCTGCAGATCTTATCAACTAATAAATATAACGGCATTAGTCTCAAATTTAAGAAATGTTTCTTCCTAGAGGTAAGACTGATTAATCTTTTTTTTCCACAACCAAGGACATTCTTGAATATTAGAAGGGCTCTTTCCCAGGGGCTTTTCTCGCTTTATCTGGGCAAGAGTTTCGCAATGCACCCATGTGATATCTCAAAAGTCTCAAGTTGGAAAATAACTTGAATCGATTTAAAATAGTTCAATCTAGGGGTTGTATGATACGGTCAACAATTTACTCACTGATTTACTTATTTAAATCATTATCACGCATATTCGTAGGTATCTTGTTAATAGAAATTCATCGTTTTTGTAGAACACCTATCAAAAATCTTTACCTTAGTTGTTTTGCAGTTGTATACTATTATTAAAGTATTTATCGTATATTTCAAAATCCTGAGTTGTTATAAAATGGAATCGTTCAATTTCTTCCTGCTCCAATTTCTTTAATTTTTGTTTTCCATAATATTGTTAAGCACCATAAGCTACTGATAATAATCGCTATAGAAAGTTGTTATTATTCTCATTATCATTATTGTTATTATTATCATCATTATTATTATTACTGAATTTGGTCGAAGATCGACAAGACCTACAGCCAACGGTTTATTTTTCGTCTATAGTTGATAACCCACCTGTTTCGCAATTTTTTCCCGTAAATCCAGGTTTGCATTTGCATTCATAGCTTCCATGTGTGTTCTCGCACTGTCCGCCATTTTGGCATGGGTTTGAGGTCTGGCATTCATCAATATCTGCCCCAAATAAAAAAAAACCTTTTAAGAGGGGAGAGCGCGGGGAAAAATTTTCTTCCTAGTCATGCGTAGTTTTAGTCACATTTACTGACTGTTATTCCCCCTCAAAGTAAGTTTGCACGTGTCCTAACTTGATATCTTGTTTCCCAGGCCAGCATTTATTTTTTCTGTCATACATCTAATATTTCACATCCTTTTTTTTTCTTTGCAGTTCTCGAACAGCAAAATTAGAGCCTAAAATTATTTGACCTTGCTCACAACTTGAGAGTTTACTGTTCAGTTCTTTGAAATTAAAAATGGAAAAGAACAGGCTTGGGTGATTGCAGATCCTACCAACCATGCCATATCACGGGATTAACTTTAAACCCCAGAAATATTTCTTCCTTGAGATGGCACCAATGTTCATGCAATTAATTATAGATTCATGCAATCAATTGATAATCGAAGGTCACCGGTTCGAATGTCACTCGAATCGATTTTTAAAACTGTACTGTCGAAATTTTCTATGATAAGATCAACACGTTACCTATTAATTCACTGATTTAAAGTACGTAGGCATATGACAAATAATGTAACCCGGCAAAAACTCAGGTAATGTCTATGATCAATAACCCACCTGTTTCGCAATTTCTTCCTGTAAATCCAAGCGTGCATTTGCATTCATAGCTTCCATGTGTGTTTTCGCATAGTCCGCTATTTTTGCATGGATTTGAGGTTTGGCATTCATTGATATCTACCCCAAAGGAAAAAAAACATGTAAAGTTGAAATCATTATGCGCATAAGGCAGTCCAAGAGGAGAGAGGGACGGGGAGAATTTTTGCTCAATCACACATTTCAACGAACAGTCGACTCCCGGGAATCTTCAAGAACGGAGTATGTCTAACAATTCATACTTTTCGCCGAAGGTGAAAATATACTATTGAAAAATACTCGAGTCACAGTCGAAAAGATCATTGAACAATAACTCATTGAGCCCGACAAGAAAAATTTACCTTGGTATTACGGTTCTGTTGATCATCAGAACAAAAACATTAATTTATATTTTTTCTTTGCTTCTAACTAGTCACGCATAAAGGATCGGGGACACGCAGTCTGGTTTATAGATCACATAATGACAGCAAGTCATTTTTCTCGTAGAAACTGCCATCTTTTCTCCTCACCGATACGTACTGAAACTTCGCTTTCCCTTAAGTTTGTTCAAAATGTGGGACTTTACCGCTCAGTTTGAGATAATTTTTTAAAACAAACCTAGGTTCTTGTTAATTTTATCAGCTGCTGCATATCTCTTTTTATAATCTATCAAATATTTTTCGCTCATATGCGATTGGTCTAAACGCATCCAGTGAGAGAATATGCCCTAGCTAAAACTGAATATCTGACGATGTACCTCAAGTGATATTCTCCAATTTTCAAACCTCACATCAACTACGATAAAAGTGTTCGTTTCAAATTTAATTCAAGATGAGAGCGCGTTTAGCTTTTGTTACCGGAGAAGGAACATTTTTGTTTGTTCATAAAGTGGTACCAGGCAACACTGAAAAGTCATCCCACGCGCAGCAAACATTACATTTTACTCACGGGCAGCAAACAGTAAATTGTCCGTAAACATTTTACCCACGCGTTGCAAAAGTATTGCAGGAGGATAATAAACTCAATAGCCTCCATTTGGCGAGAACAAATGCTCGAATATGTATCCTTGGATGTTATTTGTTCCTCGAAGCTCAAAGTTTTGCTTGAGCTTCGATCTCGTAAAAACTGTTCACATCTCGGAATAGATAATGTCCACGGACAAATATTCGTGCATGTTTTCGCCCCAAATGGAGGCTTTTCCTTAAACAGTCCTTGCATTCAAAAAACGTGACTTTCGAGAGATCACGCTAATAAATCTTTGCCACAGCCAGTAAGATTCTTAAGCCTTGAACTTTCTCGCTTTGCGTAACGGCTTCACACAACCAACTAATATTACGAAAGTCACAACTAAATATATCACTTCAATCAATTTTATAAAGGGTAAAATCCGAGATCAACACGTTACCTCAGTGTTAATTCACTGATTTGGATAATGAAAGCATATAACAAGTACTGTAACTAACAGCGCATATTTCGTCTATGGTTGATAACCAACCTGTTTCGCAGTTTTTTCCGGTAAATCCAGATTTGCATTTGCATTTATAGCTTCCATGTTTGTTCTCGCATTGTCCACCGTTTTGGCATGGGTTTGAGGTTTGGCATTCATCAATATCTATACTTCATATAAAAAAAAAATGTAAAATTAAAATCATTTTTCACGGAAGGGCGGTTCAGAAGAAGAGAGCAATGGAGGGAATGTCTGCTCGGTCATGCGTAACTTTAGTCATGTACACTGACCATGTTCACAGTTGGTTCCTTGGAATCCCTCAACACAGGAGCATGTATAGCCATCACCAGATGTGCTGCATGTGGCCCCATTCTGACAGGGTTTTAATTCATCGCAAGCATCAGCTACAAAAAGAAATGACTCATTTCTCTTTTTTTTCTTAAGTAGTGGGTGTTTATGAAAAGTGATTTAAAATAACGTTGAAAGTGAACAAAAGTCCTATAATTGTAGACTATGAAAAAGTTTTAAAGGAATTACCTAAGCCAACCTTTTTCACTGCATTTATCTGCTCTGCAGTTAAAGCCACGTTATAAAGTTGCATAACAGCAATTCTTCCTCGGAAGTACCGCAAATCCCCGTCTTTCACACCCATCCGGACTTCGTTCTGAGTGGAAAGGTGGACTTTTCCAATACTAGATTGAGCGGTGAGTCTTCCATCCACCCACAATCTTGCAATACCAGTATTGTAGTCATATGTAGAACCGACATAACTCCACTGGTTTATTGGCAAAATACCGCCAAACAAATGTGGAGTGAAATGGTAATTTCTGTGAGTGTATCGAACGAACAGCTGTCCATACACCACCCACAGATGGACACCCCAACTACCGGTTCTCTTATAATTGAAGAGAGGACCATCTTTACCCGTAGGGTACACCCAACATAACATGGTTATAGAGTACTGAACGTCCAATGCTCCATTATTTGGGAACTCGATGTAACTTCTGGCACTGCCCGCGAAGGCGTACGAACTGCCGGCCTTTCCATCAGGCCCATTAGCTAAAGATACGCCAACAGGATTTCCCTGGGGAACTCGACTTTTAATTTCCCTTGTTTGATACTTGCTGTTCAGGGGAAAGACGGCGACAGGATTTGGTACAATAACTTGTCCACTTACATCTGGAAGGTAAAACATCAGAACAAAAACATTAATTTATTTTTTTTCTTTGCTTCTAACTAGTCACGCATAAAGGATCAGAGACACGCAGTCTGGTTTATAGATCACATAATGACAGCGAGTCATTTTTCTCGTAGAAACTGCCACCTTTTACTCTTCGCCGATACGTACTGAAACTTCGCTTTACCTTAAGTTTGTTCAAAATGTGGGAATGTACCGTTCAGTTTGAGAGAATTTTTTAAAACAAGCCTAGGCTCTTTAAAATTTCATCAGCTGCTACAAATCACTGTATATAATCTATCAAATATTTCTCGCTTATATGCGATTGGTCTAAACGCATCCACTGAAAATATGCCCTAGCTAAAACTGAATATCTGACGATGTACCTCAAGTGATATTCCCCAATTTTCAAACCTCACATCAACTACGATAAAAGTGTTCGTTTCAAATTTAATTCAAGATGAGAGCGCGTTTAGCTTTTGTTACCGGAGAAGGAACATTTTTGTTTGTTCATAAAGTGGTACTAGGCAACACTGAAAAGTCATCCCATGCGCAGCAAACATTACATTGTTCGTAAACATTCTACCCACGGACAGCAAACAGTAAATTGTTCATAAACATTCTACCCACGGGCAGCAAACACTACATTGTTCGTAAACATTTTACCCACGCGTTGCAAACGTATTGCAGAAGGATAATAAACTCAATAGCCTCCATTTGGCGAGAACAAATGCTCGAATATGTATCCTTGGATGTTATTTGTTCCTCGAAGCTCAAAGTTTTGCTTGAGCTTCGATCTCGTAAAAACTGTTCACATCTCGGAATAGATAATGTCCGCGGACAAATATACGTGCATGTTTTCGCCCCAAATGGAGGCTTTTCCTTAAACAGCCCTTGCATTCAAAAAACGTGACTTTCGAGAGATCACGCTAATAAATCTTTACCACAGCCAGTAAGATTCTTAAGTCTTGAACTTTCTCGCTTTGCGTAACGGCTTCACACAACCAACTAATATTACGAAAGTCACAACTAATTATATCTCTTCAATCAATTTTAGAAAGGGTAAAATCCGAGATCAACACAACTTCAGTGTTAATTCACTGATTTGGATAATGAAAGCATATAACAAGTACTGTAACTAACAGCGCATATTTCGTCTATGGTTGATAACCAACCTGTTTCGCAGTTTTTTTCCGGTAAATCCAGATTTGCATTTGCATTTATAGCTTCCATGTGTGTTCTCGCATTGTCCGCCGTTTTTAATATTGTAAAGCACCATAAGCTACTGATAATAATCGCTATAGAAAGTTGTTATTATTATCATTATCATTATTGTTATTATTATCATCATTATTATTATTACTGAATTTGGTCGAAGATCGACAAGACCTACAGCCAACGGTTTATTTTTCGTCTATAGTTGATAACCCACCTGTTTCGCAATTTTTTCCCGTAAATCCAGATTTGCATTTGCATTTATAGCTTCCATGTGTGTTCTCGCATTGTCCGCCGTTTTGGCATGGGTTTGAGGTTTGGCATTCATCAATATCTATACCTCATATAAAAAAAAACATGTAAAATTAGAATCATTTTTCACGGAAGGGCTGTCCAGAAGAAGAGAGCAATGGAGGGAATGTCTGCTCGGTCATGCGTAACTTTAGTCATGTACACTGACCGTGTTCACAGTTGGTTCCTTGGAATCCCTCAACACAGGAGCATGTATAGCCATCACCAGATGTGCTGCACGTGGCCCCATTCTGACAGGGTTTTAATTCATCGCAAGCATCAGCTACAAAAAGAAATGACTCATTTCTCTTTTTTTTCTTAAGTAGTGGGTGTTTATGAAAAGTGATTTAAAATAACGTTGAAAGTGAACAAAAGTCCTATAATTGTAGACTATGAAAAAGTTTTAAAGGAATTACCTAAGCCAACCTTTTTCACTGCATTTATCTGCTCTGCAGTTAAAGCCACGTTATAAAGTTGCATAACAGCAATTCTTCCTCGGAAGTACCGCAAATCCCCGTCTTTCACACCCATCCGGACTTCGTTCTGAGTGGAAAGGTGGACTTTTCCAATACTAGATTGAGCGGTGAGTCTTCCATCCACCCACAATCTTGCAATACCAGTATTGTAGTCATATGTAGAACCGACATAACTCCACTGGTTTATTGGCAAAATACCGCCAAACAAATGTGGAGTGAAATGGTAATTTCTGTGAGTGTATCGAACGAACAGCTGTCCATACACCACCCACAGATGGACACCCCAACTACCGGTTCTCTTATAATTGAAGAGAGGACCATCTTTACCAGTAGGGTACACCCAACATAACATGGTTATAGAGTACTGAACGTCCAATGCTCCATTATTTGGGAACTCGATGTAACTTCTGGCACTGCCCGCGAAGGCGTACGAACTGCCGGCCTTTCCATCAGGCCCATTAGCTAAAGATACGCCAACAGGATTTCCCTGGGGAACTCGACTTTTAATTTCCCTTGTTTGATACTTGCTGTTCAGGGGAAAGACGGCGACAGGATTTGGTACAGTTACTGGTACACTTTCAGCTGAAAGGTAAAACAGTGTGAGTTTTGAATGGATTTGGTAATTGTATGATAAAGAGGTCTCATAGGAAGATGATCTGGTCTGAATGGGGCGAGAGACTTTCTCCGCTGCTCTTGCAAAAAAGAAATCTTGAAGGATACTAACCGTTAATAAGCGTGATCAAAATCTGTAGAGCACTGATTTGAAAGATCACCTTGAACTTCCCCATGTTGTCAAACTTCTGCTGTTGAAATAAGGAAACGATAATTGCAAACTAATTATAAACAGAACTCTGCTGATGCGTCTTGTATTCTATGTTTCTAGATAAAACAGAATTTCTGCAAAGTTCGAGCTTGACCGGCGGGCAATCAAGCCGCTCGACAGTGTATCAAACACATTGTCAACCTTACCTTTTCAAAGGCAGCACGTTTAACTCATGAAAAACAACGATGAGGTGGTAACGCCTAACTTTCCTTTGACGCTTTTACAGCAAAGCAATCCATTTCAGCGCATGCGTTGATGGGTCATTAATCAAACTAAAGGCGAACGATACAGATTTTAATTCTATTTCTTACTCATCATTCGACACAGATAAATTTACATAACAATGTTCCCGTATTGGGCGTCAATCATCCTATCAAAGAGTGATTAGTCCTTTTTGATCAAACCGTGAACATCGAGATCCAAATATTTTTTTAAGTAAGCACCAATAAAAGATACCGCCAAACAGTAAGAAATACATTTAATGAGCTATTCTCTCAAAAACCAGCTTAAAGAAGGAAATATCACCAAGAGAACACGATAAACCGTATAAAAAGGCAGAACCGTATGGAACCGCGAAACAAGGCAGGTCACAAGGAAAATTGTGACTTGAACATTTCTTTCAAATAATTTATTTTAACTGAACTCCCCTTCACCTGAAGTTTGATTAAAGGACTCATTCCCTTATCGATAATGGGTTTTTAACAAGCTGCTCGACTTTTCTCATCACCAGCACTGACATTGAAGGAAGGAGAATATGTTTAAAAAATTGTGACGAAAACTGCTGCCGATTCCTAATACGAAATGATTACGGTGACTCAGGTGGTTTAGTAATTTGTCTGTTTTCGCCGCGATATGAAAGGATTATTATGGAACAGTAAATTCTATTGTAGTATAGGAGTTGTACGAGATCACAAAGTGATCGCGTGCAAAAACGCCAACTCTCCATACTACTTTCCATATTATGGAAATTATTCAACGAAATTATCATTCCACTATTTCAATTCCGACGCGTGAAAAACCACTATTTCGATTGTCGTATGAAATTTTGGAACAAGCAAGTCCTATTAAAAGATTATCTAATGTACCCAAAGGCTTATCATTTTTGAAAGACGCTTTCACTGGACTGACAATGTCAAAAAGCGACGCCCCAAAAACTGTTGCTGAATATAAAAGAGAATATGAAAAAGACAAAAGATGTGAATATCGAAGAAGTCTGACTGGGCTTTGGAAAAGGGTTACGCTGGAAGAGCGAAATATAGATATCCATTTGGGCGTGCTTTAGATATTCGCAAAGCAATCGGGAGGTTGTACTTTAATGCTTGTAAAAACGGTCATAATTATTCATTGGCTGGCAAATGCAAGCATGTAAAAGGCAAGACGCATCAACGCAACATTAGTGATTAAACACCTTTTTATCTTTGAATTATCCACAGACTGGTTATTTCAACTTATTTAAACGCACTATTTTTCAAACACTTCAAGATTTGTCTATAGGTATAGTATAATGAAACTTAATGAAAAGTACAAAGATATCTCTATATATGAATAAGGCTGATTTAAAAAAGCTCAGTAAATCAAAATTGATCAAACTGTTGTTAAAACAGAATGCAGAATGAACTCCCAAACCAAGCATTAAATAAATGGTGAAGCAGAGCGACATAATAATAATGGATGATAAACCAGTTTCTACAACGGGTGTTTCAGCTGTAAAGATGTGTTGAACGAGCATAAAACTAACTGTATCACAAAAAGTGGCAAACAAGCAATTGAAATGCCATAAAAAGTCAAAAAATATATTGAAATTTAACAATTATAATAAACAATTACCAATACCATTTGTCAACCACTATTTTAATCCCGACGCTTGGGAGACCGCTATTTCAATTCCGACGCATGGGAAACCACTATTTCAATTCGACGCGTGGGAAACCATTATTTCAATTCCGACGCGTGGGAAACCATTATTTCAATTCTGACGCGTGAAAATCCATTACCGTATTTCTTCACCTATATGCCGAGCGATTTTTTCAATATTTGACACAAAAGTTTGGGAAATTGGGAAGGCTTGCCAGAAAGAATAGTCGCCTGATCTTTTCTCCAGGGTTTTGGAGAAGAGTTTCTTTTGGATAACACGAGTCTGTTGGAAGGTCTCTAACTTTTAGGGTCTCGGCTTATAGCTGAAGAAATACGGTATTTCAATTCTGTCGCGTGGGAAACCACTATTTCAATTCCGACGCGTGATTTCGATTGCCGTATGGAATCAAATGCTATGACTAATTTCCTCGAAAAAGTCTCTGTTGAATTACATCATTGATTTCCTGTTCTTCTGAGAATGTTTCGCAATGGGAAAATGTTGTGAGATAGTATTCCGACACTTTTATATCATGAAATGATTCCCTCAAATGATTTTATAACATAGCTAGTAAATTTGTCTAGTCAAATTCAATTTCGCGAGCGTGCTTCGTATTCCTATTGTGCACGCTCATGACGTCAGCAAACATATCCCTCGAGAAAAAAATTTTCCATCGGGTTGAAAATGTTGTAAAACAATTGGTTCATACGTCAGCTATGCGTTCATCGAGATATGAAGCACGCGGGAAGTTTAGAGAGCACTCAAGAAGCCAGAGTTGCTCTTGGCTACGCCTCGAGCAACTCTTTCAACGCATCTTTCGTGCTTTCCAAACTTCCCGCGTGCTTCATGTCTCGATGAACGCACGCTGACGTATGAACCAATTGTTAATTATTAAACAATTTCATGAAATGATTTCGTTGAAAATTTCCATAATATGGAAAGTAGTATAGAGATCACTTTGTGATCTCGTACAGCCAACTCCCATACTACAATGAAAATTACTGTTCCATAATTATCCTTTCATATCGTGGCGAAAACAGACAAATTACTAAACCACCTGAGTCACCGTAATCATTTCGTATTAAGAATCGGCAGCAATTTTTTAAACATATTCTCCTTCTTTCAATGTCAGTGCTGATGATGAGAAAAGTCGAGCAGCTTGTTAAAAACCCATTATCGATAAGGGAATGAGTCCTTTAATCAAACTTCAGGTGAAGGGGAGTTCAGTTAAAATAAATTATTTGAAAGAAATGTTCAAGTCACAATTTTCCTTGTGACCGGCCTTGTTTCGCGGTTCCATACGGTTCTGCCTTTTTATACGGTTTATCGTGTTCTCTTGGTGATATTTCCTTCTTTAAGCTGGTTTTTGAGAGAATAGCTCATTAAATGTATTTCTTACTGTTTGGCGGTATCTTTTATTGGTGCTTACTTAAAAAAATATTTGGATCTCGATGTTCACGGTTTGATCAAAAAGGACTAATCACTCTTTGATAGGATGATTGACGCCCAATACGGGAACATTGTTATGTAAATTTATCTGTGTCGAATGATGAGTATGAAATAGAATTAAAATCTGTATCGTTCGCCTTTAGTTTGATTAATGACCAATCAACACATGTGCTGAAATGGATTGCTATGCTGTAAAAGCGTTAAAGAAAGTTAGGCTTTAACACTTTATCGTTGTTTTTCATGAGTTAAACGTGCTGCCTTTGAAAAGGTAAGGTTGACAATGTGTTTGATACACGGTCGAGCGGCTTGATTTAGCGCCGTTCAAGCTCGAACTTTGCAGAAATTCTGTCTTATCTTTAAACAAAGAATACAAAACGCATCAGCAGAGTTCTGTTTATTATTAGTTAGCAATTATCGTTTCCTTATTTCAACAGCAGAAGTTTGACAACATGGAGAGGTTCAAAGTGATCTTTCAAATCAGTGCTCTACAGATTTTGATCACGCTTACTAACGGTTAGTATCCTTCAAGATTTCTTTTTTGCAAGAACAGCGGAGAAAGTCTCTCGCCCCATTCAGACCAGATCATCTTCCCATGAGAGCTCTTTATCATACAATTACCAAATCCATTCAAAACTCACACTGTTTTACCTTTCGGCTGTAAGTGTACCAGTAACTGTACCAGTGAACAGTTTTTACGAGATCGAAGCTCAAGCAAAACTGTGAGCTTCGAGGAACAAATAACATCCAAGGATACATATACGAGCATTTGTTCTCACCAAATGGAGGCTATTGAGATTATTATCCTCCTGCAATACTTTTGCAACGGGTGGGTAAACTGTTTACGAACAATGTAGTGTTTGCTGCCCGTGAGTAAAATGTTTACGAACAATGTAATGTTTGCTGCCCGTGGGTAAAATGTTTACGAACAATGTAATGTTTGCTGCGCGTGGGATGACTTTTCAGTGTTGCCTGGTACCACTTTATGAACAAACAAAAATGTTCCTTCTCCGGCAACAAAAGCTAAACGCGCTCTCATCTTGAATTAAATTATAAACGAACGTTTTTATCATACTTGATGTGAGGTTTGAAAATTGGGGAATATCACTTGGGGTACATCGTCAGATATTTAGTTTTAGGGTGCGTTTCTTTAAAAAAATCCAAATCCGGATTCTTGAATCCAAAAACGGATTTTGCGTTTCTTTAATAAAATCCGAAAATGGATTTTGAATCTATAGAATCCACACTCCGAGTGGATTCATTAGATCAAATCTAAATCCGGATTTTTAGGATTCATGATCCGTGCGTTTCTTTATTGCACGGATACAAAAAGCAGTACGTTTGGCAAGCGGTCGTCTTCTTAAAATCCGCCACATTCCCGCCATTTTGTTGTAAATATTAGCTGCTGCCGGCCATGGCGAATAAACAAGGTGAGTTTTTTGTGTAGTTTCACCGAAATTTTCCGTCCTGTACGTATTTTTATAAATTTTCCGGATGTTTGATGCGTCTTGGCATCTTTTATTTCTATCTACAGGACAATATTGGACGCACAGTTTATCTGCAGGTGAATATCCAGAATATCAGTGGAACGAAAGCCACGTTCAACCGGGCATTCAACCTTATCTTCCTCAGTTCATGTTTCCATCACCGCAGGCATCACAGTTCAGCCATGAAACAGTCAGATCAGTATCACCTCAGCCTGGTCCAAGTTTTTCTTCTTTGGAAACAGCTGCAGCCACGTTCAGTCAGTCGCGTGAAGGCACCGAAGGCGAATCGAGAGCTCTTGTACGCTGGTCTAGAGCTGATGTGCTGTTGTTAATATCCTGCTATGTCGAACGCAGAGAACGATTTAAAGATATAAACAAAAGAACAAGTCCCTGTGGGAAGAAATCAGCGAAGAATTAAAAGAAGAACGGAGTGTTCTTTAATGCCAAGGCGTGTGAGACGAAATTGAAAAATCTGAAGAGAAGTTATGTTGCTTGTGTTGATCACAACAAAGTCAGCGGAAATGACCGAAAGAAATGCAACTTCTATGACGAACTTCACGAAATATTTTCGAAAGATGATGCCATCGCTCCAGAAACATTGTGCAGCAACATTGATGGTAAACGGAGCAAAGATGCAGTCAAGAGTGTTAAAAATTCCAGTTCCACATTGAGTTCCACAGGTAGTGACACAGAGGAGCCTGTGGTTACAAAAGCAAAGAAAAAGAAGTTACCAGAGCGGAAGAAAAGAGAAGACCTCGTTGGGCTCTTTAAGGAATTTACACAAGACAGGAAAGAGGAAGAAAAGGAAAAGATTAAAAGTTTGAAAATATGCACAATGAACGCATGGCACTCATCGGCCGATTTTTGAATGTTTTTGAAAAATCATTGAACAAAGAGTAACCTTGATTCCATAATTTTTTATTGTGTTGCAGAACATGGGATTATTTGACCACAAACATGAACATAGATACAGTAAACCTGAGTTTGTTGTCAGTATTGAGTTATCTAAAAGTTTATTATATCATACATGTTAACAGTATTATTGCAAGTTGTATGTTTTTTTTTTTATCACATACATACAAGGAACTACAACAGCAACATTAGGTGAGAGGGCCTAACTAAACTGGTTTTGATATTATTTATATCCTTTACTTTTTTTAGCCTGATTCTCAGATGCTTCAGATCACTTGTGTCACGCACTTCCTCCTTTCTGTGCGTGACACAAGCAACCTGGACTGTCAGAGTATTAGGCTGTTACATTTGTGTTGAAAGTTTACATTTCAAGCAACACCATAAATGTTTCAGGTAGTATAAAGTGATCCATGTACATGGCTCTACTATTTTCTTATATACTTTTAAAAACAAATAAAATATTGATATTTATAGCAAAAAGACTATTATACAGTATAAACTTTATGAATGACATACACCACCTATGAAAGAAGTGTTCATGAAAACACCACAGTACAAAAGGTATCAATACATAAACCACTTATAAATGCTAGGTTTATGGGATCAGTCTCATTATCATGTTTCTCTTATCAACTGCTCCTACACCTGGTGGAAAGATGTCATCATCATTGTCATCATTGTCATCATCATCATTAGAGTCATCTAAAAATCATCGATGTCATCTTCAATAATGCAAATGTTGTGTAAGATGCAAGAGGATACAATAATTTCCGGTATGTCCTCAATTTTGTCAACATCCATCATTGTTTTTAGCTTCCTAAACCTGTTCTTAAAAAAGCCCTATGGACCTCTCAACCACCATTCTGGTGGAACTGTGCGCAGTATTGTAACGTCTTTGTTGAGCAGTCAAACGTCCGTTGTCTCGAAATGGGGTCAACAGCCACCTCTTCAAGGGATATGCTGCGTCTCCCAAAATGTGGGAGTTGCCAGGAAAATAATTGTCTGGGTTCACTTCAACTTCTCGGCAGATCGGAGAATTACGAAACACGCGAGCATCGTGTACTGAACCAGGGTAACCACAGAAAACATCGGTTATGAATAAATCCGGGTCACAAATGACTTGTAGTTGGACGGAAAAGAAACCTTTGCGATTTATGTATTGTTCATGATTGTTATGTGGTGCTTTGATTGGTATGTGGGTGCCATCAATAGCCCCCAAAACACCCGGAAAACCCTTTTTCTCTTCAAAGGCCTCCATCACCGCTTGGGCTTTTAGACCAGTTGGAAACTTGATAAACTCATCCATTAAGTTCCTCACTATTGCTTTGCAAACTCGTCTGTAGACTCTGTACGCAGTTGCCCTGCAAACATCAAATCGATCGGCAACAGAGCGTAAACATTCTGGATTCCCAAGAATCCACAGCGTAATAAGGATTTGCTTTCTTAACTCGACCGGTGGTCTTCCTCTATCGCCGGTGTATTGAGGTAAGTCGCCGTGGACCGAAAGCAAATGTTCGAGAACTGTAACTGTATGCCGTGACATGCGGAAGTGACTTCGGAAGTCCTCCGGTATGTAACTAGGTACGGTTATTTCGTAAAAATTCTTTGTGCGAACGTGTTCTTTTCGGACGAGCTGTCCGGCCGCCAAAAGGAATAAAACTGCTTCGTCATCGGCTCCTAAAAGAACCTGTTGTTGTTCAAGGTCATCGGCAAGGACTTCTTCGAACAGTTCAAACATCAAACCAAAACTTTCCGCCATTTTGAAAACTCCCCCCAAAACACGCGAACTGCATGCTGGGGTCGTTACGGCTAATTGAAAAAAAAATCCATTTTCGGATTTTTCGTGTCTTTAAAAATAACGAATCCGCATGATCTCGGATTAAGAATCCAATCTTGGATTTTTTTAAAGAAACGCACCCTAAGCTAAGGCATATTCGCTCACTGGATGCGTTTAGACCAGTCGCGTATAAGCGAAAAATATTTGATAGATTATAAAAAGAGATATGCAGCAGCTGATAAAATTAACAAGAAACTAGCACGTTTCTTTGTTTCTTTGCTACATTAGCGAACACTGAACTATTGCTCGTACTCTAGATATGATAATCAACCACAAAATTCCCTAAACCAGATAACATTAAACATAATCCAAAAAATCATGTGTCACTTCACAAGTTTGCTTACAGAGCACTTTGATTTGCCTTACGCTTTAGTACGTGGTTATCTGGGAACGCGAAGGATGTGCAAATTGACTTAAATGTGATCGCCAAGTGTGCACTGCGATTTTTATCTAAACATTTTGATTCCCGAGTAAATTATGAAAAAAATTATTTTTTTTATTAGTTTGGGAATAAGTTTTTTTAACTTATTACATTTCATTACAGCTTGTTTTGGTTAAAAGACGATAGATTTTACATATTTACTTCCCAATTAAGAAAAAAAACAACGTCCAAAATCCTGCGTTGACAATGTTATAAAACAGTGGGTTCATACGTCAGCTGTACATCAATGGAATACGAAGCACTTGTGAAGTTATGAGAACTCTCTAGAATCTGGAGTTGCTCTCGACTGCGTCTCGAGCAACTCTTACGCCGGCTTCATATTCTCATGAACGCACGCTGACGTATGAACCTATTGTTAAATTTTTCTACTTTGGGGTAGGTATTGATGTGTGCCGAACCTCAAACCTATGCCAAAATGGCGGAAAGTACGAGGACACAGCTGGCGGCTATAAATGCACATGCAAACCTGGATTTACAGGAAAAAATTGCGAAACAGGCGAGTTATCAATCACAGATGAAGTATAAGCTATTGATTACACAGTTCTTGTCACTTGTCGAAATAAGTGAAGCTAGGTAAAGTGTTGACAATCTCATGCAACCCTTTTATTGTGTCCTTTTAAATCAGTTTAATTTATTTTCCGACTAGCGGCTTTTGAGATACCAAATGGGTGCAGTGCGAAACTCTTACCCAGATAAAGCGAGAAAAGCCCTTCGGAAAGGAGCCTTTCTAAAATTAAAGAATGTCCCTTGCGGTGTGGAAAAGATTGATGAGTCTCAACTTTAGGAAGTAAAATTTCTTAAATTTGAGACTAACGCCGTTATATTTATTAGTTGATAAGATCTGCAGCCACTTATGCCTGTTTTAACTTTCATTTTCAACTAGTTTTTATGGGGAGTCCAATATGCAAATGTTCCCTCACTGAGATGTAAACGCTGTCGTAGTTAATCGAGCTCAATAATGCCCGAGAAATTTCACGAAGTGAGATCGATTGATTAAGTCCAAATCATCTTGTCTAAACATTGGCGGCAGGATCAGTAACAGTTTTGGGGACAAAAATAATCCTGTGCTTTTCTGAGATAAAAGAAATCTCGTTGAATTCATTGCCTCATATCTTTAGTTTCTATCAGTCAGAACACTAGCGGTCGCATAAAATGCGTTCAGAGATATATCGTCCCAGTTTGGAAACTGATGGAGATTTTTTAATTAGATGCAAGCGGGAGAAAACCCTATCAACATGGGGTCATCGCTTTACAATGCAAGTACTACTGAGCGACTGTGAGGCGAAAAGAGGAAAAGAAGCTAGTGGAATTTTACTTATGAAGTCGAGGAGAGATTCGGATCGCAGTGTCCAAATTTGTAAAATTTCAAACAAAAATTTAATGGGATATAATTTTGTACCGTTTTTGTGGACTGTCTGAGGTATGTGTTTATGACTGCGAAGCTGGGATATGTTGCGACGTAATACGCCCACTATGTTGAGTCGCAAAGATAGAAACTAGCTGGGGACCGCATCACACTTTACGATAGGCGCAAAGGACTCTAGTTCTGTCTTTTACTATTTCTTAAATTTCTCAGTTCTCTGGTGCACTGAATTAAGGGTGTAAGTTTCTAAAGAAAGTGTGGTGCTGCGTCGGTGGAAGAGTATAAAGCAAAAAATCTGTACATATGCACTACGTCTCAGAATAAGATCGTAGTTTTATAATTTTAACGAATTCTTGTCTCAGTAAGTTTGAAAGTTGCCACTCGTATACTGAAAGCAAGAAACTGGTTTCAGGATATGTAAACGAAAGCTGTCCTCCATTATTTTGCTTTGCTCGGTTCTAGTGAAACAAAACACTAGAAAAAACTGTGCAGAACGTTTTCGCTTGTCGATAAGCTGGAACCCAAACACACTTGAACTCTTGTCTCAAAGATTTTGCATCTCGTACCCTTGAACGTTTCTTGGATTGGAAATTATTGCGGTATCTCGAGTAAATATTCAGGCCCGGCTCTGCAAATTGCTTAGTTTTGAAATTTCATTTGGCTTTGGTCGTAAAGCGTTGCACATATCGTGTGATAATTTTAGTTTTTATGCTTTGGCGGTAGGAAGTAACTATGACTCGCGTTCGCTTACATTTGAAAAATCTTAAAAGCAATTTAGTAAGCACCCATGACATTACCGAAAAGTAAAAAATTCCATGAAAGTAATAATTTCATTCACACTTTATAATCAACTCATATCCAATG